TCTTTAAGGAAACAAAATGGGTTTCTTGAATACTCTTAAGGTGAAGAAATATTTTAAGAATTCTATCAGATTGATAGAAGAATCTTATGAATTTTTCTAATATTTGAAATAAGAATTTGAAACTATTAGAACCACCCTAGGATAAAATTGAAATAATATGGTATTATCCTTCAGATGTGCATGTGGGGGTGCTATAACCTTTTTCACATGTAACTGAATCTCGAACCTTATTCTGGTTTAACCCTAACCTATTCTTTTAGAGACTTTTAGTCAAGTTTAGGAGCTCCTTAAAATGATAGATTCCTCAGGTGACCAATCACACTTAGTAAAAAAGATTGGTGGTGACTCTTTTTATTAAGTCTAGCTATAAATTTACATATCTATATGTTATGACAATTTCATTTTTCTATTTTATATTTAATATATATTTTTAAATATTTGAAAATTTTTTCATATAATCCCATTTGATATCCATCCATAATATAAAAGTAACTCATGAATGGGTGAAGAATGCTCATTCATTGTACCTAGTTACAAAATCTCATTTTTCCTTTTTTTGTTAATTTTTTTGTTTTAAATTTATATATATATATATATATACACTTCTTCATATTTTTTTTTTAAAAAATATTTTATAAATATTTAATTTTTTCATTTTCAATTTTTATATTTAATTACTTTTCCTAAAAGTTATCAAAAAAATTAATAAATCTTTTTAAAGATTGTTTTTTTTTATGTGAGACCTATTTATACAAAATGCTTCATTTTTTGCTTTTTTACCCTTTTTTTACTTTTTTAATTAATAAATTTTTTTAAAATTTTAATTTTTTTGTTGTACTCGCTTGACATATAAGGTATATCTTTTTTTTTCTTTCTTTTTACTTTTATCTTTTTCTAATTTTTTATATGTATCATAAATATTTTTCAGATTTTTTTATGAAATAGTTTTTTCTTCTTTTTTACTTTTTCTTAATATATTACTACTTTAAAAAAATATTTTAAATAATTTTACTTTTTGTGTGTTAAACCCACTTATACCAAATTTGTCCCTTTTTTTTACCCTTCTTTTTATTTTTCTTAATTTTCTTTTTTTACAAAATTTAATAAATTTTTTTTGGGATTTTAAAATTTTTTATATGACTTGTTTAATACCAACAATATGCCATGCATTTAGTTTTTTCTATACTTTTTTTAATTTTTTACATATCGAGTTGAGACAAGTTAAGTTTTTAAAAGAAATGAAATTGGATCGAAAATGTATTTAGAGTGATTTGTCATAACACATTTCATGGTATATATAAAAACATGAATTTTATTATTAGTTTTATTTTATTTTCATATATAAATTAATAAAATAATTGTTATTTAATACCTTAATTTTTAAAATTAATATTTAAAACTCAATGAAAATGTTTGCGTAGCTAACAATCATATGGTTTATTGGCCAAAACTTTTAGTTCCAATGACCAAGGTTCAAATCCTTATAACCTTAATATATATTTATAAGTTTTCGTGTGATACCTTTTATAAGCTCTTTTTCATATTTTGTTTTTTGTTTTTGGTTCATTGTTTCCTTTTTTTATTTTGATTTTTTAAAATTTTTTACATATCGAGTTGAGACAAGTTGAATTTTTAAGAGAAACGAGATTATGTCGAAAGTGTGTTTAATGAGATCTGTCATAACACATTTTGGGGTATATATAAAAATATATTTTATTATTAATTTAATTTTGTATTCAAATATAGATTAATAAAATAATTATTATTTGATACCTTAATTTAGAAATTAGTATTTAAAACTCACTGAAAATGTTTGCGTGGCTAACAATCATGTTGTTTGTTGGATAGAAGTCTTAGTTCCAATGATTATGGTTCAAATTGTTGCAACCTCAAAATATATATATATATATATATATATCCATGTCTCACCCTTTATAAGCTCTTTTGCATATTTTGTTTTTTGTTTTCATTTTTGTTTTTATTTTTATTTTTTAATTAGATAAATTATTTTATTTTTTCTTTTCATTTTTTTTCAATTTTTTGAGTTTTCGATTTTTACTAATGTCTTGCTAGCTAAACAGGCATTGAAGTAATTTGAAAAAAGGCAAGATGCACATTGGATTGAAATCGATGAATTATTGACAAAGAGATTATGTTTAAATTGATAGATAGAAATAGAGGAGTTCTCCCTTCTTATTGATAGATTCCTTCTCTTTCTATTCCTACTCTTTCGATCTATTAGAATATATCAATCTATCTATCAATTGATTTTAAACTAGTACATTTAAATCAAATGATTTGAAAATAACACGTTCACCATGTCAACAGAACCACTAATAAGATTCAATTTCTTTTTTATTTTTTACTTTTCTTTTCTTTTTTTCAGAACTTTTTGGGTTTTCAATTTTTATTTTTTAATTAAATAAATTTTGTGAGGAAAATAGGCTGATGAAGGTGTGCACATGTCATCTCTATGTTACTGTTTTTAACTTTTTATCTTTTTTTTTTTACTTTTAATTAAATAAATTTTATAAGAAATTAAAAAACCTACTAATAAGATCATAAAACAAAAAAATTTTGACCCATGGCAATGCGCGAGTAACCCATCTAGTTCTTTAATAAAAAATACATATTTGCACATGGCAGGGAGATAGTTCCTTATAAATTTTAAATAAAATAAATAAAAATTACCATCATATTATTATAAAATTTGAGTGTAATTTTACTATACATAAATTATATAAGGTAATAAGTTTAGTACAACTTATTAATGGAAAATCATTAAAAGGATCCTTAAGTATCTTGAAAGTACTAAAATGATTTGGTCTATCCCTTTAGTTTATTCAATTATACTAGAAAAATAATTGTATTAAAGAAAGATAAAAGTGCAAAAATAGAATGATTGAAAATTTTATATTAATGAGTTTAGAGTTGTGGCCCAACTAATACTAACTATTGTTTAAAATGACAAAAATGATACAACAATGTCTAAAGCCATGGCAAATTTAGAGGAGGCTGGTAGGGCCTGACCACCTTGATTCCCTTAAAATTACCTTACGATAAGTATATTTTCATCCAAAAAATGGTAAAATTATATTCCTCTAAAAATAATAATAATAATTTGGTATAGGAACAATTGTAATGATGTGATAAATTTCATAAATTATTATAAATGTTACTTGTAAATGTAATAAATAATTCAATTTTCTTTTCTTTTTCAATAAAAAATTTATCCTTTTTAATGTAATAATTATTATTTCATTGAATTTTTTAATTCCTTAAAATAAAATGTTTTCAATTAACTAAACAAACATGTTGACATTAATTATTATATCAAATATTTTTTATTTAGGCAAAAAAATTCAACTACCTATATATATTGTGCACATAAAATTACAAATTTAATTGTACATTATAATTTTTTTTATTTTTACGAAACTTTTCATTTCTAAAACCCAACCTTTTAACACATTACTTTTATTCTTTATTTTTTCAAACAATTATTAATTAGATTTTAATTGTTCTTTAAATATCCAAAAAAAAATTTTAATCGTAAAAAGAAATTTATACTTTTTATTTAATTACATTATTATTTTATTTAACATTAATTTTTTTATTAGATTTTTATCAATTCACCTTATTTTTATATAGCCCTCCAAAGTAAAAAAAACCTAGCTTTGCCCTTATCTAGAGCATATAAATTATATGTAAAATGAAAAGTTTAGACATATTAGCTTATGAAGTGATTATATTAGATATTCAATCTTAAGTGAAGGTAATTACCATAGAAGAAAATTTTGGTTATTAGTACTACAAGTAGAATAGATTTAAATCGAACTACTAGACACCAATAATGGGAACTCACTTTTGAATTAGTAACTTCTAATTACAAAGTTTAATGGGCAAATCATGTTATTATTACGTGCGTATTAAGTATTAGTAAAATTCATTTAAATTTTATAAATTAGTGTGATCTATTGTATGGAGATGATGAGTTTTTATACTTTTAATGAAATTTATTATTTAAATGTTTAAAACAATTGAGATATTATGAAAACTCTATCTATATAAACATAAAAATGATGTCTTTTAAATAAAAAGAATTGAGATCTCTCTTATAAATGTTTATAAATAGGATAAGCATATAATCATAATAGTGTCAAAACGGTTATAAACCTTTGAAAGAATAATAATTAATATGTGTTATATCTTCAATTCTAACATTAAGAGTTTAAGTTTAATCTATAGACACCATCCACTTTATTAAAATTCTAAAGTATATATGTTAATTGAAAGTTTAAAAAAATATATTTTATTGTATTTATAATATTTATTTGTCTGAAAAATTAAAAATTATGTACCAACATTCCAAGCTAGTAAAGAATTGTTGTTGGTAACTTAGAATGTTGTGCATTGATGAATAAACTTAGTATTTGTTTTAATTATCCATGGTTTAAATAATTATGTTTGAATAAAAATATTTGTTGAAAATAGTTATGTAACAAAAGAATACAACTATTAAATGAATAATTATATTTGAATAAAAATATTTATTTATAATAATTTTATAACAAAAAAATTTATAACTATTTAAACAACTTGACATGGTTATTCATTAAAAAAAACATATCTGTTTATCAACTATTAACAAAAATCTTTATGCATAATCATTTTCATTAATTTTGTTCAAAAAATTTTAAAGTTTTATTGTATTCTAAAAATATAATTATTTTTAAAAAATATATCTCAAAAACATTTTTTTTAAAATTTTTTCTATTCCTTTATTTATTTTTTTTAACAGTACATATAACTGCTTTAAATCAATTATATTCAACATATATAGTAAGTTAATAAATTAGCAAACAGGTCCCCCTAGGACCTAGCCGTGCACTATACGCCCCTGGAAGCAGCCTATGTTCCCGGCATGATGCCCTAACCTAAATGCTATTCTTCAGAGCCATTAGTTTGTCAAGACCATACCCCTTTTGCCCCCCACGCTGCACATTTCTAAGCTTGAGAACAGAGAATTTAGGTCGAAGAAACTGGAAATGCAAACAATTGAACAAGCTGTTTGGTTGACAGGTGATGTAAGATTTCAACATAATTAACCAATAAATTTCTTATAAGCACCATTTTTATGGAAATGGAATTTTAAGTGCAACACAATCAAGCTAGTATAATTTCTATTAACAGTGGGGAAAAATTTTAAAAAAAACCTTAGTTCCCTGTGTTACATTCTTGCCAAGCACATTTACAACGTATATTCCAACTGCCATGCAAATGAAACATGAGATGCCAACAGTGACCAGATTGCCAAAAATCATTTTGAAACTTTGGGTTGTTTACTGTGGGTTTTGTCCTTTAGGTGGAATTTTTGCAGCCGTTGAGCGTAACTCATTCACGATCTCAGTGAAGTTTGGTCTCTCTGATGGCTCAGATGACCAGCATCTTTCCATCAATGATCTCCATTCAGGGTCACATGATTCTGGAACTGGTGGGCGTAGTGTATTACTTACAATTCCACCTGAATGGAATTCCAAGCAAAATGATCAGTGAGACAAACTGTGATCCACCAAAAACAGAATTCATGATTACATTTACAAATAATACAATTACCTATAATAGCCCCATAGTGTAAGTCTGCATATGGTTCTTCTCCTGTGAGAAGCTCCCACATCACAATACCGAATGAGAACACATCTACCTAAGTTAGCGGAAACATCAAAACAAAAAAAAAATCTCATGATTAACTATATAGTAGAAAAAAAAGTTCTCATGATTATAAAGGAAATAACTGAGACGCGGTAAGAAAATAAAATGGTTAATGTTACGAATAGTCTTTGAATTATAGTGAAATGTTCAATCTGATATCTAAACTTTAAAAATCTTTAATGTGATATCTGAACTATCAACTCTGTTAACTAATATGGTACTTACCCCTAACTTAGCTCCAAATGATGACACATGGCGGCCAAACAACACTTCAAGTAACACATTAGTTAATATATTCATAATTCAAGTATTACATTAGAGATTTTTGAAGTTCAAGTATCACATTGAACATGTGACTATAGTTTAGGAGCTATTTGTGACATTATCCCAAAATCAAATGATAGAGGGTACTAGAAAATGTGCAAAGCACAAACCTTCTCTGAGACAAGACTGCTGCTGCCATTTAGAAGTTCTGGTGCCATCCATGGAAGTGTTCCGCGCACGCCACCTGAGATCAGAGTTTGACATTTCACCTTCGATAGGCCCAAATCACCAACCTGGTAGCAAAAACTAGGTGTGAAAACTGAATCCATTGAATGAGTTCAGAAATTAAAATAACAAAACCAATAAGCAAAAACAAGATAACCTTCAGGTATCAGTTTAACAGAAACAACATATAACAGCAATATCTTAGAGGTTACAGTACCATGCAATCACCCATTAATTGGCAGCTCACTTGTCTCAACAGTTGATCATATCATATATCATACTTTATGTTGAGACAATCGAGGTCCTCAACTCAAGAATAAACAGAATCCATATAAGCAGTCTTTGCACATATTGAAGGGTTAATATTTCTATAAAACCATTTGAAACTTCCCAGTCAATGTCTCAAGTCTAAATCAATCAGTTAACAAGAGAGTGCATTGAGACCAATTTGTTAGAAAGTTTGCAGATGACATCTAATGGACCTTATAAAAGAGAGTAGAACTGTAGAACAACATCTTTCATGCTTCATTACAAATTCATAATTCATATTATGCGTCTTATTTTGCAGTAAAATGAGAAGAAAATACAAAGGAGTATTTTCAAATATGATCGACCAATATATGGAAACTGATTGAGTTAACTCCAGAAATGCTCAAATCAATCACTAGGCACTAGTCATATCTTATTAATATTTACAAGTATATAAAAGAGTAAACATCTGAAAGGGAATACGGATTCTAAGTTTACCACCCTCACATTAAGAGAAGCAAGTTGAAAGGAAACAAATAATAAAGAAGCTAGTGGTAAGCTGTGACCATAAAAGATTATAACTCATTAAACCATAAGGAAATTATTTCTTTTACTTTGAGGGAAGATGCTCAAATGGAAGGGGACAGCTATCAGCTCACTCTATTATAGCCATTAAACATGCGTCAAACAGAAACACGAGAGCAAAACTCCAAGTTATTTGAATTATAAAAGGTATTCATGGGTTAAAGTTGGAAAAAAAAAATCATAGGATAAAGAAGCCCAGAATTTGTAGAAAACGGTAGATTAACATGGACAACAAAGACCCAAAATTTCTAGCAAGCTGATTTCTAACTAATAGACAATTTGTGTTTCCCCAACCAAAAACAAACAAACAATAAACGGAAGCTTACCTTTAAGAAATAGATAAACATGAAACAACTAGGGAAAGAAAATAACGACTAACAAAATGGTTCGTGTTGAATTATTAACGAATGTCAATCAAGGTATAAAACTTGGATGAGATTGTTTTTGAAGCAAGTAGATTTTTCTGCTAGACATTAATCCCATGCTATAAAGTATATATACAGCTACAGGCAAATGGTGTGCGATTGGCAAACTACTATAATGACTAATTAAGGCTCGTGCATCGAGATAATACTTTCCATTAAGGTTATACAGAAGGTTGAAATTAAAAGGCTACTACTAAAATTAGAGATTAAGCTTAAAGATCTCAGGAACATTCATTCCAAGTTAATAAATATTCATACAAGACCTTGCTCTGCTTATATCCTGTTAATGACTGCTATTCTTAAACCAAACATAATTTTCGAGCATCTGCAATAAAAGCTTCATAAACCTCAATCCCATCCCCAAATCCTCAGCAAATAGTACCTGATTATCTTATACATCAATCAACTTAGTTACAAAAGTAATCTCCTTCAGAGTTCAAGACAAGAGTAGTTTGTTAATATGCCAACTTAACATGCTCCAACAAGGAATCAAATTTACATATCTATCCATTAATATCTAGAGTGAATCTAAAGAAACGTCAATTTCATCTAGGATGCCTGGAATAAATAATCAAAAGCTTTCCCAACGTAGAACTTGCATTGGAATGAGATTGCAATAAAGCTCAGGCCCAATAACTAACCTTGCATATTGGGCGGTGAGGATCTCGAAGATTGACAAGTAAATTGTCACTCTTCAAATCAAAGTGCACTATATTTTTTCCATGCAAATACTCCATTCCAAAGGCCACATCCATGGCAATCAAGAGTCTCTTACGCTTATCAGGATTCCTAGCAACAGCAGGTCATTCAATAACTATTCAGATAAATGTACAATTGAAACACAATTATTGGAGAAAGGTTATACGCTAGACTGTATAGAAAACTAAACTAGAATTACTAGTACCTCTCATTCTTCTGTAAAGCATTTCTTAAAGAACCATTAACCATGTATTCGGTCACTGTTGCCACAGAGCCACCAGGACCATCAAGCACAACACCATAGAAAGCCACAACATTAGGATGATGCAAATCAGCAAGCTTAATCGCCTCATTCCAGAAATCATCTCTCTGATCATATGCATTTACCACAAAACAAGTTGTTTGCAAGTGAAATTACAAAGTGGAACTAATATGGAGAAAATAGAAGCTTACAAAAAGAAAAGAAAGAGCCAAACCATGCGTTCTTGTTCAGAAGGTTTTCCAGCAAAACATCTATCATTGATTCGTTTTATTGCAATATCAGTACCGCGCCACTTCCCATGGTAAACAGTACCAAAGGTGCCAGAACCCAGCTCTCGCAGCTCTTCAAGGTCACTGTTTTTAATGATCTGCCAAATGAACATTTAACTAAGTTAATGGGCAATAGAGGTTAACAGTAAAAGCATAAAATCATATAAAAACAATGCTTCAACCTGCAAGCGACCAATGCCATCTGAAACTCGAAAACCAATATTTGTTCTGTCAGGCTGTTTCATCTTGATTTCCTGAGTTAATAAAAATAGCATAAAAGACAGTTCAATAAATGCATATGTAGAAGGCCACCAAAAACAAAAATAGGCAATGGAGAAGAGGGGTGCAGTGAGGACAACGAGCATACAAATAGAGGATGAAGAGATCTTAGATTGCAAACCTCAACTTTAGCTTTATGCTGCATTTCAATGTCACTAGTTGAAACATCTGTGTCTTGATTAACTTCGTAACCAGACACGTTGACCTGTGTTGATAAGTCAGGATTGGAAGAGGCAGATGACTGAAAAACAGAAGCAGCTACTCCCTCAGCAACAGCTTGTAGTTCTTTCTTGATAAGTTCCTCAGCTGAGCCTTTGGCAGCGAAGGCAGCAACAGCAACAACAACAAACATTTAATCCACAAGCATAAATTGATAAATTCCAACATTTTATAGCAACATTAAAATCAAATATCTCACCTTTTGTGGACCGTGTGTGGTCTGAATTGAAATTCTTGCTTACATGGCCTAATGGCTGGTAAACTTCATCTTCCAATTGGGAATTAGATTCCCCACTAATTACTACCTGTTTCTCTCCAAAAGGGTCTGTAGTAGCTAATCCTTCTCTCTTTGTTTGAATTTTGTTAGGTCTAGGAGGAGGAAAAAGAGTACCTTGCTGTAAATTCCAAGGATCTTGATTGCTAAAAAGGGAGTTGGAGGACTCCAATACATCTCCACCTCTATTGGATGGTGACAAGGAAGTTTGGACGTCACCATTCAAAGGGGCAGCTTCAGTGTCGTTTAGTACAACCTTCTGTTGCAACCATGAAACATCATCCAATTTATGTGCTGACTCAACACCAGAAAACAGAGCGTTCCCATACTGAACATCAACAGAATCCAAGTTTTGGGCTCCAACTTTTGATTGTGCATGTGTTACTACATTACCCAAGATAACCATCTCATTGGAGTCCATTGGTTTGCTAAAGATATTATCCAAAAGTATCTCTCTTCCTACTATTTGTGGAGATCTCTCATTCAAGATATCTTCAATTCTGGCTTTATCAACAGGTGAATTACTCTGCTCATTGCTTATCCGAAAAGTCTCCATCATCCCATCAATTGAGATCAGATGGTTAGGGTCTACAATATCTTCTTTGGGGAAAGCAGGAAGCTTGCCATGATATTCTTTTGAGGCTTCATGCACTGGTTGTTCTGAAGCTTGAACGCCAATTGCCCCAGTGTGTGGAACCCCCTGTTTAAACTGGTATTGAATTGGCAAAACATATGGTGATTGTAACTCGCTCGCCAAACCTGTCATACCCTGGCTTGCTGGGATCCTAGGATGATTAGAATTATCTGTTTTAAGGGAAATAATCCTCTCATGTTCATTTTGTGAATCAAGACCTTGAGAGAATCCAACTGCCTCTGAATGAAGTGCTCCAACTTGATGATCAATGTGACCAAGCTGTCGAATCCCTACTCCTTGTTCAGCGATGCTATCCCCTAATGGACCAGTCACTACAACTCTGTTTACTGATGAAATTCTCATAGCATCTTCTCGATGGAGACTATGATAAATTGAATTTTTATTTACTATAGGTGTTACACCACTATCTCTTTGGTCCTGTACCAAAGGATCAGAGTGTACATGTGGCAATGCCTTCTGACACATAAAGCAGTCCTCTAGCCTTGGTATCTTCTCAGGAATAGCTACTTGGTGCCGAGGCAATGATCCATCTGAAAAGACAACGTGCTCAGTTTGTGGAATATGATGCCAGGCAGAACCTCCTCCAACCATTGCTGATGGAAGCTGGGCCTGATAAACATTGTGGCTCTGATTAACAGGAAGCTGAACTACCCTCGTTCCAAATGCGCTTTCATCAGGATAACGCTCCAAAGGAGTTTGTTGGGGTTGCAACAGTGGCTGAACCAGTGCTGGTCTAATACCAACAAGGGAAGTGGAGGGAGCCATTGTCATGTGCAAAGCAGTAATAAACTGATGAGGGGTATCATTATCACGAAAGTGCTGTTGGCTGAATACAGGACCAGTATTTCCCACCAACTTAGTATTCAAGAACCCCATTTGAGGCTCGAGATGCACGTAATCAGTATGGTTAATAACTTCATGATGAGGATCAATATATGTAGATGCAAAGTGCTGCTGCAAATCATATCCCAATTGCTGCTGTGTCGAAGTAAAGGGCACCATTCTCTCGGATTCAGCCTCAGGTTGAGAAGACAATGTTTGAGGAGGACCAGACCTAACCACTGGAGTTCCTAAATGAAGCGCAGAAGCATCTGCATAAACAGCAGGTTTAGGATCCACAGCCATCATTTTTGGAGCAGTGTCTTGAAAAGTAGCTGAATTCCCACTAGGTGACAACATGTTTGTCGATGGAGGCCCTCTAACATCCCCTTGACCAGCATCTATCCTATCAACAGCCTCAGTACCACTAACATCAGAATTCTGTGTTGAAGCCATGCTTGCTATGCTTTCCTTCCTAGTGATGCCACCAGCAGCTCCATCTCCAATACCATTCACTGCCTCAACATATTTCAGCCCATTGTCATGTAAATCACCAAATTGAACCATACCAGAAGGATCAAGTTCAGAAGCTGAAAACAAAAATACCCTTAATTTAGCTGAACCATCTGAAGACCTTTCAACCACTTTCTCATACTCATCCATCATATTATCAAGATCATCCAAGCATGAAATGGACACTAATGCATCAAGATCCTCATCAGGAAGCTGGTACTTAATAGCCACAGGTTGCCCATATATATCCACCATTTTTTGCTCAAACTCATTAAAGCCCACATCTCTCCTAAAACTAATAATCCTTGTCCGCCCCCCGACATATCTCAACATCCCATCACTAGGTCTAGGCAATATCTTCCCCCCGAAACTACACAAAATCTTAACTTTTTTCCCTGAAACTGAATCATCCACACCCTCATCACTGACCTGATCAGCCCCACCGCTATTACTACTAAGTCCTAAATTTGGTTTATAACCAAGCCCACCTAATAATTCATTACTAGACTGATCATTCGCATTGCCACTGCCCCTGTTTCCCACATTGGAACTATGTCCAAAACCTGTTGGCACCATATCATTACTCACCTGATCACTCCCATTCCCACCGCCCCTATTGCCCAAACTAGGACCATAACCATGCCCAGCCACATCATTACTAACCTGATCCACAGCATTAGCAACCACCATATTGCTCAAATTGGGATTATAACCAAACCCAACAACAGGGTTCATACTTGGATGATCCAGTGGCACAGGCACAGGCATTGACACCGGCATGTGAGGCCTCCATGCACGGACACCAGGTGCCAAGGGCATTGCATTCCCATACCCTAAACCTACAAAACCGGCATCAGCCACTGATGCCAGGTAAAACACAGACGTAGAACCAGGATTTCCAGAATCCCGAGATGGGTTGGGAAAAAATCCTTCAATCTTTCTGCCATTGGCATTACTAGTAGCTGCCACCGCAGCCGTAATGCGGGGCTCTTCAGTTACAGTTCTAACTTCATTCAATGGTCTTAGATCTTTTGGTATTGAGTTTTGATCAAATGCCATAATGTTAATACAGGGTTCAGCTAAAATGGGACATCAGCTTAAATGTAGTGTAAATCAAGTGTAGAAGAGATAAAGCTAGGGTTTTTTTTTTTCTGGGTTTTGTTCCTTTCCTTAAAATATACTAGAATTTTCACATACTAGCTCTAAGAAACAGCAATAAACCTTCCTTTACATAAAAGGGTCTTTTCTAAAAGCAACAAACAGAGCTAAAAGAAACAATTCACCAAAAAAGAAAAAAGGCAGATTAATAAGTACCAGATTCAAGCGGGGAGAGAGAGAGAGAGAGAGTTAATATGAAAGTAGAAGAGACGGAGATACTGGATCGGTGTTGGTGCTAGGGCTGGGCCGCCTTTGATTCAGGGCTTTTCTTATGCACTTTCGATGAATCTTTTCTTTCTATCAAATTCTCTTTTTGTCTCTCTGCTTCCAATCTCCCTCTCTCTATCTCACTCCGTGGGAATTTAGTCTTTTGGTTTTTATTTTGTTTTAAAAATAAAATTCATAATGGAATTTTTTCTTTCTTTTTCTTTTCCGGATGCTGGGAGGGGGGGGGGGGTTTTAATTTCTCGAAAAAACTGAAGGGGATTGAAAATGGCAGTGACTTGTATTTTTTCCTTAAGTTGTAAGGAATTAAAGAATGAGAGAAAATGAAAGAGATTAGGAGTGAAGGCACGTGGATGGTTTCATGCAAAATTTCCGTCAAAACCAAAAGAGTTCGTATTATTTGGGAAGGATTTGGATTATTTAAGAAACTAAAAAGAGAAGAAGGTGACAAGTTCGACTTCAATGAGGTGGACTTTGGTGCTTGGGTGGGCTCTCTGTGCAAATTCTTTCCTACTTCCTTTCTTTTTTAATTATTTTTTAAATATATCATGTGTCATTCTTTTTATTTTAATTATTTAATTATAATAAAAATTATGTAAAAATCTATATTTATAAATATGAATTTTATATAAAATTTTATAAATTTCACATAATTTAAATTATAATTAATTAATTAATTATGCTATAATAATTATAAATAAAATGCTTTTTGTTTTTTGTCCATAATCGTAATCCAAATTCTTTTTTTCCTTTTTTTGTATATTTAGTAATTCGTATCATCGTGTCGTATAAAATATTATATTTATATTATATTTTATACAAAAATTACATGTTATAATTCATATCGATATAAAAATATAAAATATAAAATATTCTTTTGTTTTATTAAGTCTATTTATGATTTTTTTAAAATTTTAAATCATATTATTTTCGTATTTTTAATTCGTATCGTTTTCATATCATATTACCGTAAAATATTTTAAATTAAGAGATCTAATTTTTTATTATTGAAAATTCAGATCTGATATTTATTATGATAATAAAAAAAAATTTTGTCTAATATTTTTTATACAAGAGAAAGTAGTAAAGCTCAAACTTAAGATCTTACACAAATCTCATCTCAATTAGATTTCAAGTTCAAATCAAATATAAATGGCTATTTTTGGATTGAGATTGATATAGCACGAGTTTTTTAGTTTAATTTAAAGGGCAAAATACTTGTACTTCATTCAAAAATTGATGAGTAGTAACATATCATTTTTTTTTTTTTGGTACATAACATTTGTCTCACTCGTGACATTCAATCAATTAAATTGGAAATTTCAAAATTTTCTAAAGCTCTATTTAAATCTTAGTCCATTACACTTAGTGACTTATACCTATTCATACAAATCAAGTTTTGAATAAAGATTTTTAATTTCGAATTTGATTGATTTGATTTGAAATTTTATTTAATTTTAATTACAAAATATATTTAAAATTATAAAATTAAAATATATTAATAATATTTTAAATAATAATCCACCTAAATGGTCGGGCCGATTAAAACTAAAACAAAATTTTGTAAGTGTTAGTTGGATTTGACACAATTGATTTTTGCTTTCAATTGAATTTTTAATTTTATAAGACGAATAATTTATTAGTAGAATATTAAATTTTTAATTTAAAAAGTTAAATTTAATTTTTGATAATTTTGAATCAATAAATGTAAAATTACAAAAAAAAAATTTCAAATGCAGTCAAATAAAAAATGCCCACCACTGAGAGCAAAGGAGATGTTGGAGGATGAAAAACAATTAATTTTTCATCTTTCACCTCTTGATTTAATGATTTAAAAAATTTTAAAAATATATATATGAACGTGAATTCTAATTTCGTCATTCTTCCTTCTTTTTTGTCCGAATTTTTATCTTTTTATGCAAAAAAAAAAAATTAAATTATTTTAGTCTTTTAGAATAAAGCAGTTAATTATGGTGTTGGCAGTTATTAGTTGAAGATCTTTTACGAGGTATTATTATTTGTTAATTAACTTTCTGAATATTTTATTAATTTGCATTAGCAATAAAATAATTAAGCAAACAGAACGAAATCATGGACGAGAAAAAGCGGACAAAAAAAAAAGGCTATATGGAAAAATCCAAACCTATAATCTTGTTTTCCGTGGCAAAACGGCGTTGTATTATCTGATGAAATAATAATAACAAAGGCAAAGGCATTGTTATATGCAAATTGCACTTTGAATAAGATAAGGTTGATTGACTACGTCGGTGAAAAGTTTTTCTGATACATTTATCTTTGTCTCTGATAATTTAAAAAGCTTGCGATTTTGAATGACCAAAACTTTTTTTATAAGCAGGGTAATCATAAGTTAATTTCAATCAAATTGATTTAATTAATTTAATTTTGATAATTATTAATTAAATGAAGTGATTTAATTGATTAATTTAATCAATTTTTATTTTTAAAATTAATAATAAAATCGGTTGAATTAATCAAACATTTTAATAAATTTTTAAATATATTATATAATATAAATATATAATATTTTTATTTATATTTTAAAAAATGTCATACATTATTTTTTTTTTATAAAAGAATGATGAAAATTTTTAATTTTTTGATAGAATTGATTGATTTATGTCAGCTTAATTACTAAAAATAAATCGGTCAATTTTAATTATTTTTTAAAAAATAATTAATTTGATTTTTAATTTTTTAAGCAAAATAGTAAAGACCAAATGAGTCGTTAGTTGATCGTTTTTATTTCTTTTCCTTTCCATCTTCTCATGTTTCCATTAGATGGCATGAATGTAACCATCTATTATTATCGACAGCATCATCATTGTTTACTTTGATAATTACTTTTGTCATTGATTCTAAACAAAAAAAATATGGCTCGGAAGAAAACCCAATGATAGTGTCATAATATCTTTGCCATTATAATGATTTTTATAATAACAACGGAATAAAAGTTCAAATAATAAAATAAAATTTTTATTTTTAAAAAATATTAAATTAATAATATATAATTCATGAACATTTTACATATTAACCTACGAAAAATTATTTTCAAAATATAAAATATAAATATAAATTACATATTTACGTATACATAATCATATCAAATTCGACTTTATAAAATTATTTTTTTATTTAAAATTTTTAATATTTATTAATTAATTTAAATTATAATTAATTTAAAATTAAATCGAATCAAATTTTATAAAATAAATTTATTTTTTAAAATTTATTTTTTCGTTTATAAAATTCGAATCCGAACTTCTATTATTGAATTCCTTACTACGCAACCAACGTACGTTTGACATCTTTGCAACAACTAACGAGCCTATTTTGTGGGACATTTAAGGGTGTTTCCTAGAGAATTGCTGAAATCAGTGAAAGATATGAAACCCCACACGTTTATGTTGTCTTTTCGGTTGTCTACTCACTCCGTGATAGAGATTGGTGATACATGCTGATTGACTAGGTGTTTGGTCAATCTTTCAATCCCCACTTTCTGAGGCACCATTTTGAAAACGAAAAAAAATTAATTTGAGAAAACAATATTACAAATATTTGATATTTAAATTACAAATTTATTAAATAACAGTGATTATATAAATTAATTAAATTAAGTTCAAAATTCACCTCTAAATTGGAGTATGCTTCTTTATAAATTGCTGGAGTTTTTGATAACAAGTTTATTAAAAATATTCTTTAAAATTATTTTTTACAGTAATATTTTTATATTAAGTATAATAATTGGTGCATTCAAATAATATTTATTTCAATAATAGGAAAATGTATCATTTTATTTAAAATATTAATTTTAAAATTTTCTTTTAAATAAAAAATATAGTAATTGATAATTGATGTGATGATTCAATACATAAAAGACATTACTTAAATTTTTTTTTAAATATTCTTAAAACATTACTAAAACCTATTTATCAAATTTGGGAATTTCTAACCCTTTCTTTAATGAGAAATTTTTGCTTGAAGTTGGGGTTAGGTGAATTGAGAACTAATTAACAAGAAAACAAATAAACTTATCAATTGATGTAATTTCTTATTTATTAAATTTAATATTTTTAAATAAAAATATAATATATTTAAAAATTTTTAATTTATTCTTAAATTCGTTATTTTTATATTTATCTGACTTAAAAAAATTATTATAAACACAAAATTTTTAAAATCTACAACTTTCAAACACCACCTGCAATATCAGCCAAAAGTCAAGTCGGCAATAGCAATATCATAGTTCAATATTACTTGGACGGATACTGAAACTGGCGACATTGAATGTTTGGTCCATTCCTGCTTTACCCAGTTCTTAGAAAATGGGTCCATCTTTCTTCCCACTGTTCCCACCGACTAAAATGAAAAAAAATATATACATATAATGTTGATTGACAATGCCTTTGGTTTTCTTTTCTGCTATGGAAAATGAAAAGTGATGTGATTGGGTCGATTAATCTATCTATATTTGCGTGGATTGGGCGAACCGATAAACGAAACGGCTGCATTCACATGGTCACTCAGAGAATTATCTGTCTGTTTGTGGACTAAAACAGCAGCAACACCCAGTCACCAGCGAGGAAATTTCATAAAGGAGAGCCCATCACCTCACTTTTGGACAAAATGGGAGAATCTTTGGAGTTGACGAGAGTGGTCTATCCTGGGGAGGTGGTATCTTTGATTCTTATGCACTCCCTTTTTTTTTTTTTTTTCTGGTGTATTTTGTTGTACCTCAAATATGATGTGAACAAGAAGAACATTCTTTGTTTTTATTGTTCCACGGCAAATCAGGCCACCAACCCTGCTTGGGCTTCATTTGATGGGCCTTAAGGCAAATGCAGATCTAACTGTTGAATTGGTTGTGTCAAAATTAAAATGGATTGCCAGACTTTGTGCATTTTAGATAGGGCATTCAAATGCTTTACTCAAGGTATTTCAATGCCAACATTATGTTTGAGAATTTTATTTTGGACATTTACTTTCTATTAACACTCTAAAAGTAAAAATACAAAAGAATATTCCAATACCCATATAAAATATCCGAATGCTTCAATATGAAAGTCATGACTTCTCAAAAAAAAAAAATTTAAGAATAAAAGCATGGTCTTTCATATAATAATTATTCACATGAATAATTACTTTTGTAATTACTCTGAGAAATATGTTTTGATCATAAAAAGCGTTTGTTGGTTGAAATAATTCAAAACTAAGCCCATATATTAGCGGCTGGCAGCTGACCAACATCAGCACCAGCTGCTATGAATTGACAAAGTTACAAAAGAAAGGTTCAATTTGGGTTTAACTCAAGTCGTTACAGAGAGCTAACTTGTAATTAGCTAACATATCCCCTTTCGAACTCAGTCTAAACTCATTGGGAGCCACGGCATATGAATTAAGTTGGACAGCAAACGTAAAATTAAATGTTAAACCTTTACTTTTCAGTAACCATAACAACTATTCAGTTAAGTTTGTAAAGGTACTCAGTTTTTTTTTTTTTTTTAATTTGAAGTTATCAAAATTTAAAATTTGATTATTAAAATTAAAAAATCTAACATTTTATCAAGTCAGTGTTAGCAAAATATTCTCTAATATTATCACATTAAGTAATTTTGTCACAAATCGTATAATTCATGTAATTTATTAATAAAATATTAATTAATTTATTACAATTCGAAATATCAAAATAAAAATATTAAACAATCTCTAGAATTCATCAAATTCATTTTCAACTACTACATTTAATAAAAATATTATCATAAATAATAATTTAATCAATTTTAAAAAATATTTTTGAAGCATTTGTTAACAAAACCATGTAATTACGTATCTATAAATTGTTTATTCAAAGTATATATTTCGATTGGCAAAAAAATATATATATATATTTTTCAAACAAATAATGTTGTTGTCCCTAAACTAATTAAGGGAACATTGTACGAAGTGATGAGCAGACCAGCAGATGTCTGTAGAATAAAACAAGAAAGTCTAAATCCAAGGTGACATAATTGATTTTTCCTTCTTCCATCTTCGGGCAATGATAGGGTCAGTCACTGCTTTAGTTGTCCTTTGTCACTGGTTTCCTTATTCAACCACGTCACCTTCAGTCTTAAATTTGCAATCGGTAACTTATTACAATAAGTTAATGGACTTTAGTTGTCCTTTGTCACTGGTTTCCTTATTCAACCACGTCATCTTCAGTCTTAAATTTGCAGTCGGTAACTTATTACATTAAGTTTATGGACTTTTTACTTCCTCTTCTTTGATCATTACAAGAAAATCTCAAATCTCCGATAAAGAATTAGGAATGTCAACGGATAAAATTTAGATGAGTTTTTTTACTCGTTTAAAATTTGATTTAATTTTAAATATATAAAATTTAAATTTAATTCGATAATTTTTTATTATTTTTATATTCGAATTCGATTCGATATTATATAAAATTATATACGATTCGATTTGATTCAAATTAATAAAATATTATTTTTAATATAAATATAAAATTAAATATATATAAATAATTATAAAATTAAATAAATAATTAAAAAAATTATTTATATATATATCGGGTCAAATAGGATCGAATTTACTTAAAACTCCAATCCTGATCCGATTTTAACTTTTTTTTCATGTCACTCGATCCGACACGATCCGATACCCAATTTTCAAAAAAAAAAAATTAACTTTAAAAAATCGAATCTAATCGAACTTCGTCCGTTACGAGTTTTTTTACCTTCTTTAATAAAGACGTAAGGCTTCAAAATTTGTTCGAGACATTAAAAAAGAAAATAAATAAGACAAAGATCAAATCTTAAAAGCTGTTCAAGCCTTCAATGGAATCAGGAACTTAACATTTCTTTCCACACAGATTTTTGCATAATCCGATTTTTCACCTGAACTAGCAATGTAGCTTAATCCCGTCTTCATGTAGAGCTCAAGAGGAAAATTCATGAGGTTGACCCAAACAGGGATTCTGGTCAGATCAATATCCAACAACTTTAACTTTGGTTCCCATCTACGTAGGAATATGGGCTTATTATTAATTAATATGGCTAGGCTCAGATTCCAGTACCCAACTACAAGTTCCTGAGTTAGAGAACTTAGAAAGATACAAATTTTGGCCTGCAACCTTAATTTCAATAGAACCCTTCTTTCCCATAAAAGGTTTGCAGTCTCTTTCCCCATCAAGTCTCAGCAGATGATCTAAAGATTTCCTCTGCTTCAACTTAGAGCTGGTGAGAATCGAGAAAGATGATTCTCCAATCAAGAACTCAGAAGATGAAAACGAAGACTGTAAATCCAAAAGGAATTTCAAATTAAAGACCAAAATACAACTAGGAACAGGCTGAAAAAAAGCTGAGAAACCAACAAAGAATAGAACAGCAAAACAAAGAATTAAAAATGGAAGAAAACGATCAAGAATCGAAGAAAAATGGTGGAGAAATTAGAAGAAAGCAGTTCTCTCCTTTCTCGCCTTTTTAGGAGTTTCGTCTTCATGTCTTATTTGCTTGGACAAATGTTACAAAACCCACAAACTTCTGTAGAGTAATTTTTTCTTGAATTTTACTTTATTCTGCTCTTCAAGTCATCAGTTTGGCCTCTAAGGAAGCAAAAAAAAAAAAGGGTCTTCAAGCCTTCCCACACAACAAAATGAAAGGTTGAAGCATGTGTTTCTATGATGGAGGTATGGAATTGAATTCACTCATCTAGTTGACGTGACTATTATACCAATGGTATAATCATGTCAACTTGTGGATAGATTTAATTAAAGAAATGTAGGTAGGTATGTCTGATGATTAGATTCAAGAAAAAAAGTGAGAGATTTGGAGTCAGAGAGAACAGCTTGATAGAGTTTTTCTTAAGAAGCCATTTGACTCAGCTTGATACAGTGCGGACTTCTGAGTTAATTCGGAGAAATTTGCTAATGAGTGGAATAAGCATGCTATTCTCTGTGAAAGTTTAGGTTATTTAAAAAAAAAGAAAAAGGAATGATTAAAGTTTTGGTCATACCACGTGGCAGCATAAGTAAGCGAGTTCCACTGCCCCTAACAATTTCCATCTTCAGTATCCTGCTCACTCGACAACTTTTCTTTCCTTCGCTTGAGAAAAGAATCATTGTCGAGATCTCATGCAAATTTGCAGTGACAAATCTCATTTCCTTTTAGATATTTGTTATATAATAATTATTAAAAATTAAATTTTATTCATTAAATTCGGTTGGATTTACTAATTTGCCATAACAATAAACGCCTTGGAATTAGTAAAATCTAAAATTTATTTCTTATATAATATAAAGACTTCATATTTGATACAGTCATGGTTGATCAAAGTCAAATTCAACATTACAAATTATTCTATGGACATAGCTCACCCTTGTACGTAACTGCAGGGTTTGTGGTGAGCCGTTGATAGACTTAATCTTGTTATTGTAATTGAAAAAAAATTTGAATTGAAAAAATATATTTAAAAAATGTGATACGAAAAATAAAATTAAAAAATGTTCGATATTACTATGAATTATATACTTTATTAATAGTCTGAAGTCTGAATATATCAAATAAAAGATACTGGATCTTTATTAATAGACTCTTTGAGAGTTGTTACTCTTATCTTTCATCAATGGCTCTTATAATTCCTGGTGTTAAATGTGCTAGAAGGAGACGGATCCATCAAAGCGGAGGGTCATCTGATTCACCAAGCCAGACAGCACTTGGCTTCACAAGAAAATCGTACTTTTGTTTGTATACAAGCAATAATGGAACTCATCAGAGCTTTGTTTCTTCACAGGTACTTTCTTCTTTTCCTGGTTATATTGAGGAGATTGTAATTGGAACTGACAAGGGTTTTATTTGAAAAAAAAAAGCAAAGGAGCATGTTCATTCGGGCCTCTGAAGATGAGAAGCTAGGAGGGGTAGCAGGAGAAGCTAAGGAAAGATTAGATGAGAGGCTGAGATCACATGCCAAATCAGAACCCAAAAGGTACTAAACTGCAGAATATTTGCTTATATTAGGCTCCTCTTAGCAGAACTGTGATGCTACTTGCTAACATGCCGCTTAATTTTTAATATTATATTTTATTTATGAATGATTTATAATTAAAGATAAACCACGTACCCATCTGATGATATTTGACTTTCTCACATATGTTTTTTAAAGAATTTTTTTCACTTGTAACCCTAAATAATTCTGAGATATCTCTTTATTATCATAAAGTCTTACGGCGTTAATGAATTAATGAAATAACTTTAACATCCTTTTTCTTAACCCAAATTTTCAAATCTTGCCATTGATAACTACTTAAACCTTAATATTAGATTTAAAAATCTTTCTCGTTAAATGTTTTTACCATTTCTCCAAGTTCAAAAATCCAGTGTTTATTAAAAATAAAAAAATTGAACATTAGCTCAATATCATGAGTTTTATTTCAACTGTAATTCTAAAAAAATAATAAAAAATAGTTGAAAATTGACGCTTTCAACAACAGATGGCCTCTTTAAAAGAGGAAAATGAAAAAAAAAAAAAAAGGTTTAACTTTCATGTTTATCTTAAATTCTCCTAACAAAATTGAAGCTTTCACAAACTATTTTCTTACTTCACACCAAGTTGAAAATCTCAAAAGATAAAGAAGATGATGGCCCACAATCAATTATAATGGGTATTTTTATTGAGTTTACACTTTGATACTTTATTAATGTATAAATTTTATATATTATTAATAAATTAAATGATATCACATCATTAATGAGTAAATATCGACCTCAAAATAAATATATAAAAATTAATTTTTTAAAAAAAATTATTTATTAATAAAGTGATATCATCCGATTTATTTCATTAATAAGATAATATCATCATATTCATTGATAATATATAAAATAGATATACTAACAATACATCAAATATAAATACATTCTTATTTTACTCATAATTGAAATTTTTATCGTATAGCTTAGCACCAACAATCAACTTTAATTCATCTTACTTTTCAAAAGCATTATTATCACCATATTTAACCAAAAAAAAAAAGCCACAATCATAATCATCACCTAAATAAGCTAAGTGTCAAATTTACTAAATTGATCATACCTAAACTACCCAATTCTACAAATCCCCAAATTCTTTTTCTTTCTCAGCAAAATTGTCCAAAAAGTTGTAAAATATAAAGAATCCATGGGGTGGGTTGGCAAGCAATCAATTAATTTATGAAATGGTGAGCAAAATTAGAGATAAAAATAGGTAGAAAGGGAAAATTACAGACCCAAAAGAATTTCATATCCATAAAAATTACATACCCAGCTTCAATATGAAAAACTAATATCGGATACTTGCCTGAAAAAGATAAAGAGTTGTGAATTTCTCCTACAAAGATACTATCCATTCCCACAAAAAGCAAGGAGGATCTTAGAATCTTTCATTCGTAGGGCTTAAAGACTCGCTTTGTGTCTTTTATCTTTGTCTTTTTGACAATGGAAGTAAGTTAAATAGAAGTTGGATTTCTATGCGAAAGCTCAGTTTAGCTAAGTCTTGAATTGAAAGGCTTTCAATCTAACAGGAATAGCAAGTTACAAGGCAATCTTTCCTGAGAGCTAACAAAGAATTGAGTAACCAAATGTTTGAAGGAAAGTCAAAAAAGATAAGAGCTGGAAAAAAAATATGCTGCCCCATTATGTTTAAGAGATTGCAAGAAAAAAACTAGGGATTTGAAAGATTGGAAGAAGTGGGTAAGAGAAGAGGAAAGACGTTTTGAAAGAAAAATGAAATTACTCAAAGGGAAAATAAGGGTGTAATTGTAATTTTATATTACTTAATTTGAGCATATGATAAAAGTGCATAACTGTACGAGATATTAGCACTGTAAGTCTTATGGTAACAGGGAATATATGGAAATTTATCCTATTAGTAATGTAATATTTAACTAAATTAATTCATTAAATACTCTAATTAATATTTTTAACTTTATTTTATTTCTACAATTTAACTTTAATTTATTAATTTAATTTTTTAATAATATACATTAAATTTGACTTTAAATTTAAGTATAAAAGTCAAACTTTGAAATAATAAATTAGTATTTAATGAATTCCGATAATTAATGAATTTTTTAATATTATATGAGTAAGATTTAAATAGCAAAAATTAAAAAGTATTCGAGTAATTATTAAATTAAAATATTTTGATAAATAATGGAATTCAATTACAGGTACCCGGAAAATAACCGATATATTAACTTTTGCCGTCCTTACTTATTTCCCTGTTTTGGGCATTGAAATTCGAAATCATCAGGCAAAATAGCAAAGAAAGTTTGAAGTGCTTGGATGGGAAATGTTTGATTCAAACGGAGTTGCATGCAGAAATGCTTGGGCCAAAGAAGAGTGGTCAGAAGTGGTTCAGTTGGGCCAACTTGAGTTCGAAGGCCTCGGATCAGGAGGAGTGCGCCATTTGTCCAGAACGGTTCAAGGCTTCGTTCCCCATGAGCGCATCGGTTTCATTCAAGGGGCCTGCCTGCTGCCATGGCTAGAGAATAATGTTCATTGCCATGTTGTTCTTGAAGAAAATTATTGCTATTCATGACATGACATGACATGTGATGAATTACCCATAAATAAGGAATTTGCTTGTTTATAGGTGTGAATTAAAATTCTAATTAGCAATGTGTAATTTCTAGTTATATTTTTCCTAGTTTCTAAATGGTTGGTAGTGCTAGGATTATGTATCAAAAATTTTTTTGATATTACATTAAATTGCATTAACTTTGAAACAAATATATTTAACGATTTTTACCTATGCACACGCACGAATGAAAAAGTTTAACATTTTATTTTAAGAGTAACATGAGGAATGATTTTTAAATTATAATAAAATGTTTGATTTGATATTTAAATTTTAAAAATTTTTAATTTAATAATTATATTATAAATTTATTAAATAATATAATATTTAAAAAATTATTTATTTATCACATATTATTATTTAAAATTAATTATAATAATAAAAATAATTATCACATTAATTAATAAATTTATAATTATATATCACATTAAAAATTTTTAAAATTTAAATATTTTATTATAATTTAAATGAAGTTCATAACATTAACTCTTTCTTTTAGCCTACCCCCAACAAAGTACTTCTCTTTTGAGAATAGTCTCAACAAAAGTTTTAAAGGTAATAAGCCAATAATGACGTCCAATCATATCCATAACTTACTTATCCTTGGAGGTTAGTTTACACTTGATTTTTTTTTCTCAATATTTCATTTGGTACATTTTTTTGTTAAAATAATAAATAAATATTTGAACTTTATCACTATATAAGTTTATATATTTTTACGACATCTAAATAAATTTTTAATTTTTAATTTATATTTAAATAAGACATTAACTTTTATTTCATATTCAAATAAATCTTAACTTTTAATTTGTATTTAAATAAATATTCAAAATATATTAATTTTTATTGAAAATAAAAATATATTTAAATATAAATAAAAATATAAATTAAAACTGAAGGCCCCACTAATAAGGAAAATGATAATATTTACTCCCTCCGCCCCAAAATAGTTGTACCCTTTATAATTTTTTGGTCAAAGTAATTTCACTTTGACTTTTTTTCTTGAAATATATTATTAAATTAAAATTTTAAAAAATATGTTTTAAAATTTTCAAATTTCAAAATTCAAAATTTAAAATTTACAAATTTTATTTTTATTTTTATTATTTTATTAAAAATAATGATCAAAATTGAGTTATTTGACAAAAAAATTAATAAAGGACAATAATTTTGGGACAGAGGGAGAATCAATGAGATTTGGAAAAGGCGTAACATTTTTATCTTTCAACTCTCAATGACTAATTTTTAATAACTGTTTTAAGCTATTCCCAAAATCTCTAAACTAAACAACCTCACTTTATTCTATTCAAACGCATACCCATAAATTTTACTTAAAAATTCAAAGCTTTCGATTGAAATCATCACTCTAAAACCGTTTTTAAAGCTTTCATTTGTTAGAAATAGTGATTTAAATTTCATAAAAAATTTATTTAAAATTAATTAAATATTACTTAATGAATAAAATGACTTATAAGAAAAAAATTTAGAAAAAAATAATTTTTGATGGGTAAATTTATATATTTATAAATAGATAAAGTCTTTATAAGATTAAATATGATAAAAATATGTAAGAGAATTTTAAGGTTTTTGAGATAAATACCTTATAGGACTACTAAAGATTTACGTTTTATAGGTGTGTATGTTTAAATATTTATGAGTGGATTAGAAGATACCGAGAGAGTCCATATACGTATGGCGTACGAGTGCATATGGATATGTGTTTATTTGGATTGAGAATACTCCATAAGATTAACGAAATTTGAAAGAATCTATGATATTAATTGTTGATTGAGATAGATTTATTGACGTAGATTTATAATTCTATATAACTAATAGATTTTATTCTTATCCGTTGATGTAAGTTAGTTAGACAGAACCAAATTGAATTGTTATCTTTTTTATAATTGATTAATTGTTTGATTTTATTTTTGTTGATGTAAATGTTTAATTGGAATGGAGTTATGTAATCTAACAAGTGATATCCGAGCTGAAAGTTTAAGAGATGGAAAAAGGCAAGCCCAGTAGGGTTTGATTCAAGAGAAAAGCTCGAGTTTGTATTTTAAAAATTAATTTGTGTGAAACTTGAAGAGGTATAAGAGAATATTGTTATAAGACTTTTATTGCAAGGAGAGTCAAGCATATCTAGCATAAAATTTGATGATTTAATAGAATTTAAGTTAAGATAGAGTTTGTTAGCAATAGTAACTCAAATCTCACAAAAAATTTGTTTAAAATTTGATAAATATTACTTAATGAATTAAAAAACTTGTAGGAGAAATTTTTTAAAAGAAAATGATTCTTGATAGATAAGTTTGTATATTTATAAATATGTGAAGTATTTATAAAGTTAAATATAAAAAAAAAAGATATAAAAGAGTTATAAGACTTTATGAGATAGATATCTCATATGACTATTAAATATTTATGTATTATCAGTGTGTATTTTTAAATATTTGTGAGTGAATAGGAAGAGACTGAGAGGGTTTACATATATATGATAAACTGGTGCTCATGGATATACATGGATATACATTTGTTTGAATTAAGAATATTTCATAGAAATAGAGAATATTGAGATAATCTATGAGTATTAATTGTCTAATGAGATTGATTTATTGATGTATATTTATAATTTTTTATAATTTAAAAATTTTTTATTGTTCGTATACATAAGTCAATTGAGTTAAATTATGTTAAATTATTATTTTTTACATGATTGATTGATTGTTTGATTTTGTTTCTATTAGCATGAATTTTTTTTTAATTGGATTGAGACTATTTGGCTTAATAAATAATATTAGAGTTATTGTGATCCTGCATCATTAACAAACCAAAAGGTCAAAAATGGTGTACAATTATACATCTACATACGATTCCAGTCTCCATGAATCATCATTTCGCTTTGCAAGACAATCCTTCTATGAAGCATGACACAACAGACCTTTACTCGTACTAGTGTTGTATCAGTGTTCGATATAGAAAAGCCATCGACACGTCAAAATACATACCAAATACGATGGGATATGCCAAAAAAATAAAAAACAAATCAGATATAGTCTTGACACGGATTAGGCAATGAACAATAGTAAAAAGGGGATGGAAACCGATGGTGACTTCTAGTTCTTTTTGTAGATCTTGGTAACAATTTTTTTATATCTAGGCTTTTCTTGTTATTTTTGGGAAATCTAATTGGATAGAAAGAAAGAGGAAGTTGAGACGAGTTTTAGGTTTTTTGGGTTGAAATGGATGGTGGCAGACAATAAATGATGGTGGTTGACGATGGGTGATAGGGGTGCGATGGCAGCATGCCAAAATTTAGGCGGAGTTGAGAGGTGAAAGGATGGAGAGGGTGTAGAGAGAAGAAGAATGAAGAAACGAAAAAAAATGGATCATTTATAAACGCATCTAAACAGAGCGTTTTGGAGGAAAAAAGAGAAAAAAAAATATATAGGTAGGAAGGAGAACAAGAAAGAAAAGAAAAATAAGATAAAGAAAGGAAATAAGAAAAAAGAAAAGAAGGAAAAAAAGAAAAAAACAAATTACTAAATATATTTAGAATTTTATAAACTATTAGCATTAAAAATTAAATTAATAAAATTGTAATTATGTTTATTAAATTTTTTTCTACACAATTCTAATTATATTTATAGTTATATTATATTTTATTTTACTTTTACACGCCATTAATTATTTTTTAATTATATTTAATTAAAATTATGAATATAAAAAATATATAAAAATTTTTTTATTTTCATGTTTTGCCGTACCCGAATCACTTTATCAAGTTTTTTCTTTCAATTTTTAAAAATTCACTAATTAAATAAATTTTTTTGTACGAAGTTTAACCTGACGCCACAAGTGCACCCTCCAATTTTTTTTTTTTAAACTCTTTTTTACTACTTTAAAACTTTTTTATTGTTTTTTAATTTTTGTTTTTATTTACAAGATTTTATATTTAATAAATATTTTTTAAAAATTTTAAAAAGTGAGATACATTTATGCTAATTTTTTCCCTTTTTTACTTTTTTTAATAAATTTTTTATAAATATTTTTAAAATATATATTTTATTATTAATTTTATTATACATTATATTAATAAAATTATTATTTGATGCATTAATTTAATAAATTGATATTTTAAACTCAATAAAAGTGTCAATATGATATCCTTTATAAGTTTTTTTTTTTTATGTTTTTTCACTTTTATCTTTTAATTTTTTTTTATTTTTTGTTTTTAATTTTTTTTTTAATTAGGGAAATTTGGAAAGAAAAAGAGGCAATTGAAATATCCATCTATCATCCCTACTTGGTTATTTTGAACCTTTTTCCATTTTATTTTTTAATTAAATAAATTTTATGATAAGAAAATCAAAAAATAAATATTATAAAATAAAAATTTTTTTGATCCCAACGACGCGGGTAATAATGCTAATATAATATAAACGCTTCATATTTGATATAGTCTTGGTCCATGAAGTCAAATTCAACTTTACATAGTAACAAAAACTTTTATGCAATAAGAATCTGAAAATGTTTATTTCCATAAAAAAGAAAGAAAATTAATTCTTCGCCCAAAAATTATTCTGGAACAAGAAAGTTACCATGAAGCTTCCTTTGTATATTTGGTCGGAGCCATGAAGCTTCCTTGCCTCCTTCCTTTTTCCTTTTTAGTTTACTTTTTCTTCTCCTTTCAAAGGCTGAAAGCCGAAAATGATTTGAGGAAGACACTGAAGCCTGAAATCTGAATATAACAAATAAAACACACTGCATCTCTATTAATAGTCCTTTTTTTCAGAATTATTACTCTTATTTCATCAATGGCTGGTATGCTTCCTGGTGTTGAATGTGCTAGAAGGAGACGGATCTATCAAAGCGGGGGGTCGTCTGATTCACCAAGCCTGGCAGCGACTGGCTTGACAAGGAGATCCACTTTTTGTTTGTATACAAGCAACCATGAAACTCATAATAGCTCTGTTTCTTCTCAGGTATTTTCTTCTTTTCCTGATTATTTACAGTAATTTTGGGTCCATATCGAGGAGATTGTAATTGGAACTGACTTGGGTTTTATTTGAAAAAAAAAAAAAGCAAAGGAGCATATTAATTCAAGCCCATCAAGATGAGAGGTTGGGAGGGGCAGCAGGAGAAGCCAAGGAAAGATTAGATCAGAGGCTGAGAACACAAAGAAAATCAAAACCCGAAAGGTACTAAAGCAAAACTGTTATGCTACTTGCTAATATGAACATCAATTTGCTTCTAGTTTTGGCACTTATTGGTTCCCCTGTTTTGGGCATTGAAAATTGAAATCATCAGGCAAAATAGCAAAGAAAGTTTGAAGTGCGTGGATGGGAGATGTTTGATTCAAGGAGAGTTGCATACAGAAGCGTCTGGGTCAAAGAAGAGTGGTCAGAAGAGGTTCAGTTGGACCAAGTTGAGGTGGAAGGCCTCGGTTCAGGAGGAGTGCGCCATATGTCTAGAACGGTTCAAGGCTGGTGAGACCCAGGTTCATCCCCCATGCTCGCATCAGTTTCATTCAAGGGGCCTACCTGGTCACATGGCCAGAGAATAATGCTCATTGCCCATGTTGTAGAAGAAAATTATTTTTTCTTCCCATCCTAGCAATTTTCTTGTTCCGGTAGGATGCCAAAGAATTCTTGTAGCCTTCTAAGGTTGGTATGCTAAAAATGCATGACATAACATGACATTTAATGGATTACCCACGAATCTGGAAATTGTTAGCTCCATATATATGAAATTAAAATTTCTAATTCTTCTCATGTTTATAGTTGTAGCTTTCCTTATTTCAAAATGGTTGATCGTGTTAGCATTTTGGTTTTCAAAACAAAAAGATTTAAATTCAATTCTTTAAATGTTCGGCTGCTGATTTCATCGTTTGGTACTTTTCCAAAAGCTTTTATGGTATAATAAGCCAACAATGCCGTCCAATCATATCCATAGTCAACTTTTCCTTGATAATTAGTATATACTTGGTCATTTTTTTCTTCTTATATTTCGTTTTGGTAAATTTTACTAATTTCCTTATGTTATCCCTTAATTAGGGTTTAAAGAGGGCAACTCAAAAACAGAAGAAAGCAAGTTTTTTCTCCCTCCCTCATTTAGGTAAAGAGAGATTTGATTTTTTAGGGAAACATCCATCTTCATCACCAATAGCTAACTGCTATGAGAAAACCGCGATTCACACTATTAATTTTAAAAAGGGAGGAAATATCTTAGTAATTTTATTCTTCTTTTTAGGTTTTTTTTTTGGTTTTTTATTTAAATTTAAAATTTAACTCAAATAATTCATTTATTTTTATAAAATTAAAATTCAATCTTCAACGTTTACAATTTTTTTTTTTAATTTTTAAACTTCTATCTCTCTTTATAAAAAAATCATTTTAACTAGTTCAGATTTCGGGAAACAAATCCTTACTAAACGAACATTTCCATTGTTGCTATTTTCATGTATTTCTTTTTTTTTTTCCTTTTTGGAAATTCAGCTTACAGACTCAAGCTAATTAAGATTTGATTTAATAAAGCTTACATAGTTTCCATGGAGTTTTTTTTTTTTTTGTCAACAAATAATTTTTATGGAGTTTAATTTTTATATTTTAATTTTTATGGAGTTTAATTTATATGGTTGTCAATTATTGTTAAAAAAAATCGAATAATGTAAATTTTTTTTAAAAAAATGATAATATCGGTATCAATTACTTTAACATAATATTTCAAAATTTTTTTATTTAATATGAATATAGTTATAAATATATATAAATTTGTACATAATAATATTACTAATAATATGTAAAATAAATATAAAATATCTTTAAAAATTAAATATTAAAGTTTAAAAATATAACAACTCATATTGTTAGTTTATCCTGATATTTTTAAATATTTAATTTGATCATATAATATTTAATGAAATATCTTTCATATAAAAATATACTAAAATAAAAACAAAGAGATGAAAAAATAATCTCAGATTTATAATTCTTAAATTTTAAAAAGAAAATACAATTATTTTCTTGAAAAATATTGAAATACTTATAAATTTTGATTTAAAAAAATAAAGTGTAAAAAAAAAAATTGTATTAAAAAATAGAGAAACTTAACTTTCATGAGTTATTATATTAATTATTTTATTGTTATTAGGTTAAAAATAATCAAACAATAAAAGACAAATTAAAAATTATAAAATATATTTTATATTTATGTATTAGTCGAAATAAGCTATTCCACCAAAATTCACTAAAATCAGTCGAAACAAATAAAAACAACTGATATTACTTGATACCAAGTCCGATATGAAATATTACCTTTAAATTTATCATATTTTGGCATAACTAGAACATACCTACGACCAATACCGAAACAAATTTAACAACAATGCATCCAACACTAACTGTTTCATTGTTTAGACAACAGAGTTGAAAGTCCAAGATAACGTTCAGCATTCAAGCTGCTGCTTCAGCAGCAGAGGAGACTTTCTGGAGCACAAAAACAGGATCTCCCACTTTAATCACCTTGCCCTTCCCTCCAGCAAGACTTTCTTTGCAAACCAAGTTCTGCCCAAAGTAGATCTGCCATGTTGTGAAACATAATTATTTACGTATCATTTGCATGGGAAGGGACACAGAAGGATACAGCTGAAAGTTCTGGATTTACATCTTACCTTCCCTTGATGTTTCCGGCCTGGTCGCAAAACCTTATCCGACCTGACTTTCTTAAGAGTGTCATTTGGCTCCGGGCCAGCAATTGCGGTTTCTTGATTGATTGTAGGTATCTACTAAATGCAAAATCGTCTCTTTTAAATGTTTTAAGGATAGAGTATGCATAAGCATATGAAATTCACAGCTATGATGACTTTAAAATTATAGCACACTGCAAATGCTAAGCACTCAAACAAGAAAAGGAGGCATTATTGTATGGAAAATATGGATTATTCCTTGGAATTAACCGCCCGTTTGTAAGTTTGCATGCCTCCAAATAAGATATTCAGAATCAAGGTATTAATGAACCCAGGTAAGATATCGATATGGAAACAAACAAACCCCACCCCTCATTACCACCCAAATAAAAAGCTCTTAGAGATGCTCAAATATCTTACTCTTTTATTTTCCCATATATGTAATTGGGATTATTGAAAGGAAATATGAAGGATTTTCCAAAATTGCAAGTGATAATAATGGCTACAGTAATCCTCCAGCAAGACATTCTGATGAATTTTTCACCATTAAACCTATTGGCTGTCTTCCACTCAACCAGACACTTTAGCTCTTTCTGATTGTCTTCAACATAAGGTAGTAAAAGAGAGAGGGAGGGGTAATAAATTGCATAGAAAGAGTAACCCCAAATAATAACAATGGTGTACTTACACTTGACAAGTTGACATCACCAACTTATACTCTCAAGATAAATTAATTTTCATAAGATAGGCTGAAATTCTGAAAATGCAGAATGGATAGCTTCTTACCTTACAGCGGGAGCATAGTTTCACACCTTGAAACGAAAATTGGCTTATTTTAATCTCTGTCCATAAGTCTTCAGAAAACGGTTCACAACCATGAACGAGGATGCTGTCACAAGCAAGTAAACTATGAAATAATGTCATAAATAATACAGAAAAAGAGTTAGACAGGGTAAACAAACTTAGAGTCAGCCACATGTTTTCCATAGGAAAAATCATGAGAGAAATTTACAAAGATTTGAATTTTTAGCAGTAAGTCGATCCTAGAGGAGATTTGTTCACGGCAGCAGTACACAGATGAAGCACATGCTAAATAAAAATCAAGAGACACAGTATAAGCCTGAAAAGGAAAAAAAAAATACTTGGGTCTAAAACGATTAATTGGTACAGGCTCTTTCAGAAGCTTGTTAAGTGCATCCAATGATTCCTGCAAAAGTTTGTACTTATAACATCAGGTTTGAGCTTTGTCTAATAATAATAATAATAATAATTGTTAGTATTATTATTATTTTGAAAAAAAAAAACTAAACATCATTTCCAAATCTTACAAACCTGAGATGATAGCATGAATGGGTACCCGTCAGAGAACATTACAATATGCCCATGAGCATATGCAGGATCTACAGGCCTAGTTTCCGATGCTGCATTTATTAAATAATAATGTAACCAAATTATTGGCCATATAAATTTGAGACTAAAAGTATCTTAATATGCACACTATGCCAACATGTCAGAAGTATCTATATATTTTCTGTTCTTCAAGGCAAATATTTTCATCTGAATCATCTCAGTAAAGCCTACCAAAAATATTGTACGTTTTCCTCTTTATTATTTCTGATTAATTAATAGGAATAACTGGGATAGGGATTTTGATCTTTGGATCTTTGAGGAGTGGTTTGGTGACCATGAGCTACTCTCAATCCAAATCCTCTGCTTTCCCTTGATATCCCTTATTAATGCACTTAATGTCCAAGTGAGCTACAAAGTAAGCAACTCTCCACCCATATCGTTTCCCTTCATAAACCCAAGCAATGCACTTAATATCCTATTCATTGAAATGTACCAGAATCAAACCAACCTGCATTAAAACGAACTAGCCTACTGGGTTTCCCAAGATAATTCGTAAACCATTTTGAAGCCTCATCACCCTCATCCAACGCAGAACCAGACCACTCCCAGACTGAAACACCATCTGCTATTGCTGGTGGCTTACTAAGTGAAACCTTGAGCAAATCCATTCCAGGTGCTTTTATTACTGCAAATGAAAGTGAATAAGGGTCATGACAGTAAATCTCATGAAAATCAAAGGAAATCATGATTCGCACGTATCAAACAATGGTAAAAGAAAGACAAACTTCTTAGCATCCCCACATTGCAAAGGAGATGAGACATGAAGGTAGAACCAAACTATTAGAATGAATCAGTATAGGATATTAACAATACCAAATAATTAACCACACCCAATATAAGGAAGAAGAGTTTCCATGAAAGGGTCATCAGTGCAAAATCCTCAATAAAATCATGGGAACCACAACTTGACAATTCAATGAGTAAATCAAAAGAAATGGCGGTTTTTATTCTTGTTTACAATTTACCAAAGTTATAAAATTATTTCATCGTTTTTTTAAAATGATCAACTCCAATTGATAATCATTATACCAACTTGCTCACACAATTTCTATAATTAGGGAAAAAAATTTTTGATGGCTTAGATTGTTTGGCCCTCTGCAACATAGGCCTTGAGATGCTTTGGTGCAGAAAAGTGTTGTAACTCAAGTAATGAGAAATGATTTGGCATCTTTAGATCTTTCCTTGACTATAACAACATACTGAGCAAAAGGCAGAGAAAAATGCATGTAAGAAACACCACATAGTTCAGGATGAAGGGTAAGTTTATTTGAGTTGGTTTGCCAGGGAAAAATAGATGAAGCCAGTTTTTTGAAAAATCAAATCACAATTAACATCGCCATGAAAAAATCTGCTTACAATGAGCATCACATGATACAACATCGGCAATAACTGTGCTATAGATTAATGATAGTCAATGATAAGCTGATTTACCTATATATGAGGCCTTGGTAGGTTCCCAACCCTCCAAAAAGGCCTCATTTGGCAGTTCGACCTGGACTAGAGCAAGCTTTGGTTCAACCCTTTGAGTATATGCTCTCCCTTTCTGATTCACAACAAGCCATTGCCTATCCCATCGAAATCCTGTATATCCATCATCGAACGAACATAAGAAAGAAATTATCCTTGCTTGCAGGTCAGCCACCAAGAATAAATTGAACAGGTTGACAGGTTGTTAGGCCTGTGAACATCTCCAATCAAGCTACCTTGACTGTTTATTTTCAAAGATTTTACAAGTTTTAAATAAAGTGTTGGGAATTTTTGCTTCCATTCTACTTTATTGGAAAAGAGACCAATTTGGTGTGTGAATAAAGTTGAAAGAAATCAAAGGGATAGTGAGAAAATGGTGAATAATCCCCAAAATTAAAGAAAAAGTGATTCATAATAATCACCACTATAGTTGTCCAATATTTCTTAGTTCTAATGTCATTTGGATTAACTTCAAATCACACAGGAAACTCGGACTTGGTGTGGTATAAGAATTGGGTTTAGCACCACAAACCAAAAGAAAAAAAAGGCATATGATGCAGGGGAGAAACATACAGATAAGAAGAAAGAGAAATAAACCCACACTTGAAGTTGAAGTCTAAGAAATTTCAAGGATTAAGTGTAATAAAATAGAAAAGAGAAGTGGGCGAAAGAAAGAGAAGAAAATACCAGTAGGAGTGAGGGGTGCATGAGGTACAGAAATTCCACGGCATGATTTGATTGGATAGATGAAGATTGATGATATCTTAGCAGCGGCACCAGCTTCCATTGATGATGAAACCTTCTCCATATCTCCTTCTCCGCACAATTCGGACAACGATAATCTTCAGTTACTTTGCTTCTTCTTTCTTCTGTCCAAGCTATCCTCTGACTCTCCAGCCTACCAAAAGGCAAAGATAAAACAGCCAGAACACATGAATTTCATGTACCAAAAAGAAAAAAAAAAACGTGAATTTCATTTTTTTTTTGTAGTAACGACAGCAAACTGATTTTGGATTTTTGCAGGTTGGATTAGAAGAGTGGACTAATCTGAATCCGAAATGGCCACCACACGTACACCCCCCTTCCTCTCTATAAAATATGCTTTGCTTACAACTTATAATTTGAGATTAGATACCGTACCCATTTTCAATTTTCAAAAGCCAATCCAATTCTATTTTTTAATTCAATAATGCTTTTTATGTAATTACTCAATATTGATTATTCTCTATTCTTTTCATTGATGGGATCTTTTAACTTAAAAAAAAACAAATTGGGTATTTGAAAAAGGGATAGGTGTTTGGAATTTGGATAATAAAATATTAGTATTAATATAAATTATTAGGATTACTGAGATTAGTTTGGATTCCATCCTAGAATAATCCAAGTTCCTTTTTGAGGCCAATTGCATTGTAGAGTGAATTTTGATAGCAACTCTGAGAAAATTGGTCCCAATATCTCTTAGAATAGTCAATTGTCCTTCGTAGAATAGAAGAACGTCTTTGTGTAAAAATGAAGATATTTTTCAATTACGACGGTTCATTGAATATGTATCCATCCCAATATAAACAGTTTGGGGATACTTAGTCTTTTGTGGTTGAAGAATGTATAATCCTAATTCACTGATGTTAAGTGTTAACCACTGGAACTAAGATAAACAGTAAACAAGGGTGGTGGAAAGATAAAGAGCACTTCTTCACCAGGGGCTAACGGCTAACTTACTCCCGTTATCAGCATTCTACTTGGAGAAAATCCTGTTGGCAATCAATATTTTTTCCCAACTACTTACTGTAATAGACCCAATTAGGATGATCAGATGAAACTATATATCAAGTTATGCTTCCATCTACTGCTTCTTCATTCAACTCTCCAAGTATGAATAGAGACAGATAGGGAGGATTGAAGATGGGGTGAACATGAAGAAACAGAAAAATGTACTAATCTTTTGGATTCATCAACATGATACTTTCTGCATTCATAAAATTTTCCAAATACTGATTGTTCTCTTTTTCTTTTATTCTATTTTTTAAAGCATACTTAGTAGCTTTTGAACAAAACTGCCGAGGATCCTATCTAGTCAAAACTCATTTAAAACAATGTATGCTCTTGATAGATGTCCAACGCCTTGATGACCTTCTCTATTAACAATTTCCGGTGCAGTCTGTACCTGCATGTCAGAGTGACTTCAACTCAGTCTGTAATTAAGAATTAAAATCTAAATGCGTGAGGAAAAGGTATGTTATGACCGAATCAAAAACTTGATTGCAGTTTCATGCGTCCTCCTTGCATCAGGCATAGAATCTGTTGTTAGAAAATAAAGAGGTAAAAAAAGACTGCGTCAAAAATCCAAAAAAAGACTAAAATAAAATTTAGCCAAGTCAACATGATCAGCATTATTTTTAGAGTTAAAACACATTTTTAAGTTTGGAGAAGCCAGTTTCAAGCCCCCAGCCTCAACAGGAAATTTTCCCTGATCTCTACAACCCATATAAGATCCTCAGAGCCAGTGAAAACTGGCATGAACATGGTATCTAGAAAGTTAAACGGCAAAAGAATTAGAGCTTCTATGAAGTAATAATTCAGATTTCAAATCAAAGGTACTGCAATTTTGTAGTAATTAAATTTAACAGCAGATAAAAAACAGATCTTAAAATGCTTATGGTAACAAACTATTAGCAAAAGTTTTTCATAATGCTAGCTTAAACAGAGCTTAAACCATGAAAACTTAAACACATTATTTTTCAAGGAATTAGGACTCTGCAAGCTTTCAGAGAACAGGCCAACTATTCCAAATCAGAGAACAGGCCAACTAGTAATTTCTGGTCTTGCTCAGAAGTTGTAGGAAACAGTGCAAGCATCTGCTGACATTCTTCCTGTAAATCCTTCACAGCTTTCCTTTCCATGTTAGGGATTGGAGGAATATCACCATCTGACCATGTGGGCAATGTTCTTGCGGTGGCTATGACTGCCCTGTCGACAAAATTATCTCTATTATCCCCTAACCGACTTGATAAGAATTTGTAAGCTTAAGGTGCTGAGTTATGCATAAAAAATCACTGTTCTCATTCAAAAAGTTCTGAAAAGTTAAAATCACTTGTACTGTTATGATAATACTCTTCAGGAAGACCAGATATATTGAAGACTGACAAGAAAGAGTCCAAGTGAATATGTGCATAGCCGGAGAATGGTATTAAATCCCAAGGATTCTGCAATGTTCAAGCTCCATGAATTAATTTTTAAGAAAAATAACTTTAGATCCGATTATAAGATCAAACATGGTTTTATTTCAAAATTTTATTTCCAAGGAAATCGAATATTACACTGATTCCATAAAATCAGGTTAACATAAAAACAGATTTAAATATTCAGATTGAGGATTAAAGATTGAAGCTGATTACCACAGATGAAGAGAAGCCATATCATTGCATGAGCATAAGATTCTGCTCTCCACTCAGATAATTGATGGTCATCTGTCAAAATTTATGGAATTGTGGATATACCATAATGTAAATAAAAAGCATCATTAGGATCTAGTTTGGTTGAAAGCTTTAACAGGTAAATAGAAATGACAAAACAAAGAAAGCTAAAATCTGTGTAAGTCATATTTTCAACCCAAACTTTATCACATAACATGCTCCAATAACCACAAAGAGACATTTCAACACATTTGATTATATTTTACATGGCGCATCACATAATCAGTTTTTAAATTCAAATCTGCAGAGAAGAAAGTCCAGAATAATAGAGACAGACTGATATTGACAATGGCCAATTTCCATAGAGAAGAAAGAAATATGAATAATACTGAAAAGATAGAAATCAATTATTCATCTAAAATTTGGATTAATTGAGTGGATACTGATAAAAGACTCCACTAGGTTCTGCACGGGTTGTACCTCCCTTGTTGTTGAAGAATTCCTCTAGTACCAAGACCATTCACTCCAATAATTGAAGAAAATTGAAATTCAAAAGAGAACATTGAATAACAAGACCTCATCTCCTTTTTTAATCCTTTGTCCAGCATTTATCATCACCTCAAGCATGCGATCCTTAAAATGCCAGTGGAGAAAATAATTTGGCTGAAATGGATGATTTAGCATGTCTGCAATGACAAATAAATACATCAAAACCATATTAAATATAAGATATCTAAGAGAAATTATAATTTAAGGAAACATGGTAGCAATCAAATTTGAGAAAAGGCAGGGAGGTATGGGCTGATGCCAAAACAAGGCAAAGACAGTTTGGACAGAGAAGAGGAAATAAATGAAGGAATAACGGTTCACAGAATGGTCTGTAAGGGTACAAAAAGAAAAACAGGATAAATAAAATTATCAACCCTGCATTAGTTTAACTTTATGATAAACCATTATAGACAAGAAAAAAATTGACAAGAAAATAGAGGAGCCTCGTGCAGCAAGATTACCAGCATAAGGTATTAGCATATTTGCATCTTGAACTAGTGCACCAATCCTAATTTGCATGTTCATGCACCGTGACTGTGCAATGCTAACAGCCCAAATGAATCTCTCAGGATCACGAGCAAGGCATTTTATTTTCAGGGGAACACCAGAATGCTAAGTGAGGTTAAGCAGACAATCAATTTATCACTAGAGTGAGCAAGAACTTCTTGAAACAAATTAGAGGATGGTAGGAGACAAAATATTTAGTGCCATATATGATAGACAGGTTCCTAATACCAAGTTCTTTTCCCAAAATTCTAAGGCTCTCTGTTGTTGTTTTCTCATTGTTGAAGCAAGATCAGGATCCTGCAGCTGTGAAAGGTCATCTAGCATGGAGTGAGTAAGTTGTGAGTAGAGCAAGCTGCTTTCTAAAAGGTGACTCCTAGAATTATGCAAAATAATACTAACAAACACTTCATACAAAATTAAAGTTCTCCGCAACATGATGCAGTATGTGTGTTTGTGTGTGTATTTGACATCCAACAATCCATATCCTTTTCCATTCAACAACCAAATTTAATGCTTCTATGCCATCATCAAGTTATATCTCTCTTACCCCATTAATTCATCGAAGACCAAAAATTTAATTTAGAAAAAAAAAGGGAACTCAAAACAAAGAAAAAGCAAGAAAAATTAACATTGAAATGATTGTTTACACACCTCCATAGCAAGAAGCAAGCTAGTGCACTCATCTGCACTAGGTAAGAAGTCTCCATATAGTCGCAAAAGTTATCATCCCTATCAAATGCATACAAAAGAAGGCATGTCATTCTCAAATCCAATCTGTCTGCCAAGAAAAATACCCATAAATTGCATTGAAAGAACAGAAGCATTAGTCTGCTAGTTCATTTACTAAATTGAATAATAAATGCAGAATACTTGTATCATAATTAAGTGTTTGATATCAAGGACAAATTCAGTCACCTCAGGATTGGTTGAGTGTATGATATCAAATATGGGATGACTTATTGGCACTATGTCAGGGAAGAACGTCCATGGCAGCTTCTGCCTTACTGTCAACATCAATTCTAAAGGTATTTCCATGATAACCTGTTCAGTCAAGTGCAGAAACATAATTACCAACACATAAAGATATCATTGCAATACAACTAGTACAACATTTGCCAGGAAGCAAATATAAAAAGTTACAGGAAATTGGTGATGATGCAGGCAGGAAGGGAGAAGTATGAGAAAGGAAAAGTTACTTTGATTTATCTAAATGGGAAGAATGAGAGAGGAATAATAAGGTAGGAAGGTGGAAACAGACTCTGGCACGACGAAGAGGTTCAACGTCTTTGGAGGCATAAACTCCAAAATCGTCAGGTCCTTCCTTAAACTCAATTCCATAAGCTCTCATACTTCGAACATAACCTATCTTGTAGAAATCAGGGTCGGCAGGCTCCAGTTGCGAGGAAAACGGTGAAGTAGCAAAGAGAAGGGAAGGTGTTAAAAACCCGAAAGCAAAAGTAAAGAGGATTGGAGTAGTGGATTGAAAAGCCAGGGGCATTTACCTGAGAGGGAGATTGTTGGAGTGGGGGAGGCTGAAATAGTGGAAAAGGAGGAGTTTCCACCGAAGCATTAATGGGTCTCAAATGATTCCTGGTTATTGGTGTTGGTGACCACCACCCATGAATATGACCATGATGATATTCCTTTCCCAGCGGGGATAGGTGAAACACCCACTGACATGATGAAGGGGAACTGATGAAGCCGCCATTGGATTTTGGAGAGGACAGGAGAAAGAGTCAGTTGGAGTTCAAAATGGTACCATGGTGGCAGGACTGGCAGTGGACTCTTCCGGAATTGACGTTTTCTTCGTTAGGAAATGCTCGAAACTGGACTCAAAACTCGACACCTTTATCCTTTCGCAACTAGGGAGCACAATGCAGGGCTGCAAAAAGGAATGAGCAACCAGCAGAACGGCCCAGCCCATCTTAACTAGCCATCGAAGCATAAGATGCTAGTGGGCTAACAATGAGCTGTGGTAAATGGCCCAAGGCGATTCCACTCATTTGCCACGAACAAACTGAGAGTTTCCCATCAGTCAGACTCGGTTTCAAGAGCCGGATTACATAATACATATCAGCGTATGACAAATGTAACACAGAAATGTGTCATCGGAACGTTAAGATGTTATACATCTTTACATTAGGCGCTATCATCCATAAGAAATTTCTTCAGAGCACTTTTATCATCCTTGAAACTCCAGGAAATTTTAGGTGGAAACCTACCAGCAAACAACGTTGGTCTGACTTATAGTTGAAAAGATAAAAAAAGAAAAAAACTTCGTGCTTAAGTATATAATTAAGTGATCATGGGACACTTACAAATATAAATTCACAATCTCTCTATAAGCCACACCACATTATCTGAAGAGAAGCTAGTTAGCTAAAGCAGCATAGGAGAAAACTGAAAAGAAAAAAGATGCATAATCCTCCACCGCCAGACCCCCACCATCCTCCCCACCCACCACCCCATGCACCCCCTCCAGGTCCACCGCATGCCGAACCTCCTCGTCCTCATGCCCCTCCTCCTGGCCCAGGTCCCCAAGCGCCTCCACCAGGTCCTCCTGAGCCACACAAACCTCGTCCGTAGTCCCAACTTCTGATCCTATTCGCTTGAAGGCATATCCAACATTATGTAGCCAAGGAACAATATCTCTGCTATAGGTTTAACGTTAATCCATAGTTTTTGTGGTACTTTGCTGATGTACCCTTTTAGCCACTTGCTGTTAGGGTCATATTTCTGATCTTATTTTTACTTGATGAAATAAAAAATTATTACTACTAAGATAAAATGAAGTAGTACGTTTCTCTCTCTCTCTCTCTCTCTCTCTCTCTCTCTCTCTATATATATATATATATATATATATATATATATACGTCCGTCGGCATGTTTGTTTTTGCTTTGTTATTAGCATGTCCTATACATGAATTATGATGTTGTTCATGATTAATTTGCTTTTAATTGTTCTTTTTGGTTTCTTTTACAATCTTCTTTTATGGCTGAATATTATTTCATTTTGGTCTCTGGAAATTAGAGCAAAAAGGCATGGCAGCTGAGTAAAATATGCCTCACCGGAAAATTCTTGGCCTAATCATGTCAATCGAGAATAAAACGTGTAATCTATGCATTAACGAGCCTAGATCCGATTAAAGTTGTGATAAAAACCATATCTCCAAGTCTGGGACTCCAGCTAGCTCTGTAAATTCATTCTCCAACCGTACCTTTCGCCACACCAAGAAGCTAAGAACAACAATACCAGCAACAACTTGTTGGAGTTAAAATTACATAGTGTTTGACAAAAGGTAGAGTTATCTACTAAAAGGCCGATCAATTAAAACCAGTCCAAAATAATAGGCACAAGTATTAAGCAAAACAAGCATTAAGAAAAGCGGCTGTTCCAGTCATGAATAATTTAAACAGAAGAAAACAAAACCCATTTTCCTGTTTGTCTTGTAAGAAAAATATGTAAGGAAAGTTTTATTTGTAAGACAAAACAAATAAGAAATAAGAATGACTTTCAAAGGGACATTTCAATAGTTAAAGCTTAAATTTTCATTTGGAAGATTTCGAGTTCAAGTTCTAAGATAAGCAAAACGAAATTTATAGAATGGAAGAGAATTACTTTTCATTGTAATATTGTATAGTTCAATATTACATGTATCATATAAAAAAATAAATCTTATGCATAAAAAGTTATTTTTTCCTTCTACAAATTGTCTTAATTTAAATTTTTAATAAAACTTTGATTTTAATTAGTTAAAATTTTTATTATATTAAATGGTAACAAATATATACTTAGAACTAATTTACTAAAAGTTTTTAAAGAATATATTTTTCTTAAATTTTAATATTAATAATTTATAAATAAAAGAAATCAAAATTTTTTCGAAAATTTGATAAAAAAAATCAAACTCCTACGCTGATAATGAAGTGGAACATCTTTGGGCCACAGCCCCCTTTATAAAATAAAAGGATCCTCCTTCATATACCAAAGTGGGCCGGAATTTTTTCTTGTTCCTTTATTTTTGTGGGTTGAAAGAGCCCTAATATTTGAAGGCCCAACCTCTTAAGCTGACCCCAACTCATCCCTTATGAAAGTGAGGCTATTCGTCAGGGTTAGGGTTTGTCGCAGCAAAACTCTCTCCTTTTTAACTCTCCTTTGCCCACAGCAGCAGCGCCACTCGTGAGAGAGCTCATCAATCATGGCCGAACAGGTACACATTCAGCTCCATTCTCTTCTCTTTCTCTATTTGCTTTGCTTCTAATTTTCTGGCTTCCTTTTTTGTTTTTTGCAGACCGAGAAGGCATTTCTGAAGCAACCCAAAGTGTTTTTAAGGTAGTCTTGATACTCAAAACCATGCAAATCTTTCAATTTTTACTTTTTCCGACTTGGGTTTTTGAGTTTGGGTGGGTTTTATTGATTTTGTATCGTTTTCAGCTCGAAGAAATCTGGGAAAGGGAAGAGGCCAGGAAAGGGAGGGAACCGCTTCTGGAAGAGCATTGGCTTGGGCTTCAAGACTCCTCGTGAAGCTATTGAAGGTTTGTTTTCTTTTTTTTTTTTTAATGTTTATTGATTTATGTATTCTAGGTGGTATGAATGCTCAGTTTAAAATTTATTTAAGTTTTGCTTGGTTACTTGCATTTTGTAGCTTAAGCTAAGTAAAGATTTCTTTAAGCTAGCTGGATTCGAGTATCATGTTAATTAATAATTTCTATGTTTTCATATTCCCGTGCCTTTGAAAATTCAGAAAATGGATCCTTTATAATGCTAATATACAAAAAAGTGTGGTTCACTGTACTTTATAGGAAAGAAAGGATGATTTATTTTACTTGGTCAGCACCAACAGTCTGATGTTGGGAAGGAATACGTAGAATATGTTTGTATGCACTCAGAATTCAGTTGATATACGGATTCTGATTGTTGGTTATTATTTAATGATGTTTTGCATATTTGTTTCCTTAAGGAACCTACATCGATAAGAAATGCCCATTCACTGGCACGGTTTCTATCAGGGGTCGCATCTTAGCTGGTACTTGCCATAGTGCCAAGATGATGAGGACAATCATTGTTCGACGGAATTACCTTCATTATATCAAGAAATACCAGAGGCATGATTCAGCTTCATTTTGATATACTTTTCTTAAGTGAGTGGTATTCCTTTCCAAGTTTCTTGAAAAAAGTTTTCAATTTTTTCAGGTATGAGAAGAGGCATTCGAACATTCCTGCACATATTTCTCCATGCTTCCGTGTGAAGGAAGGGGACCATGTCATAATCGGACAATGCAGGTTAAACTTCTGAACAGAACGATTCTATTATATTTGTATAAGAATCTTAATCATTTTTATAGTTAGCTGTAGGCAATTTTGGTGGTTTTGATTTGTGTCTATTGTTTTCTAATTTCAGGCCATTGTCAAAGACTGTGAGGTTCAATGTCTTGAAAGTAATTCCTGCTGGATCTTCGGGTGGTGGGAAGAAAGCTTTCACTGGAATGTAAGGTGTGAGTGTTTTCTGTAATAGTCCAGGGTGTAGGACCCCATGGAGAAGACCTAAGAAGTTCTTGAACTGCCTCTATATTTGAAGAATCTTTGACTGTTAGATGTTTTTTGATTTTCTTTCCTTTTTACGATTTATGTTTGGATCCTATCAAATTACAACATCTGGAATTTTGAAGATATCCCTATTATATGATTCTTGAATAGGCTTGAAAATTTTACTTCATTAGTATGATGTTGGTTTCCAAGAATATCTCTATCACTTAGTTTAGATCATGGATGAAGTATCCAGTGTTTTCAATCCTGTCATTTATCCTGTTTGGAAATTGAATGGCGTCACCAATTGTTCACTTCAATCCTTATTAACTTTCGATGTATAGAAACATTTTATTTCTGATCTCTCAGTATTCTACTCGAAACCCAAATGGCCAAATGCAGAATTTACTTTGGTTGTTATCTGGTTTTACATTGCATTTAGCTTTTACGTGTATTGAATGTTAGATTCAAATACAGTTAGCTGAATTCGAAATAGGGGGAGGATTTTTAATTCCTGCGCTAGTCACCCTCTCATCTTTCAGTAGTTCTGGCGATTGAAAAGTTTTTAATATTGTTTAAACTCAGCATTTCATGTCCTGCAACTGTGATTATTATGTTGGGTTAATTGTCAAATGGAGAGAAGAGCCAGCCACCCGTAGTTGTTGTTCATGAGGTTTCTATTCATAGTTGTTAATACTGTTCTGGTTTTGGTTGTACCGGCCATTAACCGATCTCAGTTAATAGTAAATCCGGTAGGCCTTTGCCTCCTGTTCTTTTTCATGCTTTCTGCCGCCGTATCCCAGTTGTTCCAGCCATTTCGACGGAAAATTTGTAGTTTCATATTTATGACAAAACAAGAATAGCTAACAGTATATATTTCGAATTTTTACATTTATATAAAAAATATATATACGAAAGCACAATAGTAATGACATACCATTTTTAAAAGGAAACTAAAATATTCTCCAGTATGGCATTGATTATCTAGTTTTTGTCTATAGTTTGTTTTTTTTTTTATCGAAATATACGATTTTTCCATTGAATTAGGGTAGGTTCAAGACGGTCCAAATGGAAAATACAATTAGGAGTATTTCAAAGGAATAGTAAAATTGATAATGCAGCCGTGACACACAAGAAATGCTCTATTGGTATTGGACAACATGATGCCACCAATGAAAGCAACAAAACAGATTCCCTAACATTTTCAACATACATACATACATAATGTTATGGTCTTTGCTGGAAATACACAATTAACTTAGCAACTAATTAAATTTAAACGAAGACATGACTTGCAATGATCATTATTTATGCCTACTTTTTGCCTTTTTCTAAACTTTATGATCTCTTATCTTGTTTTATCTCCTAAAATTAGTTTTTCCACCTTCCATAAAAAAAAAAATCAATTTTTTATTGGTAGCAAGATTAAGATTCTTCGTATTTACATTACAAAAAGCTAGTGCGATTTATGAACGTCTAATAAAATAACCAACTTTTTGGTTAGCGACCATTACTGCAAAATAAAACAATCTCCAAGTGGCCTAGACAGCCTCGAGAAAGACACAAGGCTGGGGTTCGACCTCAGCTTTCCCCCTCTCCTTTTAAACCAAAAAAAAAAAAAAATCTCCAAAGCCAAATGTTGGATCTTTGAAGATATCTATAGAAAAGGAAGATATTTTATCTATCAAAACATTTTTTTTTAATCACTACCTTTAGAGGAAGCAAAAGAGAAATCTAATGTCACTTTCTTTGCATCATCTTTGCCCTATTCCTTGTCTTCTAATTCACAATTTGCCTAAAACTTCACTTTCGAATCTTTTTAGCTCAATTGTTACCAATTAAATAAAACAAACCTCCCTGATTTAGCATATCACTAGTTTATGGCAATCATTCATTTATAGAAAAACAAATTAGATTTGTCCCTGATATTATCGTAATCACATTAGCCCTTTGGTCTCTTCAATACTATTTTTTGTTCAAATTACAGATCAGGACAGAAAAAAAAAACGAGAAATTCCTAGCTTCACTTTCACAAATCCTAACCCTCAGGGGTTAGAAAATTACAAATATATATTTTTAAGGAGATTGACCAAATGGGGAACAAGAATTTGGGTCATTGATATTTAACTAAAAATTAGGTGTTATATTTCATTAAAAAAAATTTGAGTTTGATAGTGAAAAATAGATAAAAGTGATTATTAAATTACTAAACCTTTAATGTTAAAATTAATCTGTAATTTGGATTTAACATTATGATTGATAAAAATTAAAAAGGAAAAAAAGGAAAGAAAGAAGAAAATGAAAAAGAAAAAAAATTCTTATGTTTGGTATAAATTATGAAAAAAATATATAATTGAAGATAAAATTATAATTAAAATAATGTCTTTTTTAATAATAAAAAGATTGGGCTTCCAATCTATAGTCTTAAGGATAATATAGTCTTTTTCTTATAAAAAGTGAATCAGCAAATCAAGATAGTATTTTCGGTATGGAAAATTCTCTATTTCCATCATCATTTTTGTTTTACGCACTCCATTACTTTTATTAAAATTTAAATTTAAATTAAATTTTTTATTTTTATTAAATACAGTAAAATCTCTCAACAATTTATTTTTTTTATACCCTCAATATTTTTTCTTGCTTTTCTTTTCTTCTCTTTTCAATCTTAAATCCAAATTAATTGTAAATTTATCAAATTAATCCTAAAATTATATATTTTTTAATTTTTCATTAATTGAAAGTAAAATTTTGATATTTATTTAATTTGATTTGATTTAAATGCATATAAAAATAAGTTAAGATTAATGAAGTAAATTTCGTAGAATTCAAATTTTTTGTAAATAAATTTTCAAGAAATCTTTAATGCTCTCAAAATTTTATTTTTAAAAAGTTTTAAAACTCTTAAAATTTTATTTTTGAGAAATCTCATTTTAAAAAATATAGCATAAATTTCATAAATTTATTTCAAAAAATATATCATAATTTTTTGAAATAAATTTTTAAAAATTATATTATATTTTCAAAAATCAAAATTTGAAAACATAAAAAATTCTTGACTAAGTATCAAAGAAAGAAGGATGAAAGAAAAAGACAAGGAAGAAGAGGGAAAGAAGAATGAGAGGATATTTTCATCATTTATTGAATATTAAATTTAATATTTAATATATGTCTATTTTTTGAAAAAAAAAATTTGTGGAATGTATATAAAAGATTTTAGAGTGAATTTAGAAGTCCTTTTTGGTATTTTAACCAAGCCTCGACCAACCTTTTAGAAACTTAACCACTGGGACAACCGACCTAATTCCCCATTGCCGAGCTCACATCTCATCTTGGGAGTCAAAGAGAAAAGTCAGATCAAATCGAATCACGTGATACGTCAGTAAAAATCTACCGCATCAAGCCGGGTACTTTGATTCTTGTAATATTTAAGAGAGGATAAATTAATATTTATAAAATATTTAGATTTAATTTAAATAAATTTTAATTTTAATTTTATTATTATCGAATTTAAATAATTTAACTTATCGATTCAATCAAATTTAAATATTTTTATATTTAATTTAAATTATTTATGAATTTAATTTAATTTTTATATTTTAATATATTTTAATTATTTTAATTAATAAAATATTTTAAATTTAAAATTAAATTAAAATATAAATAATTAAATTTTTATCTAATATAAAAATCAAATTTATTTTTATATATTAATTAAATTTAATCGAACGAATTTAAATATCTTAATTTTTATTTCAAATTAAATTTAAATTAAAAAAATTAAATTAAATTAAAATTTAAAATTTAAACTTTAAAATTAAACCTATATTAATTTAAATTCAATCTATTACATTCTTAATTAGATCTTCCTTCAAAATATACATACTCCTCCCTCCTTTTCGGTAAGGCAAGTCACTTTACTATTATATATATTTAAGAAAAATAAAACATAGGGTCAGGCAGGTAATTTTACAAGGACAGAAGACATTTCCTGAGCAATGCTGCCAACATTTTGTACCAAAAGGAAAATTATGAATACATTTGAAAAAGGACAAAAGCATTAGGAAAAACTTTACCACCCCAACACAACTGGTTTTCAGCCACGCTTTCCTAAAGAAAAATCTGGAATTGCTATTTCACCGGCTCTTCAATTTCATTGACTTTATAGTTAATAAAAGCATAAATAATAGCATGCAAGAGAAGGCAAGGGAAGGGACCCCCCATTTTTGGATTACAACCAATGCATTATATTCTCAAGCATCTTCTCTCCAGTCCATTATTAACCTTTTGATTCTCACTCTCTTCTCTCTTTGTTTATCTTCTTTTTTGCTACTTTACTCTAGATAGGCTTAACAACTTGCTGAGAAGCTGAAAAAGGAAGCCACCCACAAAAAACGTTGCCATTTCTTTTCCCTTCTTTTCTTATCAACAGCATCACCATCATGTGTGTTGAAGATGCAGAGCAGGTCAGACAAGAAACGGAGGACCTTGGTGACAGCAACAACAAAAAGCCTTGGCCTTTGCTTTGTGGTGATAATTTCATGTGTACCCAGATGGAGAATTGGGACGATAAAGACGCTCCTGTGGTCAATGGCAGCAATAGAGTTAGTATCCTAACTTCATTTTCTGTAACAATTTTTTTTTTAAAGAAAGTTGCTTTTGATGATAAAGTTTCTTATAATTCTGTTGTGGGTACTCGTCTTTTTTGTTTTCTTTTCTTTCTTTCTTTTTTTTTTTGCTTCAAGTTGAGAAATTCGTTGCCGTAAACGTGTTCTTGGCGGCATTAAGCCTTATGTAAAATAGCCAATTTTGATACTTTCTTCCCTGTATATGCACTTTGATCTCCAGTCATATATTCATGTTTGATGAATTATCGCGGTTCAGTTTTGCTCAGATTCATCTGTCATGTACTCATGAGACTGTTTTGTTCACAAGAGAAAAAGAAATTTGTAGTTTTCATTTTTGTTGGTCTTTTTAATGTTAATTTCATGTCTTAGGCAGTTTTATATGGATAAGATTAAGTTCATTTATTACCCTCTCTTCCCTGACAATGCTGCTGCAGGTTTCTTTTATGATATTCATCTGATAGTCTTATTCTCATTTGTGTTTCATTCAGCTGGAAAGTATTTCTGAGGATGCAGTTGCCACAGACAGAAAACATGATCTGTTGACAAATTTTATCCCCACTCTTCGGTCAGGAGAGTGGTCTGACATTGGCGGTCGTCTTTCTATGGAGGATACTCATATCTGCATTGCAGACTTGGCTAAGAATTTTGGTTGTAATTTAACGAGTGAAGAAGCTGTTTCCTTCTATGGTGTAAGTTCGTAAACCATCCTTGTTTTATATATATTGTCCTATTAGACTTTTAAATATCCTTGCCTTTAATGCTATTTCTTTTCTTATCAATTTGTGGTTAATTTTAGAATATGGAGATAAATCAAGGATTCTTGTTAAACTGTTGGTCTAGGAATAGAAGCTTTTTACAGTTGTTCATTTGCGGTAATTTGAATTACTTTCAGATAATGACTTAATTGGAAGACAAATAAGCTGTCATCTCTTAAGTCATCTTGTCTTCTGCATTTTTAAATTATATTCTTTGGATGCACATAAAATGCTGGAACCCGTTGCTTTCAGTAAATGATTGAAATTAACTGCTGCTGCTACTTAAAATTAGCCATCTTAAAAGTTACAGTAATAATTTTGGATGAACCTGAAAGTAACAAATTCCTGAATTTTAGGCCATGCCAAACACAAGCATAAATGTTCTTAGCTTATAAACCTTGCATTAATTGAGTCAGCAATCAGTTTAACCCTTTCAGCTTGTGAGCCATCAGAGCCAGTGGTATTGTCCTCTTTACCAGTTATGTTCTTAGTTTAGCTCTATAGTCTATGCAAAGCAAGGATGATCAAACAGATGTGATACAACATGAAGTTGATGCAGAGTTCTTCATAAAGGATGCAGGTGTATTTAATGCTCTTGGTGGAGACCTTGGCTACATTATTTCTATTGAAACATGACCATTAACGAAGAATAGCTATCTGTTAGTAGAAACTCATATTGTCAGCCAAAACCAATGCTCTGGGTTCGCATTAAATAAAGTATAAGAGAAAGTTAAGCTCACAAGCATACATAAACATTCTCTTGTTTGGCATAAAAAACCAGGTTTTTGATGGGCATGGAGGAAAGGATGCATCTCATTTTGTCCGTGATCATTTGCCTAGAGTTATTGCTGAGGATGCTGATTTTCCCTTAGAACTTGAGAAAGCAGTCACTAGGTCTTTCATGGAGACTGATGCTGCATTTGCAAAGTTATGCTTTCCTGAGTCTGCCCTGTCTTCTGGCAGTACTGCTCTCACTGCAATGATATTTGGAAGGTAAGCACTTCATAGCTTTTCCGTTGGCCTGACTGTGCTCTTTTCTGTTTTTCTGCCCCTCCTTGTTTTCTCTGGTTGGAAAGGAACAAAATCAAAATGACATTGAGAAACGTGACATTACACAATTTGGTGCATGTGAGTCTGGAGAAGTGAATCAATCCAAGGCACTTTTTAGCATGCATAATCTGGACATTTTGTAATTTGTTTTGAATACACGTTTGAATCAACATTTATGGTTTTGCTTTGCCTGAAAGTGTGATCTTCGCTTTGACAGGTCTTTACTTGTGGCCAATGCTGGGGATTCTAGGGCAGTACTATCACGGTGTGGAGCAGCTAAAGAGATGTCAAAGGATCATAGGCCATGTTGCATGAAAGAGAGGACACGAATTGAGTCTCTGGGTGGATCCATTGATGATGGTTATCTGAATGGTCAACTGGGTGTCACACGGGCATTAGGTGATTGGCACCTTAAAGGTGTGAAGGAAATGGGCGAGAGGATTGGCCCCCTAATTGCTGAACCAGAACTCAAAATGATAACATTGACCAAGGAAGATGAGTTTTTGATCATAGGTAGTGATGGAATATGGGAGGTTTTTACCAGCCAAAATGCCATAGATTTTGCAAGGAGGCGGCTTCAGGAGCACAATGATGTGGAGTTGTGCTGCAAAGAAATAGTTGAAGAAGCAAAAAAAAGAGGAACAACAGACAATTTGACAGTTGTTCTGGTTAGTTTTCACTTGAAGCCACCTCCCGCTTCTGTCATAGAAAGGGCAAGAGTCTGGAGACGTATTTCTGCTGAGGGGCTTCAGAGCATCAAATGCCTCTTAGAAGGATAGAACTCTATATATTAGTTAATCACTCAGTACATGGTACACAAAGAAGAGAATTGGTTAATAATTGATTATACACCGTTCAGGCAGGATCCCCCTGTTTATATACATTCATCAATAAAAGAAAAGAAAATTTGCAAGACTCAAATTGTGGAATTATGATTCATAATTTTATAGATTTTAGATTCTCATTCCCGATCATTCTTATATTGGCTTTTTCATAATAAGTTCTGGGATAATTTGAGGAACAGAATTGATTTTTTTTTTTTTTTGGATAAAAGAGGAACAGAATTGATTTGTATATACGGGGCACAGTTGATTGTAAACAGAAATAATTCTGTTATTGTACTATTTTTATTGCACACAATTGTCATCCTCCTGATAGTGCTAACATTGAACTTTTGACAGTGTAGCCTGTGCTACTTTGGAAATCCAACTCAACACTAGCATCATGGAAATGAGCAGTTGTATGCACAATGTAGCCCATGCCACATAAATGCATCCAGCTCTAGCATTGCATACCAGCGTAGAAATGACAGGTTGCGTATGCACATGTTTGCATGAAGACACATAGCAACATATCACAAGACTGCAAAAAGAAATCCTCCCCAGTTTCATGATCTTCAGACAAGTGGGATCAATTTCTGATCTGTTTACATATCTATCTAGGTAATTATCTCCTAGCAGACAGGCATCAAACACCATCTTTGTTAAATAACAATCGCTTCTACAAAATTTGCTTGCACAATCCAAGATACAACTATTTCCATTGTTACTATTCTTCTTTACCAAGACAGAAGATGTCGAAAGCTCATCCATCTTGCGAAACCAGTTCTCATATTCATAAAGGGCAAGCAGCAGAAAGCTAAGATTTTAGAACACAGCTAAAGAGCATTTTTAAGAGTACAAACTTTGATCTAGTATAGATAAAAAGAGGAGTAAAGCTCATTCTGATACAAAAAAATTGTTGTACATGTATAAGTGAATTGAAGATATTGTGTATAAAAGAATGAAATACAATAGAAGATATAGGTATAATGAACAGAAAACTTTTACGTCACATGCTGCATCCTAATGAGATCCTATTCTATAAGTACCAAAGACAAAAACAGTGATGCCTTGAGCAACAGTGTCAACTTGTGGTCACACTACTCCAAAGCCCTTTCCCTTCATTTACCGTCCTTCCAATCTCAATTCTTGCAACACGAATCAAGAATAAACTTGCAAACAACATAGCAACAATAAGCATAAGGAATACACTATTCCAACCCCTAGTGGATATATACCCAGCCAAAAGGGGCCCAAGAGCTGCCCCAACGGAGCCAGTACCATCTATGATTGCAGTCACGGTTGCTAATGCACGGGAGTTTCCTTTAATCAAGTCCTGGGTACCAAGATCAGCAGCAACTGCGGTTGTAATCAGTGAATAAGGGCCATTCACTAGCAAACCAGAGAGAAACATCAAGGCAATATTGGTAACAATAGAGACACTTCCATAAATCCGGTAAAAAATGAGTGCTGGAATTGATAGTAATAAGAAAGTAACTGAAGTAACTGCACGAGCTTCAATGACATCCGAAATGAAACCTGCCATTACCCCACCAAAGACCCCTCCAATGTCGAATATTGTAGAGAGGATCCCAGCAGTTTTATGCGACAAATGCACTCCCGCAACATCTACAATTCCAACAGAAATTTGTAATAAACATTCATCATTTTAGCTAATCATTAATCCAAGAGCAGTAAAAATTCACTTCACATATCTAAAACATTCTCAGGCTCCATAGCATATTACATAACGATAATCATCTGTCAGAGGGCTATTAAATCCATTTCAGGCTATTGCCAGTTTGCCACGATCAATACTAGGACTGGTTTTACTAGTATATGAAATCCTTAACTTAAAACTAATACTGATAATAGTAAATTATGGCCCCCTTTCAGATGGCCTTATTCATTGAGAATGCATTTCTATTGAGATTTTCCATTTGATATCCTAAAACGATCCAAATTTGATCTTGTAACAATAATTGCATCAAGTGATAACAAGTACCTGTGTGCCTTATGTAGAAGGGTAACCAATACAGAAATGTGTAAGCCACCAACTTCGAGAAGAACAGGCAGAAAGCAAATGGTGCCACACCTGGCAACCTCCATGCCTCTAAGAATCCAATGGCAGCCAAGGAATCCGAATCCTCATTCTCAAGCAGCACTGCTTCCTCTGACTCAACTTTTTCTAAATTCCCCTCATTTTCTCCCTCCACATTCATCTCAATCTCCTTCCCAGGCGCCATGATTGCGAACCCCAATTCATCAGGACTCGCAACTAAAAAACAAAAAACCAAAACACCAACTACAATAACGAAAACCCCAGGCACCAAAAAGGACCAACCCCAACCAAACTCCAAAACCCCAGAAGCCACAACAGAACCAATAATGTTCCCAACAGACATATTTGAAGTCCAAACCCCCATAATCAACCCTCTCTTCTCTTTCCCAAACCAATTCCCCACAACCGCAACCACACAAGGCCAACCTATGGATTGAAAAACCCCACAAACAACTTGAACACCCATAAAATAACTAAACAAATGAACATCAAACCAGTAACCAAGCCCGAAAATTATCGTAAAAATGCCACTGCCCATCATTCCAAACACAAGAAAAAGCCTTAAATCAATCCTATCACCTACATGTCCAGCAAAAAACATGCCTATGGCATATGATAATAAAAATGCAAGATCAAGCTCTCCAAGCCGGCGAGTTCCTTCCGACCCGTTAAACGGGGCCCATCCGGTGTCATTAGAGCTTGAATTTGATTCAATTGTGGGTCCCAGGATGCTTTTTACGATGCTGGGGGGTTTCCGAGAAGCGTGAAAAGAGGCGTAGGCTAAGAAAGTGAGGATTAAGACGAGGATTTGGTGGAAGAAAAGGGTTTTGTGAGGGGGTTTTAGGGTTGGGAAAAGGGTGAATCCTAAAGCCAGGCTTAGAGTTTTAGAGTGCATCTTCAACGTCTGAAACTCAATTTACACTAAAATTTTTTGATGTGATATAAAAGCAAGAAGAAACTGCGGTGAATTATGGGAAGCATGAGATGATAGAAATCAATAAAAATGTAGAAATATTTGGGAAAAAAAAAAAAAGAGTTCGATTAGAGACGAAGAAAACTGAGACAAGACAATGGAGTTTTACAAGTACCTGTCTTTCTGCCTAGCTGAATCTAAGTAGGCGGTTACGTACAACGCCAAAATTTCTGTCCCAGCCTTAGTTTTCCGATAATGCCCTCGCAGTTGAATTCTTAGTTGTCAACTTCTAGCGCCTAACTTTTGAAAATTTGCCTCCTCCTTAAAATACAAATTTTTTTAATTGCTCAAAAGAATTTTAAAGAAAAACAAATGTCTTCTTACTAAAGTTGGAATTTTTCTGGAGGAAAATCATATGTTCAACTTTCTAATTTTTATTTCGATTATGTAATAAAACTAATTAGCAGTATAAAATATAAGAAATAGTTTTAAAAATTCGTCAATTCTTTTTTTATCTTTTTACTGTAGTTTTTCTTTTGTAAAAAAATTTATAAGAAATATTTTTTTTTCTTAAATATTCTATTCACTGTACTAGCCAGAGAGGTAAAGGAAATGACACCCCCCCCCCCAAAAAAAAAAGAAAAAATTATTGTGAACAATGTAAAAGAGTCAAGTATTCTATCATGCATAGAAATTTTTTACAAACCAAATAACATAAGAGTGATTTTCTTAAAAGATTTTTTCTTTTTCTTTTGGTACATGAATTTTTTTTCATTTTGGCATTTTTTTTTTACTTGAAAGGGTACTAAAATTTGAAAATTTGTCTAATACATAGGAAAATAAAATTAAAAATTTGACATATACTCACTTAAGTATATTTTAAAAAATAAAAAATTAATTTGACTATAGCAATGCATTTGTTCCTTAGGTACAGTTATGGGGACAAGATTTTCATGTTATAGTACAGTTTTCAGATTTACATGCATAATGTCAATAGGAGCATTATCTAAAGATTTTTAACACCCTTAAAATTTTTATTAATTAAACATGCAACCGAATTGTATTTACAAAGACCTCTTACCAACACAAAAGAAAACGTGTCTTGCCCAAAATTAGACGTCAAACAGCTGTTTCCAAGCCTGAGTTACTTGGAAATGGAAAAAATCAGATTTACATGGAGTTTCATTGCAGCAAATAACAGCATTTTTTTTTAAGCTGCTGTGCATTTTTCTTTGTGGGGCCAGTAAATGCTAGGCAATTATATTGGAAACAACTTGACATGTCCAGCCATCAGGGTTTTGTAGCGAACCAAAATCCTTGTCCCAACACGTGAAAGAGACCATACTCTAGGTAGAAACATTTCTTCATTTGCATGGTCCACCGAAATCTTGGCCCCTGATGCCACAATATATATAGGTGACCCTACAAATGACATGTGAGCCCACATGTAAGAGCGACCACTGACCATTCGAACACTATAATCAATACGAGACAGATCCAGTTAAGATCTAGATCATTATCCAACCAACGCATGTGTGAAAGAATGAATCCATAATTTCTAAAATCAGAGAGTTGTATTATCAATTAGGTTACATCTTTATCACTGTATGCCAACAATTATTAAATCCATAAATTTTTTAAGTTTTTCATTCTATAATATGTAAGGTCGCAAAGCCTAAAGAGCCCCCAAAAAGGGTGATCATTACTCAATCATCAAAAGTGATGGTTTAACAACAACTATGATAATAAAATACTATATATTACGTACAAAAATCATTCCTAATCCTAAAAAAGCTGCCGCATTCCTGGAATGCTGTCCAATTTCTATTCCTTTATTTTGCTGGAATTAAAACTTTTGCTTCCTTTTACATTTCTTTCTTTAGTTGTGTATTGGAGGTTTTCTCCTGGCTGGAGAATAGTCCATTTCAGCTATGTCCATAATGTCGGCATACCGGTCGTGAACCTCCTGGTGTTCGGAAATTGTCGTTGGATCAGCAGGGAGTTTCTCTTGCTTCTCACCATTTTCTTGGTTGCCTGATTTGACTTTTGAAGTAGAGTTAGCTTTGTTTTCTCCATTCTCTTCGCTCTATATAGGGGGAGAGCATAATGTCATGTAGGGGAAGATATAAACCCTAGCTATGGAAATTTAGATATGAACAGTTAACCAACCTGTGAAGTGGTGGTAGGTGTAGGAGTACTGGCATTCGTTGCAGTAAAAAGTTTCCTACCCTTACCTGCAAAAATGAATATGAATGTGAAAAAAATCCGACTTAGATATATATGTCTGTTGGATTTTGTGTAATACAAGACAATGTGGACTTTTTTAAATTTCTGACTGATAAAACTGGCACAAAATGACCCATAACATATAACTGATCCAGGGAATTAATCATAGTTAGAGAAGCTTCTTTGTGGAGAAAACTGCTCTGTCAGATTACATGAGACTTCAAAGAATAATACTAGCCTGCCTGGTAGTCAAAACATGGAAGAAAACTAATCCTAGTGGAGGGAAAATTTTAATGGTGCTTTGGTCTGTGCCTCCTAGGTCCACTGTAATCTTCCTGAATGCTTGGTAACAAGTGGTGTGATTTGTTCAACACTCTAGAGGCTTTTTCTTTCTTGGTACCTGCACAATGCCTTTCTTTGCAGAGAATGACCTCTTCCACAACTCCATTACTACTTGTTTTCATCAAAGTACCCTCCTGCAAATAGCAACAGGTTTTACATTTTAATATTGGGAAAGGAAAAAATAAAAGCAAACAAGGTTTCATATCTTACAAATATTCAACTTGTATTGAACTGAATGCATAAATAATGAAAGAATTGGTATATACTAACATGCAATTTAGGATGCCAGGCTGATTTGAAACTTTTCTCCAAGCGAATCCCTTGAAAAAAACATAAGATATCAGAATTGAATGATATGTAATGGCAGTGCAGAAACAGGAGCCCTGTTGTTACTAAGATCTATTTCTTGGCATACCTTGAACACTAGAAAGGAAAATGAACACCAGAAGAGAGATTGCTAAGCAGGAAGGCCTCATTTGCAGAAAAGTTTGTGAAGAGAAGAGAAATTGTTAACAGATATGGAATTCTAAGGTCAGTAAAAGAAGGTGTGTTTCCCTTTTTGGTTTCTCTTTCTTTCTTGGTGTAGGAACTTGAATGGTTAGACCTTTTTGAATTGTCAATAGCATGGGAAGTGCCTGCCTTAATATATACTACTTGGCTGTTTGAGAATTTTCTTCCACTTTCTTTGCCTTTTTCCCTTTTTCCTTTTTCCTTCCTTCTAAAGTGATAAATCCATAATTTGTCAAAGAAAATGACAAATCGTTTGGGAACCCCAATACCCCATTGTTCAATTATGGAATGTGTGTGGGTCTTGTTTAATGATACTTAAGTTGTGGACTCTATAGGCCTGTAGGGGGACATAGTTTCATTTTTAATTAATGGGGATGCTCTCCACTATGTTCAATTTTTAAGTGTCAAAATGACACACAAGAAAGGCAAGAGATTTGAGAAATAACCTCGAAAAATGAGAAGCTAGAACATTTTTGCCTTTTGCATTTCTTGAACTGCACTACCTTTTGGATATAGCTTGAGGGTTTTCTGAAATCCTGTCTCTCCTCCCTTTTCCAATGTCATTAACATAAAGCTGCTTGATACTGTTTTTAATTTCCCAAATGAGCAAATCCTTGATAAAGTGAAACAGAAAAGAATTCAAATTTATTTTAAAAATCATGCAATTAAAAATGAAATTTCATTTAGGATTAGACAACTGATACTATATAGTACTAATTGTACATATTGTACCATCATCTTTAAGCTCTTTGATGTCACTTCTTTAGGGTAGTCAACAGCTTTTCTTTTTCATCTTTTGACAAAAGCTAATAACAGTAGGGGTATTCGATTTTAGATGACTAATCAGATCAAATAGTTTTGGCTGCCTTGCAATGGTGGCTTTTGATGAAATAGTCTTAGTTTACAACTTTGCCACATTAATGTAACTGTGTTAGAGATGGGACTCCTTGATCTGAATTTGATCTTGATGAGATTCTCAGTCCCATGAGCATTTACAAGACCACAGAAAGGTAAAAAAAAAAAAAAAGCAGTTTTATACTTAGGTATTGGCCACCATACTTTGAGATCTTAATAGGTATGTATTTCAGATAACATGTCTTGCCATTTTATGTCCTGACTTAGATATCTTCCCTTTTTTTCCTGCTTCCCTAAAAGTTATTGAAAAAACAAAATTTAATTGTTATACCCACTGTTTAATCCTTTGTTTTTGTATTTTGTGATCAGGAACTTGTTTTCAGTAGACCATAATTTAGTAATTAGTAGTAGACATATTCACCATTTCATAATTAAAATCATAAAATGACTACAAAACTCCCAAAAAAAAATGTACATTTGACCTCTCCTGCTTAATTTAAATGATAGACATTGGATATTGCTCCTTTATGTTATTAGACTTCATTTGGTAAATAAAACGTAGTAATTTATTGAAAGAGTGTAAGAGAATTTCTTAAGCAAAAGTAAAAATGTAAAGAAAAATGTTAAAGTGGTCTAAATTTGTTGTTTAATTTTTACAAAAAAAATTGTAATTTAAAAATTTAAGAAGCAATTGAAAGTATTTAAATTTAAACTTTAAACTTGTCTCAGATTTAATATGTTGTTCGATTTGTGGGTGTAAATTGAAAACTGAAAAAGTATGAAGGATACTTATGAGAAAAATAAATTGGCGTACTGGTAAAGTGCAGAATAGCAGTTGTGGCATTCAATGAGGGGAATGAATTAGATCTTGTCATGTCAGTACAACAAGGTGGGTCGAATCCCACGTGTCACACGAAGCACAGGGATCCAATGTGACGGTGACAGACAACGATGACATGGCAGTTTGTCCTCGGTTACCCTATGGGGTGGCACTCCACGTGGACGTCATAATCATGGGTCCATAACAGATGATGTGGCAGTTCATTGACCACGTGGGCAGTACCAGTTCGCGTTGCACGTTCAGTCTTTCGCCAACAACAGAACATCGCAGAGGCTGTAGGCCGACTATCATCTATTAAAATTTATTAATCTGAATTAATCTTGAATCTTAATCTTATTCTTTTGAGGCTTCCAAATTTATTAATCTTTTTTAATAAGATAAAGACAAGATCTAATGCATTTTTTCAGCTGGAGTTGGTAGTTCAGACCTTACCATATAAAAAAAAAAGCCGTTTATTTTGCAAATTTTAAATTTTTTTTTAAAATTTTAAAATTATCAACAATATCAAAAATAAAAAAAATTATTTATTTATAAAACAATGGTTGTAATAAAACTATATATTTATAATAGGGCATGAAATCACTTCGTCAACATCCTGTCTGTAATAAACTACGTATTTATAAAACTTTGGTAATTAAAAATGCAAAAAAAGGAGATACAAAGATATGCAGCTATTGGATCTCAAATTAAGCTCTTACTGACAAATTAGATAGAGTAAGAGCAGAGCAGAAAAGGCAATATTGTCAAAAGATTTGTCGTCAAATTAAAAGGCAGATTTGTGTAGCAGATGGCAGTTGACATGTAAAATATGAGTAATCTGGTTGAATCATGGGACTTCAAAGTGTGTGGGAAATGAAAACCCAAATGTAACGACAAAAACAGTAATAGAATTAGGCCGACAAAGCGACATCACATGTTTTGGGCTAATAAAATTTTTCTTTGTGATGCTATTGTCCGGTGGCCAACGAACAATCAATCTGGTTAATTGGCTACCCCTAATTACAATTACTTGAAGTTACATAATTTATGCAAACGTTAATAACCGGCAAGTATCTAAACACATGCACTGGATTAGTGTGGTTTTTGGAGTGTGGTCAGGTTCATTCGTTTGTCGAGCATTTGTTTTCTTCAGAAATTGACTCATTTTTTTTTCCCGAGTCAAAGAAATCCAAAATTCTTTGAACAGGATTGGCCAAAAACTCGAATGCCTCACTTAATAAAACTAGAGTTTTGGTATTTGTGGATGTTCGGAGTAAGCTCGGTGCCAGAATATATCCCTAATTGTAGCAAAGACATAAAATATCTTTGAAATTTGTCTAATTAAAAGAAAGTTGAATAATCAGACCAAAAACAAGCATACTTAGATTACAGGTAATTAATGAAGTAGACCAAAAAACCAACAATTAAGAAATTATTATTATTATTATTATTCTAAAAAAAGTAATAATAATAATTATTTTTATTTTTATTATAAAAGAAATAGTAATCATATAGTTTTGGTGTTTGTTTTTGCATTTGTGTTTCTCCCTTTCAGAGTTTAAAAAAAATGTTATATAACCACAGAGATGGTGGGTAATGCAGCAGGTTGAGTACCAAATTCAGTCCTTGTTCTCATAGCTGAACAGACCCTCTTAGTTTGGCTTCATTTATTAACTCCCGTATGGGGGAATTTGGAAGATAATCTGGGTAGGAGGCTTGATCCGAAATCATGGTGGCAATGTTGGAACAGCCGGCTGGAAATCATGGACTAGTTCCAGGTTTTTTAGAATGAATCAAGTGGGTGTTCATCGATCAAGTCAAAAAACTCATCTCCAATCCCAAATCCAAGCATTCTAGCCATGTCACTTGTCTTCAATCTAGGCTTTGAAATGCCATGCTGTTTCAACCAAGAGTTTACAATGAAGACCTTCTTCATGATGAACAATTCCAAGGCCTCTGGATTAAACGCAACTCCCATTCTCATACTCATCTGCCAACATGTACAAGGCAAGGCAAAATTATTAGGCCATGAAAAACTTTCATCGATCTCTTTTTTCCGTATGCGATTTCAATCCATATTACCTTGTGGGGGACTAACATGGCTGCATATCTAGCTAATTCTCCAGCTCGCCAGTCCGACAAGACGAGGAGCCAAGGATATGTAGCACCAAGTCGTACAAACCACAACCTTATATCTGGAAATTCTGACAGTTCTCGTGGATCATGTGGGTCATCTCTTGTATAATTAATTGTGAATCCAATTGTCCTTACAAGAAACTCTTTTGGTTCAGCTGGAAAGAAAAAAAAAATTGTTTTTTGAACAACAGCTGGAAAGAATTAGTACATGAACAGTTGTCAGCGTTATATTAATTTACGATCATATCAAGATATAAGTATTGATATTTTATAAGGCTAATATCACAAATAGCCTCTTAATTATAATAAAAAATTTAAATTATAAATTTATTAATTAATATAATATTTATTATTAATATAATTAATTTTAAATAATTACACTTGATAAATAAATAGCTCATTAATTATCATATTAATTAATAAATTAATAATTTAAATATTATATTAAAAATTTTTAAACTATATACATCACATTTAATATTTTATTAAAATTCAAAGGTATTATCTCTATTTCATGTGATTCCTACCGTACGAAGATTAAGACTGCATTTGGATATCACTGGAGTTCCTTTTTAGTGCGTTTATTCTCTTTTTCGGTGCAATTGTACCACGATAAGTTGTTTAGATGCCATATTATCAATGTGATTGAAAAATAAATTTCTATTATGTCTCAAAATTTTCATTGGAAGGAAGGGGATCAGGTGAGAACTTTTTATTCTCACTGCAATTTCATTTTCCATAAAACACCCTACCTTATTAATATTATTATTTTTACTTTTCAAACTATTACGCACTCAAGCTTTTTCTTTTTTTTTCATTTTGTTCATTCTTTTATTTTTTCGAACTTTATTTAAACTAAAAATAATTATTATTTTGATATAAAATCAATAATATTAAATTTTAATTATTTGTTAGCTTTATAAAATTTATTATATATTAATTTTAATCTAATATCTATAATAATAATTTTTTATTATATTTTATCTCAAATTTATCATTGTATTTGTATTTAAATATATATTTCAACATTAATTTTAATTTTATTATTATAATATTTAATCTCATCATTATAATAATTAATCTTATCATTATTATTTTAATTTCATCAAAATTAATCTTAACATCTATTCAAATGGACTGTAAGTAATTTCAATAGCATTGTCAAATGGTGATAGATCCAGCCGGCGTACAGCATCATTATCAATAACTACGTCAAATCGCCCTTCATTTGGAGACTCCATTTGGGAAGATTATGTGAATAACTCTTAATCAGTGTCTGTAATCATTCGTAAGATCAAACTTTTTATTTTTTTTATTAAAATGATGATTATTCACTTAAAATATGAGTATGTAATATTTATGTATGTTGTTAATTTTTTTTAATAAATAATTTCATATTTAAAAATATTTTTTTATGATATTTAAGATAATAAATTGGAATCAAAATGTAATAAAATATTAAGTTCAAATAATTTTTATACTAAGTTATTTTATTAAATAAAAATTAATATAAATTAAAATATTTTTAAATTTTATTTTAAAATTAATTTATTTATGATAAAAAATTTCATTAACTTTCATGTTCCAGCACGGTATCAAACCTAGTTTATTAATAGAATAATCCCTTGGGTCTAAACGTGAGAATTAAAATTTAATGGCCCAAGCTGAATTTGACATCTATTGGACCCATGGGCCTGTTGGCTAATTCGAACCATTCAATAACATCTTTAGTTTCTTTTTTTTTTTTTTTTTTTTTTTTGAAGAACAAACAAAAAAACAGAAGTTTTGAATTTAAATGCCCCTACATTATTTTTTTTATTAAAGTAATTTAATAATAATAAAATATGTAGAAAAAATAATATTAAAATATTCTATTTAATTTTCTTTACCGGAAAGAAGTATTCTACTTTGCTATTTTTTATGTTTTTGTGCTGTCGTTTTTGCCGCTATACCCACAGATAAACGTGAACCGACGAACATAACTGCAAATTACACTGCCCACAGTCGCAAAGTTTGCATAAACCACATTTTCAGAGACTTAGTGAGTCAGCCTTTCCGTTTCCATTCCCTTTAATGGCGGTTGCTTCACCCTGTCTTCTTCACCATCTTCACAAATCTTTGCTACTGAAAGACCCTTCTTTTTCTCGTAATTTACGGTTTCGTCCTTCCCTCCATTTTTCTTCTCAACCGTTCCGCTTCACTGTTCGGGCGACCTCCGCTGTCGCTTTGGAGCCGGTAAACTCCTTCTTTTCCTTCTTTTGATTTTTACAAAATAAAATTTTCTTATTTACTTTTGGCTGAAGTATCTACTATGTTTGAACAACTTGAATTATTGTGACAGAGAATAAAATGTATTAAGTAATTGAAAATCTGATTAATTATCAAAACTGAAAGTTTAAAACTTTCATTATTCTTTGATGTGTTGAAAATGTTGTGCCACTTTTATGCGATAATTAATTTGGTTTAGTTTATGGTAATTGAATTTTTCTTGCTCTTTTACTTAAGTATAAAATTTAATTTGATGATCTCAATTAAACATCGTCAATACTTATTAAAGTAGTGAAATTTATGGGAGCAAACTAACCGGCTGTTCCTGTATTTGTGTGGTTTCTGTTAAAACATGTACAAAACATGAAAATTGCCATGTAATAATTATTGTCTGTTTGCTGAACACTGAACACTTTTTTTGTTTTTACCAAATTCATTTATGGTTTTTGTCAAAATTTTAAACTGTGTTACCCTTTTTTTTTTTTTTAATTTTCATACAATGTCATCATGTCGTGTCTATAATTGACAGGTTTCAGTAAGCAGTAACTTAATTGCTTGATTTTAAGATAATGTTTTGTTGTTATAAAGAGGATGGTGTGTTAACAGGAAAGAAGGCAAAAATTTTGGAGTAATTTTGATAAAATATATGTTAGCATATATAGATTTAGCAGCATTAAGTAATTGTGGTAAATGCTGATGGTTTGGGCAGTCTTTGCCAATTCTTAGCATCAAAGGGTTTGCGGCGTTGTTGTGATATTGTTTGTTTTTCACATTAAGTTTTAGCCAATTCTAGAGTGATGAGCCAAGCTGTTGTTTTTAAAACGTCGGATTGAGGGTTTTTTGAAAGCTTACCTGGGATGCAGATCATTCTTTGGCTATACTAAACTGGAAGTAATCTTTTTTTTTTTTTCCAAGGCTAAACAGTCAATGCACATTTTAGTTGAACCCTTTTGTAATTGAAATTGATTGCTTGATGTTGGGTTGTGGGCAGCTCAAACTATCTTCAACCAATTTGCACCCCAGACTTCTGGATATATCTTTGGCAGCTTTGTCAGAAAAGCCGATGTTGGATTTTTTTTGTTATTTTTACCCCTTTCGGTTGTCTTAAATCCTTGTTAGTTGTTACATTACTTTTCTGTGGTGCACAAGTGTTACAGCTTAACACTTTTTTTTTTTTTATGAAATAAAGCTTAAATTTTTTGTATTATATTCGTATTATGCTTAACGTGCACAAGTGTTCCATGACTCATAGAAAAGTCGGATGCCTTGTTCAGTTGTGCATTAGGATTAATAAAAACAATAATTTTTCAGGATTTAAGCACTCAGCAGAATCAAACAGTGGAAACTGACTTGTTTTCTTGCCCTGTGTGCTATGAACCACTCATAAGAAAAGGCTCTCCAGGTTTAAACTTGTAAGTTAGAATATATATAGCTACATATAAGGGTGTTGATCCTTTGATCAGGTTAGTGTATGACTATCTAATAGATTTTCATAACTTGCAGGGAAGCTATCTACCGATCTGGATTTAAGTGTAAAAAATGCAACAAGTCATATTCGAGTAAAGATGTATATCTGGATCTGACTATTACTGCTGGATTGAGAAACTACAGTGAAGTCAAACCATTTCGGACTGAGCTATTCCGGTATGGGTAGTTTCTATATGCACATGTATTTACACTTGATACCTTTAGACGGGGCAGGTTGAGTGTTCAACCTGTTCTACAAATTTGATGGGCTATTTGATTAGGATTTATGTTGACAAGTAATCAAATTCCCACAAAATGCAAATACAATCTGTTTTGGAATCTGATTCAGCTAGAAAGATGATGAACACTTCGCAGCTGAAACCATGAATCAGTGTTCAAATTCCAAATACATCTGAGAAATCTGATAAGGTTGCAACAAAAATCGACCATGTAGCTGTTTCCAGAACAATATGTAAAATTTGGGAATCATGTGCAGAACACGATTGCGGTAAACAATAAAACTATAAAATAACTTGTCTGAGATCCAATAATTCTCTTAATTGCTAATATATGACTGCAACAAATTAAAAGGATGAAAAGGCAGGGGTAGAGATAGAATCATAGAAACATAAAGGTTTAGTTGAAGTTATGTGTAAAAGGGCTTGATACTTCAATCTGGAATCTGAATTTAAATAAAAAAATCCACTCTAAAACAAGAATTATACATTTCTTCAGTCTCCATTTGATTGTTACTTTAGCCATTTGCTTTTCACAAAGCAAATATTAGTAAAAATGAAAAATTGCATTTGATTAAAAACAAGTAAACAGTTATTTCAAGCATGATTGTCCGGAATAAGAGTAGACTATATACTTTTTATCCTCTACATAAAATTTAAAAATAATAGATTTACATGTTTTCTACTTTCTGCTTCTGAAAGTAAAAAGTGAGTCATATAAGCAACAACCAATGGAACCTAAATCTATTATTTAAGTCATAATCTTTTACCAATTACTAGTATTTCAGATTGAGCTGAGTCCCAATGAAAATAAAAGTATCTTAATAATACATTATCTAAATAAACATATGTCCAGTCCACATATACCATCCTTTCAGATGTGCCATAGAAAAATATCCGTACTTACTGTCATAAATTTAGATAACAAGAGGATTACAAGGCTTGAACAATTCACATGCTGCTACAAGAAGGATGAGTGCCTCTCAGGACACCTCTAAATATGACATTTTGTGGCATAACTAAATTCTTTTGGTGTAAAGGATTTTTTTTTTTTCATTATATTATGCTTTCATCTTTTGTAGGAGTCCTTTTGTATCATTTGTCTATGAAAGAGGCTGGCGTCAAATTTTTAATCTAAGTGGCTTTCCTGGGCCTGATGAAGAGGTAAATCTTGATTGGCTTTATATCAAGTTCAAACGTACCAACATGAATAACTCTTTGGAGGTCATTCTAAAGAAATGAGCCCCTTGTAGAATATTAATTTATACATACGCATATATTGTTTTGTGGAGCCTCTCCATGAAAGTGGCTGACATAGAGGGTAATCTGTCTTCCGACATGTTTCTTTTTCTTGAACAAGCTGAATTAATACCTACTGAATATCTTTATGTTGTATGGCCTATTATTGAGTTTTAGCCTTGCTATTTTTGTCTAACTTAATTTTTGCAAATAATGCAGTTCAGAATGGCTCAGGAATTCTTCAAACCTGCAGAAGGTGGCATTTTAGTGGATGTCAGCTGTGGAAGTGGTTTGTTTTCCCGAAAATTTGCCAAATCCGGAACATATTCTGGTGTTATTGCACTTGATTTTTCTGAAAACATGCTCCGGCAATGCAATGATTTCATTAAGCAAGATGAATCTATTTTACCTAGGTAAGCATCTCTACCTCTTTAATTCTAAAAGTAGAAGCAGTTATGTAAATTTTGGTATTTTACTGCTGATGTTTATACTTCTTCTTAAGCCAAGAACTGATTCACACATCATTCGAGAATGTGCAGCAATATTGCTCTTGTCAGGGCTGATGTTTCCAGGCTTCCTTTCTCATCTGGTGCTATTGATGCTGTACATGCTGCTGCTGCCTTGCATTGCTGGTCGTCTCCTTCAAATGCTGTAAGCATTTTCCTCCTTTTTTCTTGTGCAATTTTGCTGACACATTGGCTTGCAGATCTTCCAAAATGTTCTTGGTTTGATGATACTGACAGAACCCATCAGATACACAAATTGCATTTGTTCTTTTCTTCCTACTGTCCTTTTTTGGGGAAAATTTTTCTAGAATCCATTTCTGGGTCTAATCTAGACAAAAGAAATATGCATCTTGTTATTCATTTTTCTCATAGGCTGACCTATGGAAAATTCTCTCAGCGGAGAGCTTAAGATGATAAAACATCTCGATAGGTTGTTTTACTTAGCTTGCTATTGCATGGAAATTATACCTTTTTAGTCAATTGCACCTAGCTTTCAGGACTTTTCTCTGAGTTAGAAAAAGTTCTCAAGTGGTCACTTGTTTTGATTATTTTCAGGTTGCTGAAATTAGTCGCATATTGAGAAGTGGTGGAGTCTTTGTTGGAAGCACTTTTCTCCGTTACACGTCTTCTACTCCCTGGATAATACGACCTTTCAGAGAGGTAAAGTACAATATTTTGGATGAGTTTTTTTTTTCTTTTTCTTTTTAACTTTTTACTGTGTATTTGAATGTTCTCCTTTTGTTTGGCAAACATGCCCATTTTTAACACACTTTAACATTGGCTAAACTGAGTTGTTAAGCATGCCGCATTATACAACTCCACCTCCTTATACTTCCGCCATTTACTCTTGCTAGTTTTTTTAGTTCTAACTATAAATAATATCCCCAATGTATGCAAAACACCAACTGGTGTTTTGATGTCTTCCCTCTGTGTCCAAAACCAGTTGTTGCAACAGTATAATGATGTTATAGTACCAGAAGTTCTATCACGTTTGGTTCTTGCCTTGCCATCAATTGGCAATCCTATTCTTAGAATGCTTTTTTTTTCCATTTTAATAATTTCTGTTTCTTGAGAAATCAGAATACAGTTCCACGATTATAGCATGTTAAAGACATTCATTTTTGTTGCAGAGGATTCTGCAAAACTATAACTACCTTACGGAGGAAGAGATAGAGGACTTATGCACTTCTTGTGGTCTTACCAACTACACAAAAAACGTTCAGCAATACTTCATCATATTTTCTGCTCAGAAGCCTTGATGCTCAGCTTGGATCATCTGAAATTTGATTTTTCTTTTCGATGCATCACCTATCATGATCCTTAATTATTTGTTGTATAATAGACACCATTAACGAAAGACCTTAAGACGATGATAATCTAGGACAGATGCTATGTTCTAGTGTCTGCTTTTTAATGCAAGACAAGTGTTGCCTGCTGAATTGATGATTGTGTAAATACTATGAAAGAAAGTTTTGTTACCCTTGCTGTGGCTGCTATACTGAAAATTTGTTCTATAGGCAAGAAAAAAACATGATGCCCCTTTGGACTAGGAGTTTGAATCCAATAATCAAGTCATTGAAAGTTTGGGAGATCATTTGAATTTCTTTCCAAAAAGTCTAATATTGTTTGAACAATCACATCATCCATATGCTGATTGCCTGATGCACTGTAATTGGTATAGGAACAGCTACACAGGGTAAGTTATTCCACTACCAATTTTGTAAATCTGATATCATCTATCCTACAATTAAAACCCAAAACCTCCAAATATTAATTCAGATTCAAATTTGCTATATTTGCATTGAGAAAAAGAAAGAGTTGGAGTTGAAAGATATCAAAAAGATCTCTCAAATCTCAATTAATTGAAAGATCGAAAATCAAATTCCTCGCCTCAATAATTAACCTTTGAATAAAAAGATTAGGCTCTCCTCCTAATGATTAATTACCTGACTAATCCAATCCCATGAGCACTATCTCCTCCCTTTTGCTTTTGGTGAAACTCCTGTTGTCTACTTCAAATGTCTCATTCTCATTAACTCTATTAGCTCAACTTAAAATTTAACACACATTGCATACCTCATGCCATGTGACATATAACCACTACTTTGAAAAGTTGAACCCCATTAAAGAAAACCCAAGACATTGCTGAAAATGCTGATCAATGAAGTTTTGAACCCAAACAGAGAAAATTGTTTAAATGTCCAGTTCTGTTTAGTAATAATAAGTTGTTAATTCAATGATACTGCAGTCGATTTTTAAACTTAAGAATCCCGAGTTTGAATCTAACCGTAGCTAAAAAAAAATCCAGAGGGTCGCATAGGGCAAGGAAAAACAAAATTATGAACTCCGATGGAATATGTACGTCTTATTGTCCCTGTCCCTTGTAAAATCCAATTAGTGGGACACCGCTGCCAATCACATCAAGTTTTGAACCAACCGACAAAAACCAGTTCCTCTCTAATTGTCAGCTAGGGGCCCAAGCCAACGCTCTTTCTCTAATGGACACCAATCTCTTCAGCTCTCGTATCGGGCACCAATGCGTTTCATTCTTAACTCTTCCGCTTTTTTTTTTTTTTTTTTTGAACTTCTGTCAACTTGCCCTTTTTTGTGTTCTTTTGTTACATCCCTATCCGATGCAACAATTCATTTATTATCATGGAAGTCGATAGTCTTGGGAAATATTATTAACTTTGAAAAAGCATTATTAAAAGTTAGAAAAAAAATTTTCAATAAAAATTTAATAACTATTTAAATTTTTATTATTTTTTTATAATTAATTAAACCGTCAAATATTTATTTTCATCAATTAAATTATTGTTAAATAAAAATTGATTAATCACCAATATCAATTTTTATCTAGTCAAATATTCAATTGAAGTAAAAATAAATCTTTAAAGATGTAATTAAATGAAAATAAATTTTTAAAGATTAAACTAATCTAAAACAAAAAATTCAAGATTTGATTAATTATAATAAAATATTAAAAATTTAAATTTTTATTAAATTTTTATTCAAGAGCATATTTTACCATTTGCTAAAAAGAATATAGTCCAAAGAATGTCTAAAAACCCTTATCATAAAATTAAAAAAAAAAAAACTCTGAAAAATGAATAAAGAAAAATACAGAAGAACAAGGAAGTGCAGCAGCCCTCTAATCTAAATATATTTAAGTGAAATCAAGGGCTATGGTAATTCCTTCTTCATGTTGTTATTTGGCAGTTCATGCTGTTGGGCTAAAAGCCTCCAATCCAATCACACAAGCGGAAGCAAAATCAAACAATAAATCAAAGACATAAGAGACAACAATTTAACGTAGTTCGATCCAACTGATCTACATCCACGGATGAGAAAAAAGATCAACTAGTTATAGAGAATTACAAACTTACATCAAATCATCAACCTTACTCAACAATCAATACTCATAAGACACTCTCAATCTCTTCTAGTCCTATGGAGTATTCTCAACCCAAACAAATACAAACCCAAACCCTTGTGCACCCTTTCAACACAACCAAACACATACCTATATGTTCTCATACATCATACCTATGTGGACCCTCTCAGTCTCTTCTAGTCCACTCACAAAAAAATATACACACCCATAAGACGTAGAGCCCCAATACTCCTATGGGATATCTATCCCACAAAACCCTACAACTTTTTACATCTTTTTCTCATACCTAACCCTGTAGAGACTTCACCTATTTATAACCATAAAAACTTACCCATTAAGAATCCCTATCCCTTAGAATTTTTCTCCTGTAAGTTAAACTTACCTATTAAGAATTCATTTCCCCTTAGAATTCTTCTCTTGCAAGTCAAACTTACCTATTAAGAATCATCTTTCTTTTAGAATTCTTCTTTTGTAAGTCTTCTTATCCATTAAGCAATATCTGACAAATCTCAAACAAATCTCTAACAAATCCCAAACAAATCTCTTATGGGATTTGAGTCAATATTCCCAACAATCTCCACCTTGACTCAAATTTATCAATCATCTGTTTTTGTGCTAGACATGCTTGGCTCCACCTGCAATAAAAGTCTCACAATCATCTTCTCTTCTCTTGTGTCTTCGCGCTTCATACAAACTAATTCTCAATCTTCAAAACTTAAACTCGAACTCTTCTCTTGAATAGAGCTTCTCTAAGCTTACTTCTTCTCATGTCTCAAACCAAGCTCTTCTCATATCTCGAACTATCAACTCTTACCATGTTTTGAACCATCGGCTCTTCTCACATCTTGAACCTTCAGCTTTGATACCACTTGTTAGGAAACACCATAGCTCTGATACCATTTGTTGAGCTAAAAGCCTTCAATCCAATCACACAAGCGGAAGCAAAATCAAACAATAAATCAAAGACATAAGAGACAACAATTTAACGTGGTTCGATCCAACTGACCTACATCCACGGATGAGAAAAAAGATCCACTAGTTGTAGAGAATTACAAACTTACATCAAATCATCAATCTCACTCAACAATCAATACTCATAAGATACTCTCAATCTCTTTTAGTTCTATGGAGTATTCTCAACCCAAACAAATACAAACCCAAACCCTTGTGCACCCTTTCAACACAATCAAACACATACCTATATGTTCCATACATCATACCTATGTGGACCCTCTCAGTCTCCTCTAGTCCACTAACAAACAAACATACACACGCATAAGATGTAGAGCCCAATACTCCTATGAGGTATCTATCCCACAAAACCCTACAACTCTCTTACATCTTTTTTCATATCTAACCCTGTAAAGACTTCACCTATTTATAACTATACAAACTTGACCATTAAGAATCCCTATCCCCTTAGAATTCTTCTCCTGTAAGTCAAACTTGCCTATTAAGAATTCATTTCCCCTTAAAATTCTTCTCTTGAAAGTTAAACTTACATATTAAAAATCTCTTTCTTTTAGAATTCTTCTTTTGCAAGTCTTCTTATCCATTAAGCAATATCTGACAAATCTCAAACAAATCTCTAACAAATCCCAAACAAATCTCTTATGAGATTTGAGTCAATATTCCTAACAATCTCCACCTTGACTCAAATTTCACCAATCATCTATTTTCGTGCTAGACATGCTTGGCTTCCACCTGCAATAAAAGTCTCACAATCATTTTCTCTTCTCTTGTGTCTTCACGCTTCATACAAATCAATCCTCAATCTTCAAAACTTAAACTCGAACTCTTCTCTTGAATAGAGCTCCTCTAAGCTTACTTCTTCTTATGTCTCAAACCAAGCTCTTCCCATATCTCGAACTATCAACTCTTACCGTGTCTCGAACCATCGGTTTTTTCCACATCTTGAACCTTAGCTCTTATATCACTTGTTGGAGAACACCACAGCTCTGATACCATTTGTTAGGCTAAAAGCCTCCAATTCAATCATACAAGCGGAAGCAAAATCAAACAATAAATCAAAGACATAAGAGACAATAATTTAACGTGGTTCGGTCCAACTGACCTACATCCACGGATGAGAAAAAAGATCCACTAGTTGTAGAGAATTATAAACTTACATCAAATCATCAATCTCACTCAACAATCAATACTCATAAGACACTCACAATCTCTTCTAGTCCTATGGAGTATTCTCAACCCAAACAAATACAAACCCAAACCCTTGTACACCCTTTCAACACAACCAAACACATACACATATGTTCCCATACATCATACCTATGTGGACCCTCTCAGTCTCCTCTAGTCCACTCACAAACAAACATACACATGCATAAGACGTAGAGCCCCAATACTCTTATGAGGTGTCTATCCCACAAAACCCTACAACTCTCTTATATCTTTTTCTCATACCTAACCCTGTAGAGACTTCACCTATTTATAACTATACAAACTTGCCCATTAAAAATCCCTATCCTCTTAGAATTCTTCTCCTGTAAATCAAACTTGCCAATTAAGAATTCATTTCCCCTTAAAATTCTTCTCTTGCAAGTCAAACTTACCTATTAAGAATCATCTTTCTTTTAGAATTCTTTTTTGCAAGTTTTCTTATCCATTAAGTAATATCTGACAAATCTCAAACAAATCTCTAACAAATCCCAAACAAATCTCTTATGAGATTTGAGTCAATATTCTCAACACATGCTCTCTAAGATTTTGTGCAATTTCCATTGTCGGCCATTACATACTCAAATATCCATCACTTTATCTCCATTATGCACCTCCAATTTTATATTGGTAACTGAAAACGAAATTGATAATTTTGCCTGGCTTAAAAGTCCAATAAACACGTTGAGTAAAAAGCATGCTTCCAGACTGCGTTTATTGAGAGAAGTTGTTTCGTGTTGTAGGATTTAGATTCCAGTCGAAACAACTCCAACTTTCATCCCGATGAAAAAAATTTAAATATATCATCACCTGCTCTAATCCAAACCTCAAAAGCTTCTAAGCTAAATTGATTGATATTCCATTAATTATATTTTCTTCCCAACTTTTTCCTTGAGTATGGTTCAATACCTCAAAATATAATACCTTTGCAGCATTTGCAGCTAACCCTGGAATATTGGTTTTGCTTATATTGTACAGCAATTGCTAATTTCCTATTATATATGTTGTCATATATAGTCAAATTTCAAGCTAGAGATAAGTTGATTAAGCTACAACAACCTCATGGCATCCAAATAATTTCTTCTTCTTTTTTTTTTTGTACTTTTAGCCTTCTTGATCTAATAAAGTAAAAGCAGAACCCCATTTTTAAAAAATTTTCATTTATAAAAATGATTATTGCGGTGCAGATCTATTATTTAAGATTTTTTTAGGGTTCTGTTTGATAAACTTTTTAAAGGAGCCTAAGTTTTAAATGAAAAGCTTGAATGTTACAGTAGCCAGATACCGAAACCTGGTGAGTTGATGTGAATAAGAATAGAAAGTACTAATGTATACTAAAGGAAAGTTAGTGCAAATTTTTTTCAAGCTCACGATATGTGTATGGGAGCACAACTTTGATGATGGTATGGCCCTTGATGAATATCTTAAGGGATATTCAACTGATTTAGGTTAGTTTTACTGGATAAGATATTCAGGAACCAACCAACCATGGCCACATGCTATGGAGCTCTGCAACATATAAGAAGATAAGGGTTCGTTGTATCTTTGCTATGGTCGATTAGGATCACCATGTGCTTAACTGTTTATCCGTTGGAGTTAGTCCAAATACGACAAGATAGTTCATTTCATTTGCTTTCTTCGTTAGTGAAATATCTTTTCGTTTCCATCTCGGAACTACCACAAAACTTTTTCTATTTGTAACCCAAATGCAATTTTATTTTTCTCCATTGTTAACTCCATAAAATTGGCTTGTATTTCTTTATATAATGATATATAAGAGACCAGAGAGCATTCCATCAATTATAACTTCAGAGATTTTATTTTGGAAAATGGTGGATTAAAGATTCAAGAAAGAATGGATGGATGATATTACGGATGTGTTTGTTTTCTATTTGTTATTTTCAAAGTGATTTTGAATTTTTTTTAGAGATTTTTAAGTTTTATTTAATATATATATTTTTTAATCAATTCAAATAAATTTATTTACGTAAAATCTGATAATTTATAAAGATTTATTTTTTCACAACTATTAAAAAAACTTTATTTGTTATTTGAGTCAACATCCTTAGACTTTGATGTCAAAATTTTAATCAAAGATTAAAAGAAAAGAGAAAAGAAATGGCAGTCTTTGTCGTTATGATAAATCCTTGGCTCAATGGCCACTTATAGCAAAACTTGGATTCAACATCAAACTTTATGTTTGGCCAAAAAAGAAAAAAACACATCAAACTTTATGCAAAAATTGCCCACTCTTACGTTTTGTATATCCCTTGTATAACTGCTTTTTTTTTTGTCTAAAACTCTTTAGCGTATAATAATTATTTTAGATTTTGATTAATTTAAAATCGGATTGAATTTATTTTTTATTCACAAAATTAAATTTTTATTTTAAAAAAATTAAATTTTTTATCATTTGAATCAACAATCGTTAATTTTTATTATATAATATTTTGCTCATTATGACGAGAGAATGAGGTGTCTCAAAAAAGAGTTTATATATATATATATATATATATATATATAAATTCTTCCCCAACAACTCTCCAAGAATTTACCCACCCTACGTGTAAAAAAGATCTACCAGCACTCACATAAATGAAAAATCTGAACACCAAACTCTCACAGGTCTACGTCCCAATCAAAATCTATTACTATTTTTTTAACGAGTCGAAATTTAATATCTAATATTACTATCAAAATGACCCAAAGACCGAAAAGGCTAAGCAAGGCTTGCATCAAGTGAAAGGTAAAAAGAATATGTGGGAAATGGAGATGGTAATGGTATAACACGTTTCAGAATGATTGGCAACTAAGAAAATAACACAGAAAACCGAGTTTTTGTTTTGTGATAATAATAAAACCGGGACAGCTAAACACATTTTGTTTGAAAGCGGTGTGCTCAAAATCTACTGTGGTCTAACTGATATGATGAACAAAGGGAATAAAATAAAAATGGGAAATGTGAGAATTCGGATAGATAGCTCTGCGGGCTTGTTCCGTTTGTTGGGTTGTTCTTTCTACGAATGAATATGCTTTCAACAGCTGTCGATTTCTAATCTGTATGAAGGATAAAGTGTACTGTACATCCTACCCTTCAGGTTTAAAAGTAAGAATTTTAATGGGTATTTTAGTCAAAAACAAAAATTACCGACAAGATATAAAGGGACCCACCACCTTATAATCAGGTATTTTGTCCTATCCGTTAAGTTAGCAATGCTTTAATAAATTTCATCAACCTCTTAATGTAGCAATTCTCTCTCTATCTTCTCCTCTGCTTCCGGAAGAAGAGAGAACAGAGAAACAGGGAAGAAAAACAAACAAAAGCAAAAATCATAATGTTATGTTTAAGATCAAATCCTTATGCATTGTTTCTTCTTTTCCTTTTCTCTTTGTTTCTTTTCAAACATGAAGTAGTTTCTGAAGCCTCAAATGTCCAAACTTCACACATCCCAGGTATTCATTTTTTTAAAGCGAATTTTTGGCTTTTATTTCTAGGGTTTTGTTGGTTTTGACTCTTTCTTTTTTTTTTTTTTTGTTAATTCTATTTGATAGGGTATTATAAAATTTTTGTCTTTGGGGAGAGAGAGCACATTGAAGTGCTACCATGGAGGAAGATAGAAAGGAGTAACCTTGCAGAGGGAAGTGAAGGAGATAACTCGTCTTTGATTTTGGCTGAAAAGAGAACCCACAGGAGGGACCCTCTTGATCATTTTAAGAAGTACACTGGTGGCTGGAATATCAGAAATGAACACTATTGGGCTGTCAGTTTCTTCTCTTCTTCACTTTTTAATATCATTTTTTTTTCTTTCTTACTGTATAGTTTTTTTTATTTATTTTCACTTTTTATGTCATTTTGGCACTTTTTGGAAAATTGAGATGTTTAGCCAGGAGTTATCAATTTTCTATGTACTTGTTGGCTGGTTGCATGTGTTTGGTTACTTAATGGGTTTTTTTCTTTCTTTTTTTTTTTTTTCAGAAAATGGAATGAATAAAACTTTTGTTGCTGTATAGAGGGCCTGAATTTCTACGGTTTTTTGCTGATTTTCTTGTTTGTATGTTATGATTTTTCATAGAAGTCTCTATACTTTTATGTCTTTGTAATTGGTCTTGATGTTTGAGAATGATTAATTCTAGCCCATTGAGTCATGCAATCCTGTTATTTCCTAGGTTCTTCCCTCATCTTTTATTTATTTCTGTTGTCTCACTTTTGATATTGTAATCTCAATTAAGAAATCTTCTTTTGAATTGAATTATTTTGGCAGTCACTTGTACTTCAACTTAAAACTCTCCTTACTATCTCATACTCTGTTTCCAAGTTTTCATATGTCTAACTTATAAAGTAGATTCTTTCTTTTTTTATTTTGTATTTAATATCATTTTTCTATGGCTTATGATGCAGTCTGCAGGTTTTACAGCAGCTATTTTCTTTGCAATTGCTGCAATCTGGTTTGCGATATTTGCACTATGCTTGTTCATCATATGTATCCGTCATTGTTGTTGTCAACTAGATTCTTATGGCTACTCTCGGACAGCTTATGCACTATCTCTTATTTTCCTCATACTCTTCACCATTGCTGCAATGTAACTCTACTCCCTCTCTCTCTTTCTAAACTTTCAAGATATGTTTGTTTTAAATAACCATACGATTACTCACTCAATATTTAACTTCATATTACAGTGTAGGGTGTGTTGTGCTCTATACCGGTCAGGGAAAATTTCATAGCAGTACAACAAACACACTGGATTATGCTGTTCATAAGGCAGATGTTACTGCTGAAAACCTCAGGAATGTCTCAGATTATCTTTCTGCAGCTAAAAAAATTAGCGTGGATTCAGTTTTTCTGTCAGCAGATGTTCAAAAAGACATTGATGATATTGAAAAGAAGATCAACTCTTCTGCTTCAACTCTTTCCAGTCAAACAGGCGATAATAAAGACGACATTCAACATGGCTTGGACGGCATGTAAGTTGAAACTTTTAGAATCTTGAAATGAGAATAATCATGGAGTATTGATCATCAAAACTGATGTCATGCTAAATGTTGCAGGAGATTGGCTCTTATCGTTGTTGCTGCTGTGATGCTCTTTTTGGCATTTCTTGGATTCTGTAAGTTAAAATGTAGTTCTGATCATTGATCCTAGATTCTTAGTAATTAGAGTATTATAACATCATCTAAACTTTATGCTATTATTGTGATAACTGGCTGCAGTATTCTCCATTCTTGGATTGCAGTGCCTGGTGTACACGTAAGTGAAGTATCATTAACGTATTTTCGGTTGTACGCTTCATAATAAATGGTGTAACTCTTGAAGTGAACCTATGTTACTTTATTGCACTTCCCTTATCAAACACTTCTGTAATTAATGAATGCAGGCTGGTGATCTTTGGGTGGATTCTTGTTGCTGGCACATTTATTTTGTGTGGAGTATTTCATCTCCTCCACAAGTATGTTCTACTCAATTTCCCATGTTTCTCTGTAATCTCATGTTTTTAGCTTTTACCTTTCAAGAGCTTTAACAACTTAAATTGCATCTGTCTAATTCTAAGTAATTTCACTTATGTTTACTCATGCTTAAGGTTCTACTTTTATTCTAGCATACTTGTTTATTGTTCAAATCAGCTATCAACTTTAAGCCATATGTCACCTTTCATAAAAAAGGCTATGTATAAAATACCCGGGAATCAGACTAACTCGTGCAAGATATGTGTCTGCAGTTGTTTAATCTAAATGACTCATAAGAAATCAGCTTTAAGATATAACTATGAGTAGAAACAAACAGGCTACTTTTCTATGGTTTTTGGCTGAAATTTCTTCCTTTAATAGCACTTTTCTTTTGTGTGTCTACTTCTTTTAGCCCCATTATTGGCATAATATTCATCGCTAAGTATTTACTAGAGCATTATCTTGGATGTGACCAAATTTATATCAGGCACTCTCTTGAATCTCATACGATACCTTAGTCATATATCTCTACTTAGTTATATACTGATAGAAGTGCTACAAACCTGCTGATTAGAGAAAATCTTTCTCACTCCCATTTTAATGCTAGAAGTTGATAAAAACTTTACCTACTCTAAGTCTATCCACAAATTTCTAGAGTTACATTTCAATTTTCCATTCTATATTAATGCTTTGACTTTCTTCCCATCCCTGTTTACTTGATTACTCTCTCTTGGTAAAATTTTAGATTTCTTTCTTCATATCTCAAGTTCTTCTAGGATTGGTTTAAAAGATAAGTTCTTTGCTGTCTTTCTTCGTGCTTTTCCTCTTTCTGGGGCTCAAAGGTTTTCCTGTTGTTAACCTATTAATATATGATTGATAAAGAATGATGGGAACCCAATGCACTGATCATTCAATAACATTTCTCTCAAATCAAATGTCACTTTCTCGACATCTTTCTTGAACTCACTCTGATTTGCTCATTCACACTTGAATGTTGATGCATATCTTTGTTATGTGCCTCATATTGTCAAATTTCTGACTTATTTTGATTTATGAACATTTTAATGGTGACTTAGCGTAAGATTTAATCTCTAGGTTGATGTATGTGCTCAAGACTATTGTCATATTTGGCCACACAAAATAAAATATAACAAATAAAAAAAAACGGTTGTTATACACTTCTTTAATATGATATACTCGCTAAATTAAAATTGTCTCTCATGCTTCACAGTGTGGTTGGAGATGCATGTGTTGCCATGGATGAATGGGTCCAGAATCCCACTGCCCATACGGCATTAGATGACATTCTGCCATGTGTGGACAATGCAACAGCCCAAGAGACCTTGTTACGAACCAAGAATGTGAGTTACCAACTTGTAAATGTCGTGAATGGTGTCATCAATAATGCTGCCAACAAAAATTTCCTGCCAGCATTGGCACCTTTATATTACAATCAATCTGGTCCATTGGTGCCAGTTCTCTGCAACCCATTTCATTCTGATCTCACCGAGCGGCAGTGTGCTTCTGGTGAAGTTGGCTTGGACAATTCCTCAGAGGTAATTAACAATAGCCTTTCCAAATATAAGTGGAAATTGCTTGTCCATACATAGGTAGGTATGCATCAGATGATAGTGCACATGCATGTAGTGTGCATGCCTTAATTGAAATTTCCCCTAAATGTAAAGAAATAAATTAAAAGAAACTCATGACTGTCTATATTTGTTTCAAACAGGTTTGGAAGAACTATACCTGTCAGGTTTCATCCTCTGGGATATGTACTACACGTGGGCGGCTGACCCCTCAATTTTATACTCAGATGTCAGCTTCAGTGAATGTCACTTATGCTTTGTATCACTATGGTCCATTCCTGGCTAATTTACAAGACTGCACTTTCGTGCGCGATACATTCACTGATATCAGTCATAATTATTGTCCTGGTCTGCAGCGCTATAGTCAATGGATCTACATTGGATTAGTAATTGTATCGGCTGCTGTGATGCTGTCATTGATCTTCTGGGTAATCTATGCAAGAGAAAGAAGGCACCGTGTTTATACTAAACAGTATGATGCTAGATCCGAAGGCACATACAAGGGTCAATAGGACTCAAAGCCTGATTAGCTGGTTGTTAATTTGCTTGTATATTTTGACAAACATACATTGCAAATTTTTGTACATTATGCTTGTTATCCTTAGGCTTGAATCTTGTGCGGTGCAGTCTATATGGCCATGCACAAAGATAAATTAGCGTTTGGACTTTGGAAGCCTCTCTTGGGAGGAATGACTTTCTTTTCCTTGTTCATTTTCTCTAAGCATGATGCACCTCTTTCTCTTCTAACAATCAAGTCTTAATAATTTGATGTCTTATAATTCAATTAAAAAATTTGGGCCGGTTCTCAGGTTGCCTAGGGCCAGGAGGAAGCATCTTTCCTTGTAGTATCTGCGAGTGTTGGATATTCCTGATGTTTGGAGAGGAGTGTTTGATTGTAACAATTCAAGAATCTGGAATTGTAAGTTGTCACTTTCATTTGCAACTTTGATTTTGTTCATAAAATTTAAAGATTTCATGATGCAAAAGTTAGTGCCATAAATTCAAAAATTATTTTATTTGTTTTCACATAGAGGTATTTCACAGTACGCAGAAGAAGATAATTGAGAAAAAAAATCACAATTTTATGTGAGGGCTAAAATCACAAAAGATATGTGCGAAATCTATCTTTATTTATTTAGTATATGTGTCATTATATTTACTTGTAGTGAATTTCAAACGAAAATTTGGACCCTCCTTTGCGGTGCTCAATCCATAAATCCACATCAATGGTAGAAGACCCATGACCAAATCTTACGAAATGACCGCTTCAATATTCCATGAGCAAGTTTCTGTGACAGGTCTTTATCAGTGAGATTAGGGACTCTCCAATTGCGGATTTGAATATGCCAGTTCTACTACGTGTAAAATTTTTTGGGTTGTTTGTTAGATATAAGGGTGTCGCGATACATGTTATGCTGTCGGCTTCTTGCTGGGGCTAAATTCATAGAATCTGTATCCCCTTGCCCACCACACAACCGACCTCAAAGATAAGCAATTAGCAATCCAAGTTTAGCTCAAATTTGCTGACCTTTGTAACTTAGAAATTTGACATTGAGCACGACAGAACAAACAACAAAATATGCACCAAAGATAAATAGTAAGTTGTAACACAAAGTTGATGTAATTCAATCTGTAAAATCACACTCTATAATACATTTTGATAAAGTTAAAGTTTTGCTATATAAAATTTATAATTACAACTACAAGTCTTATAATTTGATGTAACAAATAAATCAATTAACAAATTACACTTGACTTTGTTTCGTGAAAAAAAATCCACTTATCTTTGGGCTTAGAAGAGAAAAGTAAAATTCAAGACACTTATTATGTAATTCTTTCATTCAATCAAATCTGTACCTAACCCAAAATTTTAACTCTTTGTTATATTAATCTAATAATTGCCCTTCTTTCTTATGTAAAATTTTATCATAATTGTTAGAAGACCTTTTATTTGGTAACCTTTCAACGATTCAATTAGATATTTTACTATCTTCCTTTAAAATATTGAAAGCAATGTCGTGTGTAAGAGTGAGACTGTTGACCTGTCATTCCATTTTACTCTGTAAGACTATAAGCCTTTCTTACTGCAGAAGTCATTTATATATATAGCATGGGTTACAAGATTTTTCAGTTTTATTATTGTCTCTGAAGATTCCAGTCTATTTATGGGCTTCAAAAATTAAAATGAAATATTAAATTGGAATTTATCAGCTTGAAAGGGGACAAATGAAGCTATGAGAAAGGAACCCATAACCGTTCTTCTTGGGGTTCAAGCTCAAATGTCAATGGCTCTGGACCAGCATTGGAATTTTATGAGGCTTCTTTTTAATCGCTGGAAATTGGAATAAGAGTCTCTCTCTCTCTCTCTCTGTCATTCGTTGTCATGCATTTAGCAGTTGCCATTGAATGGACCTTACTAATTTCCAACTGATTCCATACATTTGAAAGGGCAATTAATCATTGATGTAATTTCTGGTCTGTCCCTCCAAAAGTTACATGAAAAACCAAATGGTCAAAAGTGGGTAAATTGGTATTCCACTTAACCAATTCTCTGTTTCTTATTACCCAAAATACCTTAAATGATCATGCGGTTAAATCAAAACCCACGAAAGAAAAGTTGTCGAGGTAAGTTAAACAGGTTTTCAACGCCATAAAACCCCAATATCCTCCAACTTCCCATTAGTTTGCCATCCCCTCTTTCTGGTTTGATCAAAGCTTTTGAACCATCCCCATGGCGTCAACAAATGCATTATCAAACTCCAAATCACAGACCCGTACATGCCTATGTTCCCCCACCACACACCCGGGATCCTTCATGTGCAGCCTACACAGGAATGTCAACAAGCCACCCGGTCGTCGAACAAGGGTGGTTCGCGTCTCATCAAATCAGTCGGAATTAGCTGTGGTTGCCAAAGCAAATTCCATCAAGGCGTTTCTGCTCCAAATCATTAAGCCATCGAGCCACGACATGCAAGGGAGGAGGAATTTCCAGCCTAAACCTTCCAGGTTTTGTTTATTGAATGGCAACAGAAATGGGACTCGGGGTTGCAGTTTCCTGATCATACGTTGGTGGTTTAGTTGCAAGAATTTGTCTTTGGTGGCTTTTTTTCTTATTTTTTCTTGGCTTCTTTTATAATTGATAGGTCAATTAGAAACTTTAATTTTGTATTTATTAATATATACAAGGAATTTATGTGCATATGTAAGCTTATGGAATTGTAGTGAAAAAAAGTTTTTTTTTTCCCTTAATGTTTGGTACATGGTAATTTGTCAAAACCTCTGTTATAAGACAAGATGAATCTATTCGAGAACTTGAATACCCAAATTTTTAATAGCTTTCAAATTTTATTTTAAATATGATACGATCATATAAAAATTATATAAAAATAAAAATAATAAAAGTTAAAATTTTAATAAAAAATATATAAATTTAATAAAAATAAAAAATTTTACTCTTATGTCAAAATAAATTTGGATATAATAATTTTTATATTTTAAATATTAAATAAATATAATATAAACATATAAGTTACGAATCTAAAATTTAGGTTCGTCCGATCCAACCTGGTAAGAAATCTTGTGCTTAAAGGGGTCAAAAACGAAGCTTGACTTTGACCGGCATACCAGAATCAAGAAAACGTCAAAAAAGGTCTGGCTATTAGCTGCCAAATATGTGGGGCATCCACACCATGTGGAGAGGGAATAAAAAGCAGCAGCTCTAATTCCTTCTTTAATTTGGTTTTTCGAATTTGAAAATTTCAAAGCCATTGCTACTTCCCCAAGGCAACGCCGTTTTCGTATCTCTTGGCCACACGGAGGACCAAACAGCAAGTGGGGCCCATCTAGCCATCAGCGTAGGAGCACAACTATCTTAATGGCTGTACACAAACATAACACAAGTCATTGCACGTTGCACAAGGAGATTGAGACCATTCCCTCTTTAGGTTTTTTTTTTTTTTTTTTCAAATGCTAAGGAAAATTAATTTCATTTACTATTGACTTTACTTTTTTTTCTTCATTTTTTTTTATAAAAAATTTTAAAAATAAATAAATTATTTAATTTTTATATCAAAATAAAATATATCATATTTAATAATTTAAAATAAATAATTATAAATTATGCATTTAAAATAATTCTAATAAACATTCAAACTTAAAACTACTTAATAAAAAAAATAAATTTTGATCGATTAAATTAATTATTTATTAATTTTATTTTTCATTTGGTGATTAAATTTTTATGAAATTTAAATTTTCATAAATTAGCTAAACTTTCCCACTTCTTCTAATCTAATCCAATAATGAAAATGGAACAACTTACAAGAATTCAAAATCAAAAGGGGTTGCAAATAGATTTGTCCATAGGTTGATCCTAGACATGGTAGATCTGTCCATAGGTTGATTCTGGACAAGATTTTTCAAGCTTGAGCCATATTGAAATATTATTTATTTAATTTTAATTTTAAAATATTAAAATTTTTTCAAATTTTTTAAGCATAAATGATTGAGTCTTGAACAAATATTACAAAAAAAAATAATTAAACCTAACCCGATCTGATCCATTATTACAATATTACAAGTGACAAACATGAATGATTGAAAAGGATTTTATTAATATCTTGAATAATGACTTGTGACAAAAATAATATCTGGTTTTTTTAATATATAAAAATAATAAAAATAAATAATAGGGATTGATGGATGATGAAATGGCCATACAAAAATATTAGGGTTAATTTGGAAGAAATTAAATTTAAGTACTCCAATATAGTATATATACAAGATTCTCCAACTCCAACATTTTGAAATCTCTTTTCCTTTTCTTGGAGCCGGTCAACATTTTTAATCTCAATTTTTTATTCCATAGTAAAAGAATCAATATTTTAATAATTAAAATAATTAAACATATTTTAAAGGAAGTGAGTGTTGGAAGTGGAAGTCACCTATTCAAGGTTTTTTTTTTTTTTTAATTTTTTTGTTGAATAATCTATATATATCGTATTTGAGTTATCTCTCTAAACTCTAAAGCTGTCCATTTCACTAGGTATAGTTTAAAATAAATTTTAGTATTAACTATGAACAACAGCATATATATATATATATATATAAGTACATACTCGAATTGTTTGATTATATCCCTAATTGATGACATGATCATATTATTCATTCATGTGTGAACAGGTTTATCTAAGTGATGAAAGGCAGAAGCCTAAACAAGTTCATTTTGGTAAAACCAAAAGCAAACAAACAAATTATGTAATGAAAAGGTAATATTATTAAATAAATTATGATAGACATGACAATCAAAATTTTTTTTTTCCTTTGAGATTACGATTGAATTTCATATTTGATATCTTCCTTTCTTAAACTGTTTTTAATATCATTGAATTAACAGATGATTAGTGACAATCAAAGGTTGTATCAAAGTAAAGTTTATCATCCAAGGCATCTTAATCAGTACATCAAACTTAAATTAATTTTATTGATTAATATATGTAATAGTCTATGACATAAGAATCTTCCAATTAATTGTACTTTAAACGCGTTTGGCTTAAAATTCTGGGACTGGTATTAGAAGCAGAAATTGAGAGGGAAAGGAAATTAAACTAGGAGGAAAATGAAGGAGAGGAAAAAGAGATAGTTTGAAATGGTTGCCCCAAAAATTTCTTGGCATGTGTGTGCATTGAAAGAGTTAAATTGAGAAAAATGAGAACTTTGTTGCGTGTTTGAGAAAAATGAGTCCAATGTGGGTAGCTAGCTAGTTGGGGACTGTGGCTTCATTGGCTGGTGTTGGCCAATTCCACAACACTTTTTTTTTTTCCTTCGAAATTTGACTCTTCATTCATTGAATTTTCTTGGGTCAAAGCTCATTTGCTACAACTGCGTCGAACCTTCCTTTATATGTACCGTTTTACATGCCAACTACTTTGAAATGAAATAGAAGGATGTGGAGCCCTTTTGTGTAAAAAATTCGTACTTCGTAAATTTGTTATTCGTGTTAGTATCTTATTTTGTAGAAGAAAACGGAAAATCCCAGCTGATAACATTACCAAAAAAAAAAAAATCTTCATTTATAAGAATTTTCTCAATTTTAACTTAATTTTAACCTTTGCTCGGTAAGAGAAATAAAAGGAATGAAGATGAAAAATTTTTTAACTATGAAATTCTAAACCGTTTTCTATCCTTACTTCTTTTTTAAATTTCTTTTAACAAAATAAAGCCTTATTTTTCCAATTAAATTTTTTTTACATTTTATATTAGCTTTCGAAAAGGTTTTGAGAAGTGAACCATTTAAATGTCACCATCAATTAAATGTGGAAATCAAAGGTCACTTTTACCATCATAAAAAAAAAAAGAAAAACTTAAGGAGAACATTTCATCAGTAGGATATTTCTTCACCCATTTCTATGGATACATCTAATTATAAATAATCAAAGGTACACAAGGCACATGCTGCAAAAAGAAAAGGAAAACAAAAAAGAAAAGTATAATTGACTCATTCAAGTTGATTTAACATTTAATAAATAACTTCATTAAAATGCAATAAAAAAATTTTTATTTGACTCGGTCTGATCGAAAAAGCGCCAAAAAATTAGGGAGGGGGGCCTAAAAGAGTAAAAACTAAAAATTTCTGCAACCGGAAAATAAAATTATGAAGATTTCGTTCATCTTGCTCGTGAATATGTCTAATGTATTTGAATAGTTGATAAATTATTTGATTATATTTTATTTATTTAATTATTTAATTAAATTATGATTTTTAAATTAATAATTAAGATTAAAATTATCGTGACCTTAATAATTGAAATCAGAATTATATTAAAAATTTATGGATGTGATTTTTAACAATTGATATTAGAGTTATGTTCAAGATATGACGAAGAGATAAATTTGGAATAGTTCGAATCAATTGAAAATTTCAAATTTATATTTTAAAAAATCGATTTATATAGTACGTGAATATACATAGAAAAAATTAGTAATAAACTTTAATTATTGAAAGAGGTAAACATGTCTAATATGAAAAGATTTGAGTCAATGTGAAAATTATTGAGATTTATTTTATTGTTTTTTTTAATTTGTTATATGTTACTTTATGGATAAAAAAACTTATAAAAAATTTTTTAAGAGAAAATAAATTTTTGATAGACAAATTAATAAGCCAAGTTTGAGATATATGAAGAGACAAATTTGAAAGAGTTCAATTCATTAAAGGAGTTTGAGTTCATATTTTGAGAGATCAATTTGTGTAAAGCATAAAGACAAAAAAAAAAATGTTAGGAGACTTTCATTGTAAGTGGATACAAATATATTTAATATGAAGATATTGGAGTCTATGTGAAAATTGTTGGATTTACTCAAATCACATAAGAGATTTGTTTAAGATTTTTGTTAGGTTAGTTAGATATTACTTAAATGATAAGACGACTTTGTAATGAAAGAATTTTAAGAGAAAATTGATTCTTAATAAATAAGTTAATAAATTTATAAATAATGAGGATCTTTATAGGTTTATATATAAAAAAATTATATAGTTTTATAGGATAAACATCACATAAAATTAATATAGATTGAGAAGGTTCTTACGAATGTGTATATTTGAATGAACAAAATGAAAATGAAAGATCCACATAAGTATGGTAAATCATATGAGTATGTGTTAATACTTGTTTAGATTGTGAATACTTCATAGGAGTAAAGAGGAATAAAAAGATATATAAATATTGATTGTGAGTAAGTATTGATTAATGTAATTGTATATTTATAATACTTTACAACAATTGAATTGTTTTTTCATTTGTAGACGTAAATCGATTGGGTTAAACTACTTTAAAATTATTATCTCTTGTATGATTGATAAATTATTTAATTATATTTTTGCTAGCTTGATTATTTAATTAGATTGAAGCTTTTAACATAGCGATTGGAATAAGAGCTATCATGATCCTAACGTTTATTATTATGTATAATATAATAAAATTAATTAAAATGAATATATAATGTAGTTTGCAAAAAGGTTAAGAATTTTTTTTAGTAAGATACGAATGAAAAGCTTTAAATACCTAAAAATGAATATGATAAAGTGCTTTCCGTGTGTATTATATAAAAAGTATAAATGATACATTAATATTCGTAAACTATTTGAGTTCGTCTAAAATAAAATTCGAATTTGAGATCTATTGATCATTGTTGAGTTGAGTTTGAGTAGCTCAATTTATCAAGTAAATCAAGCTTAAGCATCTTAATATTTAACTTTAGTAGCTTACAAGCTTAATTGAGTTTTTAAATTTTAATTATTTTAATTACAATTTTTATTTTTATCTTTTTGTATATTAATTCGAGTTCGAGTTCAAATTCAAACACGTAATCGAACATGATAATTGAATTCATTTTTATTAAACGAGCATAATTGAGTCAGTTTAAATAATTTAATTTTTATTTTGAGTTTAATTCAAATTAAAAAATTAAAAATAGATTAAATTTGAATTAAATTTTAAATAAAAAAATTCAAATCGAATTCAATTTTTTGTTATATTGACTTACTTTAACTCGATTATATTTTTAGTATTAATTACATTTAACCTCCCAAAATTTGAGGACATATTTTTATAGTTTTTGTTTAAAAATAAAATACATACATTTATTACCCAAAATAATAATTGACCAATTTTGGAACTCTTTACACAATTAAGAAAAGAAAAAAAAAAAAAACAGAAAGGTGGAGGAGAATGACCCCATATGGACTCATCAGAGTGAAAGACAAATCATCCAACATATAGGGTCGACACAATTTACCAAGAGAAAATGAAAAATTTTAAATTTAATGGCAATGGATAGAGAAAATTGTAGATGGGAATTTTAAAGGATTGGGTGTCATAAAGCTCGATGCATACGTGGCACCAAAAGCTTTTCATTGTTCCTAACAGCTGTCAGTTTTTCGTAAGTGGCAGTGAGCGAATCGGTAGAGCCCATAGCTTTTTCCCAAATCCGTTGGTTGGTTCGTCAATGGTCTAATTCAAAACCCAAAACCACGTCTCTTAACCAGCCCCCCTAGCTGTGGTTAGGTCTTTCTTCTTTGCTCTGTTACCGCACTCTTCTTTCAATTTTTCACACGCCCCCCCCCGTCTTCGCACCTTGTCAGTTCTCACCTCACATCACTTATTTTTCATATTCAATAATATTTATACATTGCATGAGAATTTTTAATTTAAATAATTTTATTATTTTATTATCACTATTTTTAGTGGTTTATTTTTTTAAATGCATTTTAATAAAACTACTTGGTTAAGTAACAATAAATGATTCCAGCCATAACATGTTCTTACATAGCAAAAAAATTACTTTTTTTTATATAAAATTTGTAATTTAAGAATAACAAATTTTATTTATTAAAATTAAAATCTCAAATTTAGAAATGAAACTAAGGATAGAATTAAAAAAAGATTTATATATTCATAAATGTTATAATTGTAATAATTAATATATTCATAAAGAAAAAATACTCATATAATAAATTATTAATATATTCATAAACGTTATAATTGTGATAAAAAATTATTTTTTGTGTACTTTTTACATAATAACTTTTTATTCATAGCAAATTAAGTATTAAGTTTATGAAATATTTTTATGCTTTACATAATTTCCCAACTCTCTTTATCTTGCTTCTAAAGTCTAATTAACCAAAAGAAAATTAGAAATAATAGTAAGATAAGCAATGGGAAAATACGAAAAACATCAGAGGCGTCTACAGCCGCAAACAGTGATAACGACGGCATGAAAAATAAATAAACAAAAGTTAAGGGGCACAAAAGCAAAACCCAATAAGTAAATATCCCAACTTTGAAAATATCGCCAAATTTCCGAACCCCTCACCCCCTCTCATATCCTATAAATACATGGCTCGATTAAAGCTATGTTTGCCCAACCAAACAGCCAAACACGGCTCTTCAGAAATCCAATAAGAAAAAAAAATTCTCTCTTTGCTTTATTCCTACATTTTCTCTCTCTTCTGCAACACCAAAAAAAAAAAAAATGGCGGCATCTTCAAGAAGATCTAGCGGTCCGATTCTCCGCTCCCTCTCCCCATCAGGCCGGTTCAGTTCTCACTACGCTTCACAGTCTCCATCTTCTTCTTCCTCCTCAACTTTTGCTTATTCGACTTCGAGGTTCTCCTCACGCTCCTCATCTTTCTTTAATCAAAACAGATCTAGCTCTCCGCCACGTGTCAATCTCTACAACCAATCTCCATCCTCGCCGTCTGTGCGATTCTGGCTCGATAACCGTTCGATCTCGCCGAACCGTTCAATTTCCACCGTGCGTAGAAACAACGAGGCGTTGAAGAATTTACAGAGCAAACAGCCAAAGCGGACTTGCATGTGTTCTCCTACGACGCATCCGGGATCGTTCCGTTGCAGTCTTCACAAGAGTTTCAATAATTCGCACGCGGTGGGAAGTTACACGCCGAGTAATCGGCTCAACGCGCGTAGATCTGCGATGACGAACTCGCTGGTGAGAATCGGAGGAGTCGAAGGAGATCTAGTCAAGAGAGCTTTGTCGGCTTTGATCAGACCTTCCTCTCACCAGCAGCGTCGTCGCACAGCATTCCAGCCAAGGCCGAGCCGGCTCTGCGTGATGTCAAAGGCTGATGATTTATGAAGATTCTTTATGCGGTATGTGTAATATTTTAACAATTTTTGGTGAGTCTCCGAGCTTTAGCGGTGATCGGAGAGGACCTTCGAAGTAAAGTTGCGGACGGTGGCGACAAAGTCAGATTACGGCTAAGTGGTTGGAGATCTGAGTGAAGGATTCGCGGCGGATATGGTTTGTAGTGTACTCCGGGTAACCGAAACCGTAAAATCCGGGGAACCAGCTGTCATATACTATGTTGGTGTAAATACTCACATTTGCAGCCAATGGCAAATTTGAGGAGCTTTCGGACCAAAAAAAACTCTTTAAAAAATCTCCTAAAAAGAACTAATCTAATCAGCTAACTCTAACTAACAAAACCCAGTCCCAGATCTGAGCTGTTATTGGTTTAGAGTTTTATTCTTTCCATTTGATTGGTTATCCAAACATCATTCCATTCCACAGCAGGTCTTTTTCTTTTCCGTGATCCGTTCGGTTTGACGTTTTTAGTTACCCGTTTCCGTTCCCCGTTTACCGTTTCAGTAGTTTTTTCCGTTTGTTCTTTTCCTTTTCCTCTCGTCCCATTCATCGTTTTCGTATGTCCTGTATGTTTCTTTTTTTTTTTTTTCTATTTTCTATTATTATTATTATTTTTTACCTGTCAATTTTATTTTTAATTATATATATATTTTTTGTTTTGCAGGATTTCGAATTGGAGAAATTGAGGGTGGAATTTACATTACTGGAATTTACTCCAAAAGAGAATTGAAGTGAATCAGACGATGAAGAAAACCTTAGCTGCGTTGGAGAAGAAAATGAAATGACATTCTAATAACTTGGACCCTCCCTAAATTTTATGGAAAGTAAAGGAAAAATAAAAATACAACTAATGTTAAAAAAGGAAATAATGGGAATTAATGATACGTAAAGGAGAGAAAAGAAAAAGGTCTAATAATTTGTGATTCTTATAAAGAAGAAAAGAAAACAGAAACATCTACATTTATATAAAAATCAAGGAAACTTTTGAACAGGATTGTTGACAAAACTTATATCACAAGTGGCTCTTGAAAGTTGCGAAGGGAGCATATAAAAATTGAGATTATCACAAGTGCTTGTCAAAGAGCCCACAGGAAATTGAACAAATGTTTAGAGCCCGAGCCTCGGCCCTCAATTAAGAAAAGGTCAGAGTTTTGTGGTTTGAGAAATAGCAGTTTACTTGTTTGCTATGGAGAAAATAGAAAGGAAAAATTTATAAAATACATAGACACTGGGGAGAAATTACAAAGAATCAACAATTATATTTCAGGCTTCTCAAAGGGGCATCGTTTTAACATCTGAGCTTCAATTATTCCTTTGTCTTATTTTTTTTAAGGTTAATATCTCAAATGAATCTAAAATTATAATAAAATATTTTAATTAAAATTTGTTAAGTGATATTTATTTTTAATATTATTACCTTTAAATGATAATATAAGAATGATAAATAATTTTTTAAATATTATATAATTAATAAATTTATAATTAAAATATTATATTAATATTTTTAAAATTTAAATATTAAATTAAATATTTTATTATAATTTAAAAATTTTGCATCATTCTTATTTTTTAAATCAAAATATAATTAGTTTGTCAACTAAAAGAAAAATGAAGTGACAACCAAAGCATTATTGATCCCACTTCAACTTTGGGCATTGGTCATCAAATCATGACTTCCACCTAATTAAAAATGAAACAAATTGCCATGTGTCCAGCTATCTAAGTACCTAACGTCACAAAGGCCCCTAACTCCTAAATCTTATCTAAACATCAACACCATTTTAAAAAAAAGCACCATTAAAGAAAATAAATACTCTTCACCGCATTTTCATTTAACCCACCAAATATTATAGAAGAGCGAGTAAATTTCATCAATAGATTGTGTTTTTTTTGTAAAATTTTATTTTTTATCCAAATCTTTTTGAATTTATTCTAAATTCATCTAATAATTAACATACAATTAAATTTTGAACAAAATTTATCACGAATATATTCATCAAAATAACAAATTACATTCAAATTTTAATAAAATAATGATGGATGAAAAGATTCGGAACAAATTCGAAGGACAGAGATGAAAAAATTAAAAATTTTAAATAACGAAAAGATTAATGATATAATTTACTAAAAAAAGGGAGCAATAAATTAAACTAACCCTACCAAAAACAAGACAAAAGTTGGTCTCCTTCTTGGTTAAGGAAAAACCAGAAAAGCAAAGGCACACGAAAAAAAAGTTCTCAAATAGGGGGGGGTATATTTTCACCAACAAAATTGGCAAAGAAGGAAATGTATGAAGGAATCGTCTCCATCTCCAACCAAATGAAAGAGGTTCCATTCTCATCCACTTTGATGTTGCGGCAAAAAATCCAACTCCCGCAAATTGAAGATAAGGTTTTTGAAAGCGAAAGGTGTCAGGTAAAGGAGGCAGGAAGCTACCGCCATTTTTGGTTTTGTCATTCTCTTTACTCTCAGCCCCACAACTACAGGATGAAACCTATAGGATTCCACATGTCCGCTCTTCTATCAAGCGGGAAAAAGAAATCGTCAGCCAAGATAAGAATATACAAAGTATATATATATATCTTTAATTTTAAAGTCAATGTTATTTGGAATCTATCACGCCTTAAAGTCTTAAACAAATGATAAAGTCTATTTTTAATTAAAGAAATCATTAAGAAGTTTGCAATGATGAAATTGATGATTTTATTTCATAAGTAAACTTTATCTATTTAAATTTGTAACGGTGATTTAACTATTAGGTTATCCTTATCAACAAAAAATGAAAATTTTGGATTCTAAAAAAATAATAATTTTGGGAATTAAAATAAATATAAATAAAATTTTTATTTTTTAGTTCTTTTTATATATTATTGTAAAATTTTTTAATTTTTAAATAAAATTAAAAAATTATTGCATATCTAAATTTTAAAAAAATTATTTTATCATACTATAAAAAATAAATGTCATCTTAATAATCATGAAATTCCACTAATCTTTCAGAAACATATAGGTAAATGTCATTAGCTTGAATTTATATTATGCAAACAGAATCTCTTGCAAATATTGAAATGAGTAAGTATTTTATTTTATTTTTTCTCAAATTTTCTCTTATCTCATCTTAAATATAGAGTTCTACATGTTCCTAGTTTTATGTATTTTTATCTCCTTAGGTAATGTCACTATAAAAACTACAACTATTTTTTTCTTTCGAAATCACTACATTGTTATTGTAATGATTTCGAAAGAAAAAGAAGAGTAATAGATGTAAAAGAAATGGAGAAACTAGGAAAACACCCAACTTTTTATTCTCTTTATTTTGGTGGCACCCAAATGGGGACCAGAAAACTGGAAGCTTTCAACTCATGAAAGGTACAACGCGGGGGCGACCCACATCCCACATAAAAAGCAATGTAGACTAATTGCTTTATAGCTGTGTGGGAGTGATAGCAGCCAACAAATGGGACCATTCATATCTGCTTTGCAGGGTAAATTTTTCCCAGTGATGGTTAGCTATTTTATTTGGATTTTAGTAACATTATCGTTTGTCGGTTGATAGAAGGTCCAAATTACTTGCCAGATTCTTACCCAAAGCCGAAAAGAACGATCAAATTTCCCTATCATGTAAGCATCAAAATTTTTTTCGTAACATAGTGTGGTGACTCGTGAATTGCAAGTGCAGTTTACTTGTTTCATAGTTTCAGGTGGGCAATACAACGTCAGTAAAATTTAACTTTGAAGTATTTTTTTCTTTCTATTTTGGAGGGTCATGCATGACATTTGACATGCCTCCTGTGCATGAACCAGCCACGTGGGATGTTTGATGATAATTGATTCCTTTTGTTTGTTCCTTATCTTTCTTGATAGGACAAGGATGGGTTGGATATAGTTTTAAAATTCTGTCAGTTCTGGTTTTATGGTTCCAAATGTCTACCCGTTGGCTAGCGGAGTTAAAGATTTCAACAATATTGTTTGTCTCTTTGTGGAGAAACTGTGTTTTTAAGGCATCTACTCTATCTATTGCATTTTTATGTTTTTAATCTGAATTATTGGATAAAATAAAGTGAGGCTGGTCAGTCCAGATGATGCTGAAACTTGCAAAACTTTTTTTTTAAAATATTCTCTTGATTGTGGATTTCTTCAATGGGCCTACGGCTAAGGAACAATTAATTTCTATTGTAAATGGATAAAGTTCAGATGCCATGGCTGGCTGTTATTGTAAATGGATAAAGTTGTTACTCTTTCTATTGTGGTACTACTCGAAGAAAAAGAAGAAAGATGATGTTACACTTTGCTTGCCATATCGGGACTCTGTTCGATTGTGTATTTCTTTTAATTTCATTAAATTTTGGCCTTGTTATCTGCCTAATCTCAAATGTGCTAGGCGGCCAAGGTGATTGCGTGTGTGGATTGGTATATTAGAATTTTAAGTGCAAAAAATTAATGTCTGAGCAAGAGCAACTCACATTTTTCATGGCTACATATGTAATGCAGCTATAATTAATATTTTTAATGATTCTTTGTTCAGCTAATGTTGGGAACAGGTTCCACTTCTTTTGCGTCCATTCATAATTCTATTTTGTGATAATTTACAGGAAATTTATTTGTAGGACAAGTCTGGCTTATGCGTTCCACTTAGAGTTTAGGTTGGGCAGTGTCACCTTTGGTTAGCACTTTGCACTCCCCACCGCAGTCTACAGCAGACACAATTTAGAACCTCAGGCAATTGGAGGCATTCAACTTTTCATGATTCCTTAATCTTTTTGGTACAATTAGTAAATTAAACACTAAACAGTAAAAGCAGCACTGTAATAGTCAACATAAATCATTTTGGAATAAAAATTTAGTTCCACCAATATTACAAAATAAAATAATTATTAAAAAATATAAAATATAAAAATTAATTTAATTGGTTCATATAATTATTTCTTTTTAACAAAACTTTAGGTTGTCTTTCCATATGGCTGTCCTAATAACTCTGACCATATGCTTTCCTTTGTTCTTTAAGAAATATTCTTTAGCTTGCAAACCAGAACAGATCATTACCTTTAAGATTCTTAAACATATATTTTCTTTCATGGGTTTCTATTAGAATTAAATCAGTATTTGATAATTAGTAGTTATTCTAAAAAAAAAAAAGTAGTTATGAGAAAAATAAAGATTCTAAAGCACGCAAACATTGTAATATCTAATACCGTTTTTGAATATCTAATCCTGCTTTTGAGATTTTTTTTTTCTTTTACTTGATGGAAGGGACTGATACGAAAGGTTGATCACTTGATACGTGTAAATGAAAATAGTTATCTACTTATTTGAAGTTGAAAGGGTCCAACTAGCTAGTGAGCTAAAGGGTGAATTGCACTAGAATATAAAGTAACGAACAGAAGAGAAGACCAACTTTTAGGTCCTGGAAAAGTGGGCTAAGAAAACTGAAAAGCCACCCAAAACCAAGTGACTAGCATTAATAGGCGGCTGTGGCTTTGCCCATAATGGTTAGGGCCTAAAAGTTCCTAACAAGAAACAACATTTGCTGATGTTTTCCCCAATTTTGAGAGTCCATGGGCCAGAGAACAGGAACTTACTGCCGCATACAGTGGCAGACAATTTCTTGGATTTATTTTATAGATTAAAATTTCAAATTTATAAAATATCATATAATTATATTAATTAATGGAGTTAATTTTCATATTCTACACAATTCTTGAATTTAGAGATAAAAATTGGCGTTAGTGATAAATTTAAGGCTGAGATTCAGTAATGTAAAATAGAAGGATGTTTGTTAATCTTCACTATTTGCCCACTTGCATCTCTGTTAATGGTTGCCCTGTGCAATTTGCTTAATTGAAAACTACCTTTAATCATTATTGCCCATCATCAACAGCTAAATATTTTGCAAGAACTATCCTGTTTTGGTTTTGCAGCTGTTTTTTCCCATTAAGATGAGATAATCAGATAAGTAAACCATAAAGCAACTGAATAAGTCTTCAATTTGCAATCGAAAGAAAGAAAAAACACACTTCCTTTCTTTCATTAGACACCAAAAAGCGCCTATAAAACTGATCACCACAAGCACAGTCCAACCTTTGGTTTCGTCATATCAAGCCTTTGCTTCACAATTTCTAGGTTTTTCTTAATGGCCCAGAGAGGTAACAATACCATCTAATGATTCATAGTCAGCTGATTTCATCTGATCTGATCTCCATTTTTGCATATAATTTTGAATCTCGAAGAAAGAGGCCCCCACCAACATCCTTTGTGTAACAAGAAGTATCACGTAACATAAGTGTATTTGCATGTGGACATATTCAAGCAGACTAAATATATTTAGTTCATTCTTCAAGAATTCGTGTTACTCCTGCCAATGCCAAAAGTAACTTTTTTTTCTAGAACTCTTTATTTGTGGGCGTATATTTGTAACCTAACCATTAGTTTATGATTGTTGGTTAGAGTATATAGGTTCCAAAGAGCATTTTATTCTACATTTTTTTTTTCTGTTGTTTGCAGGTCAAAAACAATTCCCCCACCATTTGGATGACATGCACTCAAATTATCATGGTTATTACATATATACCTTCTTTTTGCATCAGCTATTGATGGTAACTTATATGCTGCACTGCATTACTTGGAATATGCTATGGTGTTCAATTCTCCATCATGATCCTCACTGTCTCTGAGCCTTTTGGTTTGAAGCATTTTGGTATATTTTACAATTTCATGTTACTAGGAAATCCTCTTGGAGCATTCCTCTTTCTCAGGGCTCCTAACAGTATATATGTGTGTATATATATATATATATATGATACTGAAGTTGCAAAGCAGCTAGAGTCAATCTGGTCAGTTCAAGCGTTTTATGCATTGGTCCAAACTGCTTTAGACTCACTTTCCTGGTTCTTGCTGGTTCCTGTGGCGTGGCGTCGGTGGCAAGCATCATTCTAACTAAGAGGATAGGGCCTGTTTACCAAAAGCTTTACGGCGGCGGTTCTTTTATGCTGCCATAAACTTCATATCATGACTAAGATCGTTTTCGAATCCTACCTGTGGGGCGCATCACATACTAGCTAGGCATTTCTTCTACTCCAGTAAGTTCTTCAAATTCTAATAAATGCATGTTTGGCTGCCTCTCTGTACTCAAAAATACATACGGCCTCTAATTCTAAAAATGGATCAAATACTCATTTACCTCTTCTATTATAAACTTTCTGTCAGTTTAGAATCTAGAAAAATAAAATTATCAAATTGGTAGTTCAACTTTAATTTCATCATCTACTTTGATATCTTGAACTAATATCATTAGTTAACTTGCTGACATGATATTGATATCTAATAAGATACTAACACATAATAAAAAAAGATCCAATTAATGTCACATAATTAATTGTCATGTTAGCATTAAAAAAATTTTAAAAATGTTCTAAAAATTCTAAATCTATTTTTTTAAAATTTAAAAAATCTAAAATATTTTAAAATATGCAAAAAATTAAAACTGAAATATTTTAAAAATATAAAAATTTAAAAAATCTAAAAATTTTAATAAAAATCCAAAAAATTCAAAAAAATGAAAATTTTAATAAAAATAAAAATTTTTGAAAAAATCTAAAAATTTGAAAAAAGTTAAAATTTTAAAAATTTTTGAAAAATTAAAAATTTTCAAAAAATCTAAAATATTTTAAAAAATTAAAAATTTTTAAATAAAAATAATAAAATCTTAATTTTAAAAAATTCAAGAAATTAAAAAGTTGAAAAATTAAAAATATATAAAATATGCAAATTTTAAAATTCAAAAAATAAAAATTTTCAGAATTTTTCAAAAAAATTTGGATTTTTTTAATTTTTAGTTTTTTTTTTAAGTTTTTGTGAATTTTTTTTGAATTTTAAGAAAATGTAATTTTTATTAAAATTTTATCTTTTTTTAATTTTTTAAAAAATTTTAAATTTTTTGGATTTTTATTAAAGTTTTAAGATTTTTTTTTGAATTTTAATTATTATTAAATTATTTTTCTAGTTTTTAAAAAATATTTTAGATTTTAAAAAAAAATTTAGAAAATTTTTAAATTAAAAAAATCTTTTAATAATGATGTGATAATTTATGAAGTGGTTTTGACTTTTTTTTTTTTTCAGGTGTTAGCATCTTATTAGATATTTATATTATGTCAACAAGTTAATTGATAATATTAGTCCTAAATATCAAAATTAATAAAAAATGAAAATGAAAATATTAAATTAATAATTTTATTTTTTTTAGATACCAAATTAATAAAAATATATAATTCAAGAGTCAAATGTTTATCCCTTTAAAAATCCATCTAGAGTTGAAATGTTGAATTGATGAACAGTTGATAACTTGATATATTAAATCATACAGTTGTTAATAAATGATTTTGCAAGTTGTATATACGGTGATCATGAAGCTGCTAATGCGAGCTGGAGGGATGTAAGGGCAGTCTTTTAAATGCAATGCACCTATGCCCTATTTTTTCCATTGTTTGCGTACATATGAAGTATATGCATTGAACCAAACACGAAATGAAAAAAATTCATGTGCCGTAGCATGCATACATTTCTCTTTTTAGTGATTTATAACTGAAATATCTTCATTTTGTCTAAAAAAGAGCAAGTGTTACGGCTTGGATGCATAAATCTCACATTGACGGTGTACTAGAGTTAATAACGAGATATAAAAATTCACATCATTTTTTTTTTGTAAAATATTTTTTATGAGATAAAATCATAAAATCAATAAGATCGAAGTGGATAATACCTTATAAGAGTATAAACCGTAACAGTTAGATTGATTTGAGACACTGGATGAGCTCATATCTAGATCTTTGAGCAGTACAAGCCTGTAAGTTGAATTTCGACCTATAAAAATGACATTAGAGCCAGCTCTAAGGATACTAGAGATGTGCTACTGAAGATAATGGGCTTTCATTGGATTAGAAGAGGATATCACGGCTTGGGATTGGGATAAAGTCAGAAATCCCACATTGATTATGTACTAGAGTTAGTCTTGAGATATAAATATTCATATCACCTTCTTTTTATGAGATATTTTTTGTGGGATAAAATTATGAGACCAAAAAGATCAAAACGGACAATACCTCACAAGGGTATGAATCATTACAGTTAGGTTGATATAAGATTTCAAATGAGTTCATGTTCAGATCCTGAAGCCACACGAACTTGAAAGTTAAATATCGACTCGTGACACAAAAAAATAATTGAAATAATTTATCTTCATCAATCTATTTAGAATAAATCACTTTTTCATTAGATACTCTTTTTTCTCATGTCGTATTCTACTAGTCACATTTGCACGTAAAAAATTTAACAGGTGAAATATATGGTATAGATAATTATTACATTAATTAAGCACAATTTAGTCTTTTTTTAGTTTTATGTTATACAATATGTTATACATTTAATTTAACATAAACATTTCATGAGCTTATTTTAAAGTATGTGAGCATACATATTAATTGGCAGGTTTTTTTTAGTATGTTTAAAAATCATTTATTTATATTTGAATAAATTTATTTAATTAAAATTTACCTCATATTTAAGTCATTTCAAAAGTAAAAAAAAAAATAAAAAATTGAATATGTCTTAGCTTATTAAAGAGTTAAAACTTATGAGCAAAATTTCTATCCATACATAACCTATGTTTAGCTCATATAACAATTAAAGTATCTTTTTGAATATTTGTATTCATTCCAAATTATATATGCATATCTATATATTTATTCTGTAGGGAAGATAAACAAAAAAGAATTATTAATGAACATATTTACTGTGGATAATTGCATATTTATCAATCAAGTGATATTCTAAGATTTATGTGGCTATATAATATAATAAGAAAATTATTAATTAAAGATGAAATAATTAATTAAATAAATTGTAAATTATATAAATACCTTTTACTATTTGCACTTTTAGAGTTGTCCTCTTTTATATAGTATAAATATAGATAGATGGATAATACTTATGAGATAATAATTCATTTCACTTGGATTGTTATATAAGTTCATAAAAGTTATTGTTAATTATTATCACTAAATTCTAACCCTTGGAAATTAATTGCTGATTCTTAAGTGCTCAGCTACTCTTGCGGAAATCTTAAGATTCCAGATGCCCATAGCAGTTTCTTTTGGTCTTCCATCTCCTACAGCAGAAGGCACATGCTATGGAAGTCCTATTTCCAAATGTTTCAATAGGCTATTCAGCTTTTCCCAAGAACTACCAAAACTATGAATCCTTGTAAGACAAGCAAGGTGTAGCCTTTAATTTTGCCTTTGCTTTTTATCTTGTATATACATTTGCCAGCAGGGTGTGGGCCTCTGTTTAAATGATCAGACAGAAAGTTATATTCCTTTGTGTTTGTAGACAAAAAATTAAAGAATGTGGATGCATGACGTGGGTTGCAATATTTAGTTAATATGAGTGAGGTAGGAATTCATTTGCAACTTTGAAGACACTGGTGGCAGGCAGGTGTTATTAATTTTTTTAATATTTGAAGCTGTTAAAATTTGAATATTTTGAATATTAACTATTAAAACAGATCATATGACAATTGGCATGGCTTATTGAATTCGGCTAAGCCATGTTGACCACATTGCAATGGAAGATGAAAATAGGCTAATAAATCTTGTTTCCAACTTTTGAAACAGCTAGTTAATGTCTCCAAACCTCCAAACATTACTCAACATCTCACACATTGAGGATATGGAAACCATCCATTCTACCAGTTTAGATCAAGCAGAATCTGTTGTTGATTGATCTTCATTTTCAGACCATAACTGAGCATAACAGCTGATGGAAAAAAGAGAGTCATTTCAGCAACCGGGTTCCAGGCAAATTGCAAGCTCAATATTGACATATAAATCAGGTCTTTAATTTCTCAGCTGCATTCTCCTTTTCATTCAACACAAAAGTTCTGGGAAAGCTCGCAGCACACATTATTATATATATATATATATATTTTCATTACAAGACATGAAAATTTGCCAATATGAAGGATCTTAATTACAACTGAAGAAGATCCTAACAAACCATAAATCTTAAAGCATATATAATTATTGAAAATTTAGATTACATGAACTCAAAAAGAATATAAACTATGGCATCCGTGTTGATGATAGAAAAACTGTCCAACTCTATTTCAATCTGCTATTATTGGGGCACCCTAACATATATCAGATTCACATACATAAAAAAGCAATTGTACCAGACATATAATGCTTCTCCCTCTGATTGGATGAAAACAGTTGAATGACCATATTTCATATCTCAACTTTGAAGACAAAGAAAGACGTATGGTCAAGTGGGTTTCATATCCTGAAACAATGCTGCCCATAACGTATGATCACCATAGTCCCCACCTGCCTTTTCCTTGTTGTAATCACCATGAACCTTTGGGCTTGGAGGTCTTACATAATTGAGAGGTCCAGACAGTTTTGGGCTCCTATTTGTGAGCATCAATCTTTCTTGTGCCATTGCAATATCAATTGGACCAGATGTTATCGGGATCCTATAATTAAACATCAACTTCTCCTGCATTTTTCTATCAAGGGGACCTGATAATTTTAAGCTCCTAGGAGGGACCAACAACTTCTCTGGACCTCTATAATCCAGGGGACCAGATTTTGCTATTTTACGGCTGGTTCGCTGCACTGGCTTCTCCATCTTCAGCTCCTTCTCATTCTTGAACTTCCTTGTCAATGCTCCTCTCCAGTGATCTCTAAAACGAACTGACTCCGGCAGTGGCTTAATCGCGTTATTCTCATGGTGAACCAACTTGTTAACATACTTGTTGAAGCACTTTCTGGTTTTGTTGATTGCCAAAATGAGCTTGGAGAGGCTATTAGGTACTTCTCCAACATCCTTCCTAGCAAGCTTGAGAATCTCCAGCCTATGCTTGGCAACTGAAATGCCCATGCTCTGAAGAAACTCGTGGTTGAAGTGCGCTAAATCCTCCTTTTGGAGTTCATTGCGAGAAAAGGCAAGGCCATACTCATAGATAAGTGAGGGCTCAAGGGCACTCTTTGACAACCAAGAGTACCAGTCCATGGCGCTGGTGCTTGGCTTATGCCATAGGATGCTCAAAAAAATTGGAGGTTTGTAGAATTGTAGTGTTATGGTTGCATTTGAGTGGTCCAAGCTTCCAAGGGGGTATCCGTATATATAACAAGTAGATGAGAAAGGTGAAGTTGAACAGCAAGTAAATGTGGTGGGTGTGGGGATATATAGACTATAGTTAACATATCTCTCTCTCTGCTTTAATTGAAATTTGGATGGTAGTTGAATTTGAGAGAGATACCAAGCGAGATTTTGGAATATGAGTTTAGGAACTTACCCAACTTGTATTTTTATTCTAAGGTTTCCCCTTGCGCATTATCATCAACTTTTGTCCTTTTTTTTGGTTGCACCATGGTTGCATTTGCTAGTGTGACCGCACTGCACACGTTCTTCAGGATTAGGCCAGAGGCCAGATCCAAGCCCGTGACGGTGGTCCATCCCCAAGCAGGGAGTATGATATCAGCAAAATCTTCAGAAAAACAAAAAAAAGTATATCACTTCGATATTAGGCTTCTAGTAGTTTTTATTTTGGTATATGATTGGCAATTGTTCATTTCATCACCCTCATCTTCTCATGTAAATTTCATTTTGACATGGGCAAAGTGTATACAGCACAGATCCTTTTTTAATTGTAACCATTTAGGAATTGTGTTGAAAACTTTGTCAAAAAGTATGCTACATATTGAGCAAACGGGATTAATGTGGGCTGACCTTTTCCCTTTTTGCCATAAATTGTAGGGAATGGGTGTTTAAATATGGCCCCTATATCCATTCAGCAGCTCCTCTTCCGTAAGAAATTAATCTTTTCTATAGCTATAGCTATCATTCAGACTAATTACACTGTCATTCCTTCCGAAGATCCGTACCCTCATGATAACTTTAAGTTAAGTGAGTTTCTTTTATCGAGGGAGATCCCAGTTAAAAATATTTTAAATTTTAAATTTGAATTTTAAACATATTGGATATCACTTCTTACTGGTATATATATATATTAACTCAACTAAGTGATAAAAGTTAACATGATTTGTATGTTGTCGTTTTTGTGATGTCAATTCAAGTTAGAGGGTGAAAATGATCCGGTAAATACCATTAGTATTGAGCTTAAAAGCTACCAAGGACCAACACAAATGATGACATTGAAGCATATTTAATTGTATAACCTACTGAAAATGCTGATCCTATCATCATAAAAAGGTTTGAACAGTTAAAATATTATTTCTCTCTCTATTTGTGTGAGAACATTATTTTTAGTGGGCAGGTATGAATCAGTTCCGGTGAAAAGGGACTAGAAGTGGGAGAGAAGTTTGAAAATAAAAGCGTTTAAATGCATATGAAACGTTCCGCACTAGCATTGTATATCAATTTATCAAATCAAAGCATAGATATTTTGGTTGAAGTCATTCATTCTTTCACTAGTTGACCGTGTTACAGTCATAAAATCATAATTAGACAGGCGAGAAGGCATATTATTCATCAGGATCACAAAAGGAACTAAATATGTATAGAGTGGCTAAAGCATATCAGATTTTATGTCTCTCCCTCTGCTCTTTTTTTTTTGACTCTTTTCTCACTTTCCAAGTTCCAATTACAATGCATTGGATTCAGCAATGTTAGTGCTCTTCATAATCGGCCTGTCTTTTTGTGGAAAATGCGGAAAGGTAGAAAATAAGGAAGAAAAGAAAAGGTCTAATAAAAAAAAAAAGAAAAGGTGAGTATTTTCAATGTGTGTACTATAAATACAGACGCAAATTTTGAAATGACGTTGCTAGAAAAAGCAAAGTCGCGACCTGTAAGGCAGTTGCGTCATTTGTTTTGATTTGAGAATTGAGGATATTCATATTCCTAACATGATTTGGTGAGGATATTCATATTCCTAACATGATTTGGCCAACTATAAACAACCTTTTTTCTTTTTGAAGAAAAGAGGTATATCTAACTCATTTTTTTAAAGGATAAAAAATATCTTGGAATTATAATTAAAAACTTAATTAAATTTTTAATATTTTATTATAATTAATCAAAATTTTAATCTTTTAATTTAAATTAATTTAATTTTCAATTAGATAAGATTTAATTTGATAAAATTAAATTAATTAATATTTAAATTACAGTCAATTGAACTCTTAAAAAAATTTTAGAGAGAGAGGAAATAAAATGAAGGACAAAAAAAAGAAAAACAATTTATTTTATTTAATTTTTACATATATTAATTATATCACATGATAAATTTTTATCTATTTTATTAAAATCACACGATTTTATTTTAGTTGATAAAAAAATTATCGGTGTTAATTTTTTTATTCAAATAAAAGTTTAATTGGATGCAAATAAATATTAAAAGAGTTGTTTAATTGTAATAAACAAATAAAGACTTAGATAGTTTTTTAATTATAAATTTGAGAATTTTTAAAACTTTTAACCTATTCTTTTATATAAATAAAATTACATTTTGAGGATAGAAAAACTAATTATCCCATTTAAATTTGATTTTTAAATCTAATAAATGTCTTCACTTAAAATGACAGTTGAGTTAAAATTTGAATTCAATTATTAATATCTTTGAAGTTAAATTAATTCTTTCCATTATATGTACTTCTAATTTCCATCTTGGACAAATTTAAACTCATAATTTTGGACAAATTTGAAAACTATGAATCTTGGATCTCGTTCTTGCACTTTTATTTACATCGCAGACAATTAACCAAAATTCCTACCACCTTTTACTTGAGCCAAGGGGAAGAAATTTTTTGTCATTTTTCTTGAGCAATACTCGACTAATTCTAGATGGATTACGGACACAAGCATCTCCGATTCGAAAAATGAGAAAACTCTGAAAAAAATTTTGTAAGATCTAAATTGAAAATTTTAAGGGACATTCAAATTTCAGTTTTAATTGAATTAATTAACTTAATTAATCGGTCATTAAATTAAATTGATTCGATTTTAGATAAATTCAATTTTAAGTTAATTTTATTCAAAAACCAAATTAATTGAATTAGCAAAATAATTAACCAAAATTCTGATATATTATTCAGGTAAAAGATATTTTTCCATGCTCTACCATGAAATGAATTCTGTAATATCTTACATCAAACTGAACTGCACTTTACTGTCCCAAGTAATAAAGATATATCCGGAAAAGATTGTTGTAATTTTCTTTTACAACTTGTTTGTAACCCATATATCTCACCAATACGCTTGCTAGCAGAGCCAAATTTGAGGTCTTGGAGACTAAGTCTAAAACCTAGTATAGCAGTTGTTGAAGACTACCAAGATAATCGGTAATAATAATAATTAATTGCAGTTGTTTAAATACATAATTTGCAGTATCTGAATGTAGCTTTTTTTTCTCATTATGATATAGTTTGAATAGTCCGAAAAGTTCAGAAGCAATGACAACAATTTTTTCGGCCAATCGAAATTAATTCGATCAGTTAATTTTCAAAAATAAAAATTTTGATTTAATTAATAAAATTAAAATAAAATATTTTTATTAATTCAATTTTAGATAATTTTATTTAAAATTAATCGAATTGATTGAATTAACATCCTTAAAAAATTTTACACGTTGTCAGTAAGTCCAAACGAACATGTGCTTATCAATTCATGATTAAATTAGCCCTTCCCCACCCAAGGCAAGCGAGGGTTAGCCATTATAACAACTGCCCGTTGAACATCTAATTATGCCTATATTACTGTCAAAAATTATATATACCAATAAATAGGGCTTACCTGCCACATGGTGCACCTAAAGAATGTAAGTGTTGAGTGAGGGAACGATATTGTACTCACATGGAAGTCAAAATCTTACAACATGAATATGATTTGATTTGTTTGGCGATTACTTATTCTCTTCTTTTGGTTGAAAGTGTCTCCAATCTTGTTCCTATACTTGTTAACAAGCTATTACTATTCTTTTTTTTTTTTTCATTTAAATTTGTGTATATGTTGTAAATTTTATTTTGTTGATCTTAAAATTAGAATTCGACATTTCGGGATAATATCTTAAAATTTTAAGAATTAAAAAATATTTTTTTAAAGCTGGTTTGAATTACGTAAGAGACAGGAAACCTAATTCTCTTCCTTTATAAATTCTATATGTCTTTCAAGATTTTAACATGAAACTTCTAAATTAAAATTTTAAGTTAAACTATTGGAGAGTATTGCTTTACATTTGGTACATATAAATATATATTAGTGAGTAAATACACAGGCGTAAATTGTAATGAGTTGCTGTCCAAACTCACAGAGTTGAAGTTGGACTCAACAAAAATGATCAGGTCCGACTTGTCTATATTGTTAGACCTTAGGCCCATATAGTCGTAGGCCTGTTCATGGTTTTAGGTAAGGCATTTGTCTAAATTAGTTTTTTCTCTTTTTTTTTTTTTTTTTGAAAGGATTTGTCCAAAATAGTGTTAAATGTTGTAATTAGGAGCATCGGAGACAGTCCAAGTAAATTGATTAATTTTCATAGAAGAAATTGAGTTGTTTAAAACCTCGTTTCAAAAGTCATATAACTTGAGTTGTTTAAAACCTCATTTCTCAATTTGCATATTGCTTTTCACTATTATAACATAATTTTCAATTCTAGTTATAATGTTAAATTGTTCTTTTTTTTTGTTGGCCAGAATTTTAAATTATTCTTAAGTTTCATGATTTTTTAAAATTTTTTAAAAGATAAATGCATATATATATTTTAATTAAAATTTTTTTTATTCATATGATATTGGATTACATAATAGAAGATCACATAAATAATAAATCTCACCTCCAATATCCTAAAATTCAAACCGGAGACTTGAGCCACAAGTTAAGGTAAATATAACTTTAGGATAAACTACAAAAACAACTAATTTGTGATTCACAAGCTACATGAGTTAGTTTAATTTATTTAATTATATGATGTGTGTTTTAATTACGTATAATACATGAGTGATAATTTAATTTTTATTTTATTAATTTCTTTATAATATTTGTATAACTTTGCAAATAAAAATTATCATAAAAAAATGAAACAACTTTCAATATTAATATAATCAAATAGATTGTAGAAATGCTAATGAAATATTTGTTTAGTGGTTATAAAGAAATCTTGAAGTTTTAAATTAAGTTTATTATATATGAATATAGTTTAATTTTATGTTAAATCTATTTAATTATAACTTATATTTGTGATTTAAAAAAAGATTTTACAAGCTTAAAACTTGCATAATTTTTTTTTTTTGAAAAAAAAATAATAAGAGAAAAAACCTATATAAATTACTTGACATTATAAAAGAGGGTTCTACTAAAAGAAGACACTTTTTCTCTTACGAGATTATGTCCATGCAAGTAAAAATTGTAATCACAATAATATATATTTTTTATAGACAATCTAATAATTTTCAACACATATGGTATAAATTATTTATTTTTGCTCAACCTTAAAGATCCTTTTTACTCAAAAAGTCTGCAATACAATTTTAGATAACGTGTATTTAGTGGACT